CACAAAAAAATTGTCCGTAGGTGAAGGATTCGTAGTGAATTCGGTATAGAGCCTGTCGATTTCTCAAGATCTAAGGCTGAAATAGGTAACCGCGTACCTAAATTTCGTTAATATTATAGATCTGGAGCAAATCACATTCCTTGAAGGAAACTTCATGCCTGCTGGTCCCAAAAAATATCAGAAATCATTATGAACTTTTAAAGAATTCATTACAATTAACAACCTATTGTTTTCAATACACACTTCGTATGTACTACATCACACTGTAACCAATTTCTTACGTCCCTTTATTGCATATTGAGCAATATTTAATGTATTGTAAAGATATATGTGTAAAAGCCATTGTAAGATATGACATCATATTTTTTTATACTTCTACAATACCACAAGTATTATGAATATTTAAAATACATACAATTCTATATCAAATGTTGCTAGTGGTATGATGTACAATCATTTCGTAGTTAGTCACGCACATTATAAGTTTAAATTGATTTCAAAAGGAAAACATTGCCAGTGGCATTATTTGAGTTTAATAGCTTTATTATCCTTATTGATGTACTAATTGTTTGTACAGTAGGTAGCGACTCAGGTGATGTCACTGCCCTTGCAACATTGGCATCGAGACGTGAAAATTCTGTCAAGTTCCTTGAGTTTGCTCCGCAGAGCGAAAAAGTGCTACCTTGAGCGGTATCCAAAGGTCGACAGATTTACTCGAGTCACCAATTTAAAAATAATCGTTTTTAACACGGAAAAGCTCATTAAGAAAACAGTCACGATTCCGTGAAAGTTTTATATAACTTTTCGATTTCCAGAATAGCTGCTTGATCCACTTAGTATTATCTCGGAGTAGCGGTGAATGAACGGGGGCCAACGTTCTGGTTTCCTTACTTCGACATTGTTCTGAATTGTTCCGGAAATGCTAAATACGGTCAAGATTCATTTCCCAAGCCATTCACGACGTTTCGCCGAGGGCGACCGAATCGTGAATGGCCAAAAAGTATGGCGCGAATTAGAGATCAAGCTACTATGTGCATAATGTCTATTTATTATGCCGATATAGTACCGTATATACTGTTTTTTTAGTAGCAATAATACCAAATAAATAGACACATTTTTAATATACGATACTTATGCATGCAGATAGGAATTATTAAACTTCTAGAACTGTAAAGTTTAGTCCAACAATTTATGTCAAGAGATTGCAATAAAAAAGGTATTTGCACACAATCGTTTGAAATCATTCAACCGCTATAAATAGAAACACGTACAGGGTGCCCGTTAGTCAATTTTCTTTCAAATCGTTACCTTTTTGTATATTATTTAAGTGGAAAAGTTATTTGAAAGGCTATTGTCGGAGGTACACAGTGGAGTAAAGGGCGATGACCTCAGTATGGAAATTTGCAATTTATATAATTATTTTTATTGGTACTCTCTAAACAGATACTGCAGTTACAACCAATGTACGCATGTGACGAAGTAATGAAATAATGGTAATCATTATTATTAGGGATAGGCTAGACATGAGAATTATAGATCCACTCTCAGAATTTGTATTGAATCTGAATGCTAGAATAGTAAATAATATAGACTTTGTACGTCTAATGTAATTTATAACCTTAATGCTGAAAAGTTCAAATTCATGGAACTCATACTTGTTGAAACATTTTAAAATGATTTAGGTATTTTGTTTTCAAATTCCATTTCTAATGATTTCCATGTAACAATAATAGTATATGAATATAAGACATTATTATAATAATACTTTGGCATTTGAATAAAAATTATTAATCGAATCTTGATATTTGACAAATATAGCAAAAGCAATGTATGATTTTCAACAAATAAGCGATCGACAGCACAAATAAATCTATATAGTTCTTGTTATTTTCTAGGAAGCGCCATAAATTATTTAATGGCGCTACAGTCACTGCAAACATTCTTAGTTAAGTGTCTGTTGATAAAAACAAGTGCTAGTTTGCAAGAAAAACACACGCAATTAACTACCAGGTAAATGGGTACTGCGTTGTTCGCTCAGCACGATCAGATCCACATGTTTCTGGATTTCACAGACTGATAGCTATGATAATACAATAATAATAGATAATTACATCCTCATACCTAAAGGATATATGAATTTATAATTTATACGTGTGCATAGAACATTTGTACGCGTTTTGTTTTTTCAGCTGTTCGAGTTCGCGGAAACACACAAAATATTTCTAAATGACGATCGCCTTTTTTTCAATGTTTTCATATTTAAGAAGTCACACCGAAATAATTTTTATTTAGTAAATGTTTGATAGAACGTTAAGTTTTCAGCTGTTTCCTATGATTTTGGTTCATTTGTCATTGAATATTATTTTGTAAAAATTTAAGCACTAGATCTAGAAGAGACAATGACATAAAATAGTATTTAAGGTCTAGGATTCGAAAGAAACACCTCTCGCACTAAACGCGATTTATTCGACCACTGAGCCAGTGAAGTGATCGTTGCAGTTATGTAATGTTTACGTCAGTGGTCGAATAATTGGAATTTAAGTAAACTCCAGTCTCCTAGTTAGTAATCCACTCGCTGACCTCGGCTCTACTTGTTTACTGCAACGAAATGCGGCATAAAATTAAACAGCATTGTTTCTGGCGCCGACTCGACACGAATGGAAGCGTTCTTAGAATATTCTATTACAATAGTGCCTTCAAGTTATCTAACAGATTTATTATAGCTGATTCATCCCAAATATTGATTCTCTTTGTAACGATCCACCGGTGTTTAGTCGTATTGTTAAACGCGTTGCTGCCCCAAGCACAGTAGATCTTAGATTCGAATCCTACGAGAGTATGTTAAAACGTTATGCGAAAAGACTTTTATTTTAATATTCAGTTATCTATACTAATACATAAAGCTGATGATTTTGTATGTTTGAACGCGCCAATCACAGGAACTACTGGTTGGAATTAAAAAAATATTTTTGGGTTGTTTATCGAGTTTTTGTTGGTTTAGTATTTATCGAGGAAGGTTGAAGGCTATAAGACATCGCGCTGTGACTAGTAGGAGCGAAGAAACAGTGGGAAATGTGGAAAAACTAAATCTTAAAAAAAATATTTTTGAGTTATCGATGCCTACGCTCCAAAAACGGTTCAAGATACCCAAAAAGTATGTATTAAAAAATGATTCCTCTTTAAGTGATGTAAATAATGTCCACGGCACAAATGTCTATCATTTCCTAAGACGGGACGCGGGCGATGTTGTGGGTGAAATCTTAAATTTACAAAGACGATTTTTCGCATAAGATGCGCATGAGAGCTTATATAAATATTGGGAACAGGACTATTCCAAGTGCGCTGTCATTCAAATTATATTTTGCTAATATTAATAACCTGGATACGTAGACGAAGTAGAGGATGGAGCATTGACCCACATTTTATGAACGGGACGCTTGGCAGACGCGCCGCGGTTCGAAATTAGCACGTGAACTTTTGTATGGTAAACGATCTCTTAATATGGGATCAAATGTTATTTCGTACGTTTAATTTTATTTTATTATTTGTAATCTGGAGCATGTAATTGCGTATTCATCTATCTTGTAAATATTATTATGTACCAGAGGGCAAACAAGATGCGCTATCGATCTAATTTGACATTGGATATTCTGAAGTCGATGAACAGACGAAATCGAACATTTATCAGATAAAATATAAATTGTTTAGAAAAATGTTGGACCCAGCGGGAATCGAAACCATTGTTGATTATTAGACCTACATTGCTACACGAACCAGCCTGTCAAAGTCCCAAATAATAACAATAATATGTATATTTGTAGAGACGATATAAAGATATAGATATTCGAGAAACCAGATTTCTTATTGTTCTTGGAAACAATTGATCTAAGAAATGAAATATTAAAGGTATATAATATCTATAGTCAAACCCACGACATCAGCGTTCATCATCACGACATCACAGTAGCTCAATTGGTAGAGCAATTGGTCCCCTCCGCATCATAGAGTTTTTTTTAATACATTTTAAACCCATGTCAGATTTCAGAACAATCAACACCGATGTTTCACCTATTATAGAAAAATTTCTGTTGAATCAAAAATTTAAATACCTTTGGGTTTTACTTACTCCATTGATTAGTCATAGTTCTGCGATCTCCGAGTGAAACGGTACAACTGTGTGAGTCACGTGAATGAAAACTGGTCTCTACAAACGGTCTATCAAATTAATGGTTTCTATAAACTTAAATTGGTAATACTAGTGACGGTTTTACTAGATACTATAGTAACATTATACATGAGATCGCGAACCAGTATTTCACATCCACATTAGAATTTATATTTCAAACCTTTCTTATATATATTATGTAAAGTAAACTGAATGTCAAGTCCCCGTTTCATTCAAATTTTCAATAAGTTGTAAAATGTATGTATAAGTGTTTCGCTTGTCACTTGAAAGCTATGTACATAGTTAACGGCTTTATGTAATTACTAAGTAAATAGAAAACATTAGGTTTAGAAAGTAACTCTGTTGACTTTTAAGACATTTCGTTTTACTGCCTTAGCAGTAAGCAGGCTGTAAAATATTTTTATTTGCTTTACACGATTCTCAAATTATAAATATTTGGTCATGAAGCTGTTCGTTTAGACTTCGAAAAGATTGAGACATTCTATGTTGCTAAAATATTAAAGGAAAATAATCTTCACGGAATTTGTCAAAATAAAATACATTCAGCAGTAATTAAATGTAAATAACCAACAGTCTTATTTTAAAATTTAACTTTTTGACTTTATTCCTATATATCTTTTAACAATGGAATAAATTATTAAAATCTTCTCTTTTGTTTCAGTGTCAACATTTTTATCCCAAACATTATGATTTACAAATGGATATTATGATAAGAGTGAAGTGTTGTCAAGAAACTAAAAATCCAAAGTGACGAAGTGCCCCGGGTGTCTGTTTTGTTACGTTCCGTTGCTATATACCCTCTAAAACCTTCAATATGTCTGATAAAACCTCATCGTCCGTCGGCCCCAGGAGTTTCGAGACGATTTCGGAGGAAGATGGCGAGTCGCCTTGGGACAAACTATTGGGTGATGTGAAAGCTGCTGTACCTACTATAATTACTACGAATCCGTCAACTGCTACTATATCTCCGAGTGGGGACGTTTCTCCGCCTCGCGTGGACCTGGAGTCAAGTCTTACACGATCTAAGAGCCTTAACCAGCGTAGGAACAGCAGCGGTCTACTTGCCACCATCCCTCGGCAGCTCAGGCTGTCCCTTCGCGGCGTCCGCAGTGAACCTTCCAGTGTCAAAGACGTGCCAACCGGTAGAAATGAAAGTGCCCTTAACCTTCTTCTCAAGTAAGTACAACTCTCTACAATCTCTATAATACTCGTAAGAGTACTTCTGTAAAGAAGTAATTTTAAATGTACACAAAATAGAAGTCGTATGACATTTGTAAGATGTCAGCTTATAATATATATATGAAACGGAACGCCCTGCATCAAATAAAGAAGAGAATTAGTACGATTAGGTAATTTCTAGCTCAAACCTAGTATAGAACATTGGCAGAGAAATCTAGTCAGACTGAAACCATACGTGAGTGCCAACGCGTGCTTCACAATATCATTTAAGAATTCTCATTAGACGGGTATAAAGGTCAAGAACAATGGCGCCCGCATGGCTTCTTCCATTATTGTATCGCCATTAAAAAATGGTGACCTCTGATTACACCCGTCTCATCAAAAAATCAGACGAAAATAAATTTGCATGAGTTAACTGCCACAATGCATATAAATCTAACTTCCGGCTGGAAAATGTCCTAGACATTGGAGTAAAAATGTGCTAGCAGACCTTGTTGTATGCAAATGCTGCAGAGGAAACGGATGTCCTTCTTTTTAGCTCTGGCTTCGATGCTCTGGGCACAGGAAATTGGGCGCTGTAGGCGCCGTTAATACAATAGGAAAATTAGAATTCCTACATCCTGCTAGACGCTGCTTTTTGATTTAGCAACTGTCTATATTTTTATTTATTAAATAGGTATGTTATTCTATACTTGCCGTTTTGGAATAGTGCAAAACTTGATTATGATTCCTTCCACCGCACTTATCATCGTCCTGTCAGGGGCTCCGGAAGCGACAAATGTAATCAACATTTATTCCGTATAATCTTCATCCACCACCCACCTTGAAATACATTGCTTTCGTCAAATGGCTCTCATCTCCCCTCATAACAATGCAAATCAAACATTTCAGCCAAAATGTTGGCAAGCAAAAGCAAACTATCCGCTTGCTATTTTGGGACGTGTATCAGAATTGTCTATAATGTCTGCAAATTTACCTAATGTTGCTAAATGTCAAACCGTTAGTTAAAACTGTGCCATAGAAACTATTGAAGGAGGACTGTGTCATTGGTAGAATAAACTGGTACAACATTCCGTTCATCTTGCCAGCGTAAGAAGGTTAAAACTGAATTTACATTGTAAAAGGTAAATTTTGTCAGTAAAAATTTTACTAAATTGATTTGGATCACGATATTACGAATATGGTAAGCACCTACTTTGTGAAGTTTCGCACACAAATGACGAAGTGTCATTCCTTATATTTAAAGTTTTTCGTTTTACAATTTGGTGATCAATAAACCACAACTTTTATTAGCAGTTAAAGTATTAAAATATAATCTGTTGGTATGTAGGTACGCAGAAAGCCCACTTTAATAGTAAATTTATTTTGTTCTAACAACGGTTGCCTGGAAGAAACCGCAAGATATCGATAAGGGCACCCGTTACATTGCGTAATAGTTTTTTAATTTCGTAATAGTGTTTGTATTAATATCTAGTATATAAGTAAATTTCAAACTTCGAACCACTGCATAATCTATGTCTACGTTCTAGATACTTCACTATATTGCGAATCTGTATAAAATATTGATTGGCTTCTTAGAAAGCGTGCGAAGATATGCGATTTTAATAAGCAGTTCAAATTCAAGACTCGTCTTCGCCAAGAGCGTCGCGAGGCCGGTCACTTCCTCCACTTCGCATATAACAATACTATTGATGTGCTGTATCGTGAGTGCAGCAAGAACACTAACGTGTCCGATCGAGGTCTTAGGGCTACCAATCTGTAGACTCAAAATCTATATAGAAAAAAAAGAGAATTATCTCCTAGTGCGAACCAAATCTTATAACAACTAAACCGCGATCCTTGTTACTTTGGTCGTATTTCATGAACCGCCAAAGATATTTTTTCACAGATGATGATGATTTTTCTTAATTATGTAACAAAAATAGAAATAAATACTTTTTTTTAATTTGTTCCGGAAACATATGTATTTGCTGCCAACTCGCACTTGACTGTTTTTTCTATGGAAACTATGTATAATGTATTCAAAAATTCATATTAAAACTTTAAAACTTTTTATTGCCCTTTAACACAGATTTTACAGTATGCTCATAACTACTAAATTGCGAAATACAATAATAAATAGATAAGAATGGAAATCGGTACGAGTCTCAGCTGTGCTGCTGAATGCTTGTCACACTCAGCAGCGCTGGTTTTCAGACTGGCCCGGGTATTGTAGAAGAAGAGTAAAGTTTAACTACTACCGCCACTAAATCAGTGATTATAACCGGGATAGAAGAAAACGTACTCTCCTCGCCATGGTTAATATTTTTACTTTGAAATATTCAACAGCTGTTAACCCTTAGGGTCCCCACTTCCTGGCGTGTCTTATCACTCGAGGCGTTATTAAAAAATCAACTCATTCGAGGCACGTTGTGGAAAATTCCTCAATAGACTTGATTTGAGGACACATTTCACTGTTAATTTGCATTCATTGAACAATATACCAAACGGTTTCAAATATTTATTTTAACGAGTTGGAATTCTAAATATTATAAATCTCATAAAAACCATAAAATTCAACAAAAAAAAGTTAAAAATAAACGAAACAGAAACTTAACGTAAAGTATTTTAACTGCACAACTGAACAAAGTTCACATCATTACAATTAAATGAAGAAAACAATTATATATTTTAAAGTGTTTTTAAGGTATATTATGAAGTAACAAAATGTATTAAGATAATTTATTCATCATTCAGTTTCAGATTGTCTTGCTTTCATAATAATTAACATTTATTATACTTAATACCATATACATTCAAAGCATAGGATGTCATCACCCTCAGGCCTAGCGCATGTCAAACCATCGGTCCCGTGTATCACCATTAATTCATTGGCGGTGGTTGATAAAACCATGTCCCACCATGGATATAAGTTGGTTGAAACGCTATAGTCTTGAATAGAGTCAATATTAAACCATGCAGTTATTAAAATGCCAGTGACATTGTTTTAGCCTTGTCAAAGACGCAGAATGCGCGGAACACTTTTTCCGGAGCAAATCGATTTCGAAACAATGAAGTGGAAAATACCATTGTACCTATTATGTATAATTTAATTATTTTCGATGCTGCGTGGTTTTTATTTCTGTAGAGTATTAATATATACGGAATACCTAAATGAAATTATACATACAATATTTTGTTACATACATAAGAATGAAACAAATGCCATAGCTCTACTCTCGTACCTATTCGCTTCATTTTTTTCTTGATAACTCATTTATTATTTTTTATTATAATTATTAAACCCAAGCGTAATGCTTTGGTTCATAACACTCAACTAATATAGCTCGCAGATCATAAACTTTCAAGCGAATATTATTTATTTCAAGTACGTTTTCCTCAATCGTTTTCCGCTCATTTCCTTCACATACTCGTAAGTGACTTTGACAATTAATGGTTATATTAACTCGTCTATTAGTTAACCGGTGATAAAATAGTTTAACAATATTTGAATATTGTTTTTTTTAGATCAAGAAAACCATAGTTTCTAATTGGCTAGATAATAGTTTTATCTAAAACTGAGGTATTTTCAATGCATTGGTGTTTTTGAATAATCGTGCTTTGTACATGCAATTCATGTTTTCGTCTTGTTATTGTATCAGTATAGCTAGTAATGTTTATATTACACGTGGCTATGCGTTAGCAATTGATGTGGTGACGTAGAACAGCGATTGTTTCAATACAGTATTTAAGCGACATCTGTTTCAGTAAATCCTATGAGTATATATTTTTTAGCATCTAGTCCGACCAACATCCACCTTTGGCTTATTCATCTGATCCAATGGTCGAAGTTTTCTAGAAACAAACGTAAATAAAAAAAAACGTGATAGAAGTGATTGAAATCAGTATCTTTAGTTTATCTGTTTTTTTACCCCATGTACCTAGAGAGGGACAGGTGTCTAATAAGTTACAAACAAAACATTGCTGTCGGCTTCGGTTAAAATACGAACTTTGGATACATATCGTATGTAAGAGCACCAATGACAATAATCGTAATATAGATGTGGGAACAAATTTTTTCAATACATATTCATACTAATAGATGATGTCATTCTGAACGACTATGTTGGTATAGATACCAACCTATACAATAATGTATAACTTTGATAACTTAACGGCGTTAACCTATGTACTTGAATTGAAATATCAAAGAAATACTGTTCTTATCAAATGATTCGTGCCGCCATTTGAAAGGAAAAGTTAATAAAATACCTACAGAGCCATCTAGTATAGAATAGCTGAAACCGTTCTAACCCACATGTTTCAAATTACGGTAGTAGCACACTTTTTGTGCGGTTATACGATAGGTATTTTTAACTGAAGTGTCACCGGATTAATTCGACTTGGCAACGGTCTTTAGGACGAAGTTCGGCACGTTTTAGCGTTTGGCTTTGACTTATCCTCTTAGATATAGCTTCGTAATAGTCGAATATCGTAATATAAGCATAGATCTGACGTCCTTTTGTACAGAGCATATAACAGCTGCCATTATTTAATGACGTATACAGTGTTATAAATAAAAAATCTTAATTTATTCTTCGTCTAATTCTCAATATTGAAATAGGTTTGGCTTGTCCTTATGGGAACATATGTACCTATATTGTACTTGTATAATATGACATGAACAGTACTGTCAGTTTGTTGTGGAACATATGGGATTAAGTCTAATAACTAAAATCTCTTTCCAAACTGATGTTGAAAAACGTATGTTGACTTCTCTGGTACTCTTAGAAATTTATTTTTTTAGAGAAACAACAGCATAATCTTTGATAACTAAAATATGCTTATGAGCAATGTGAATTATGTTTCTAAAAATGACGTGATTTAATGAACAAATGAATCAGCTCTAATGTTGGATTTATCTTAATTATGTTTGTAATTTCCGATACCAAAATACCCGTTTCTTTGATGCGTAATTGATTTGATACAGAGATATCGGCAGTGTTTGAACTTTAAATAATTCGGGATGTTTCTCCTGGTTCCAAAATGTAGTATTTAGTGGTAATTTATTTTATTAAAACAGACTTGAAGATCGCAGGGGTCGCCACCGTCAATGTTGGCACGGGACGCCTCAACTATGTTTGTTTGTGAATCTTCCCATCTGAAACGTTAAACATCCGCCAGTTTCAGTATTCAATCCATTCTCCACACAATCAGTGGTTGTGGCCGTGTACTATACTACGACGCCATTTATTTTTTAAATCGTGCTCAACCAAGATGATATCGGTGTTACGAAAGTTCGTTGTGTTATTGTTTGACATCAAGGAGGTTTTTAGTGAATTCCTTATAAACGTATTATTAAAAGACAGAGCGGTGACAATTTTGTAACTTTTGCGTTAACCTGCTTATTGACCTAAGTGAAACTTTTTGACCTAAGTGAAACTTTTTGACCAAGTGTTATCAAAGGCGTTGTTTTCTATATATTTTTATATCGTTGAAATCGCTTACGTGGTTCGATGTTTAGTAGAATGTCGGGACTAAAACGATGTATAAGCCAAGTGTCGATGTTCCTAATGACTGGAAAACCCATCAATTCGTCAGAATCAGCTTGGAAGGAAGAGTCGAAAAAGTGGGTAACAGACACATTTTTGCTGTTAAGCACCCGAAACGTCGGACCGTAGTTAAAATAATTTCCAAATAAGTTTAACCGTTAAAGTGTTTTATTTAAATGTGTACTACTCGCGTATACTACAGACTCATTCATGATAAATTTTTTTTACGACACATAAATGTCCAGCTTATAGTAATGCGCATATTTCAGACGAATTATATCACGTTCACAAAATTAAACTCAATATCTAAGAAAATTTTTTGATTATTTTTTTAATGATTTACATAGAAAAAGAAATTGAACTGTATATTCGATACATATGGGGGGGGGGGGGGGGGGCCTTTCCCAAAGGGGGGCTCTCTCCCGGGAAACCCAAGAGGAAAGAGAAAAAAGTTTACGGGAGAGATTAAGTGGAAACAAATGTAAAATGTTAAATATAATCTTAAACTTCAAATAACTTACATACAATTTCAAAACTTTCTAGGGGAAACAAAACTAAAAAAAGGATTTACATAGAAATAGATTGTGTATTGGCTATGTTCACATATTTCAAAAATAAATCATAGATCTGCCCTTTTAAGTAGCTCGTAGGTCGTGCCTACGATTCGTAGGCGGTTCGAAACTTTCTCAGGAACCCTTATAAATCATTATTTAATATTACAAATAAACAACGACAAGACCAAACAACAAGAGAATACCGAATGATTGTCTTTTATTCTAAAGTCAGATGTTTTTGCTCCAATATTAGATAAACAAACCTGGACGCAAATCAATTTCAAAGCAATCACGGAATTCAACACGTACAAATAAACCAATCAATTATGATTAATGGCATTTATACAAACAAAATATCTACATCACTCACCGCTCTCAAGTGAATGAACCAAACACATTTATTTGATAAACGAGATTTATAAATTGCCCCTTGTTCCGAGAAATAGAATTGTTTTGTATGAAATCAATTTATTATTGATTGTTTGATCATTCAGAATGCGAAAAGATAACAATGGCCACGGTGGTGGAATGACAACGGGCGAAAGAATTGAAAAGATATTAAACAACCGTCATACACTCAAAAATGTGTTTGAAGTAATGTTTATGTAATATTTAAAAGATGTATTTAATACTTCGAGTCGCTGCGCCGGCGCTAAGTTAGTAGGGATACGCCAAAACTCGTTGAAAGAAGAAAAAGTTCGTCAATGTCTAATTACTTAATTTAATACAATTACTACTAGTTCTACTTATGACTTAGAAGTTTTTTTAATAACGACTCAATAAATGGTCTTAATTCTTTTTTGAATTATTTCTTATAATTTATTTTATATAAAACACTTCTAATAACTTCTAAAAACGCGAAATGTTTTACTTAACTTATTTATTATTTATTTTAACTATGGCCCGACCTTCAGAGGCTTTGCAAGAGCCGTGGTCACGGAGGGCTGAAGATGAAAGGTGTCTCTAATGTGTTTCTTAAACTAAAAATCACTTTCGTAGGTTATGCGAGGCATAAACCGTGGTTCCGGCGTACTTTTCCAACTATATACATTCGTTGAATCCTTTTGTATTAATTTAAGCACTATTAAATATATAAAACATTTTTTGGCTTTAAACATATGGTACATAAACAAAGTACACAAAAACATTATTTAAGCTTATCTATATATTAGTTGAAGCTCTTAAATTTTATCAGCTTTAATAAAAGCGGCGATAACACAGATACCTGTAAAAGGCTTCGTTACATTTAACTGTAGTGCTTTAATCAATTTCGCGAAAACACTATGCCAAGCTCATCTTATTATTCAGTGCCCGTGGATTATTGTATCAATAATACAACAAGACTTCTGCAATCATGCACATTCAAAGCTATGTTCAAACCTTACACGTACGTAAACTATACTGTGCGATATCTTTTAATAATAACTGTGCCAAAGAAAATACTACGGTCAATGTGTCACTTATTTGTTAGGGTAGTTGTATCGTAAGTTAATTTTGTAAAGTCATTTTAATAATAGTTGTTATGTAGTTTACAGCTACTGTAAAGGAATATAAACGTCGGGTCGCAAATGAGTTAGCTAAAATATTTCGCGTTTTAAACCGTTCATAGTGTTTTATTAATAGTCACCTGGAACTCAAACCCACTACGACTAGTAAGCAGAGATCGAGTATCTCAACCTTTTATGCATATATGCTCTGGCGAAATGTTATATTATCCACAGTACTTTCTCAGTCAATAGAAAGAAAGTTATAAAGATATGAGTTAATAATAATTCTCATAAATACTATCTGTTACTCTTCCCTAATAAGGAAGCATTTTAATTAGCTGTAGAGATTATTATTCATAACAGTTCAATGTACTAGTATCATTGGAATTACATAAGTTAAATAAATACTATAATAAAATTCTAAAATAAGCAACTTAATTGCGAAAACAGATGAGGCACTTGAAGTGATTAATTAGCGTGACATTAACCGGGCAAATTGGCTGCCTTCGTTTGTTGTATATCTATGTGACGTCATGCTGCTTCAAAATTTGTAAAAACTGTGTTACACAAAAATTTATCGTCCGTATACCTATGAAAAAATATTTTAAACCTTCGCTAAAAATACAAGGTTATGCTTCTTTTTAATTAAATATACAAGCAATTGAGTACTTATTGCTTTAATTAAGAGATTATTATCAAATAAATTTAAATTTATTTTACAAATACTGTTTAAATAACTAAAATAATTCTTTACAGATATCGTCAAGCCCGATACGCAGCAAGACGCGTGAGAAAGCGCGTAATTTTCAAGCACGGCGACTGCAATGTCGTCCAATGGAACGTGGCTAAGCGCAGGCGCCGATACCTTCAGGACATCTTCACGACCCTTGTGGATGCACAGTGGCGCTGGACGCTACTTGTCTTCGCTCTTTCCTTCATCCTGTCCTGGCTTCTTTTCGCTCTCATATGGTGGCTCATCATCTTCACCCACGGTGACTTGAACCCTCCCTCTAGTGCCAATGAAACCTTCGTTCCCTGTCTCAATAATGTCAACTCATTTACCGGCTGCTTTCTCTTCTCTGTGGAAACCCAGCACACCATCGGATACGGATCAAGAACCACAAATGAAGAATGCCCTGAAGCGATCTTCGTTATGTGCCTACAGAGCATCGTCGGTGTGTTCATTCAAGCTTTTATGGTAAGTTTTACGTTTTGTTTTGACTAACGGATTTATAGTATCTTAGAATAGCTCACGAGTTTGAAATGCAGAATTTTACGTCCATTTGAATTTATTGTATCTATGATTTATCTTTTGTGTCTTTATTTTGGTTGTAGATTTTGAATCATTCTAAGAAACAATTTGTAAAAATAGCTCAAGAATAATTCAAATAATTCTACTTAGTAACGGATTATATTTTCCGATTTCAAAATATCAATAGATACTCAACTTCTATAGAAATCTTCCTCCTTTGTAGCCAATAAGATAATTTCATATTGAAATAAACTTGACACACTGCCAGATTTATAAACGTTGTAATTTGTGATCCAGATGCTCTCTTAAAAATTATTGACTTATTTTAAGAAACCACGTAGAAGTTTATTTATCGTTAAAATCTTACTTTATGCTCTACTATATCCACTTACTCTACGTTCGTAATAATAGGTCGACGTACGCTGCAAACAACATGAAAATATTCTTTGAAATTACTATTTCTTTCAAGTTTTTTGTTTTGGCAAAGCAAGAATTCCGTCGTCCATCTTATACGACATGTTCGTACATATGGTCCATAGCGGTTTCGTCTATCGAAATTATTTCAACAGCTTATCTAATTTTAGGTTGGAATCGTATTTGCCAAACTCTCTAGACCAAAAAAGCGAGCCCAAACCCTACTGTATTCCCGGAACGCCGTCATTTGCTTACGAGAGGGACAACTATGTTTGATGTTTCGCGTTGGAGATATGAGGAAATCCCATATCGTTGAGGCACATATAAGAGCTCAATTAATTCGCCGCAAGGTATATTTTTTCGACAAAGCGGATACTGGTTAGTGATTGGGGATTTCAGTCGGCACGCTTAAGAACCTCGAATAACCTGAGTTGACTAATCAACTCCTCATAAGAAAGTGGTCGTTTGAATTCAAGCGAAATTCGGTAACCAGCGGCCATTTTGGGTCAATCGGTTCTGGTGTTGAATCTCAAAACCACTTTCTCTTGTCCATAGGTGGGTCTAATATTCGCGAAGCTGGCTCGCGCCAAAAAGCGTAATACAACTCTTCTCTTCTCGAGGAATGCTGTCATCTGCCTGAGAGATGGCGAGTTTTGCCTTCTATTTCGGGTCGGCGACATACGCAAATCGCATATTTTGGAAGCGCATGTTCGAGCTCAGATTATTAGGAAAAAGGTATCTGTGTGGAAAATGCTACAGTTACTTTTACGTTGATGTTTTATTCATGTACATATTCTGGCACTTTGTATGTACTAAAGTTTGAAGAGCTATTGATTGAACGGTATTAGACCCGTCTAAGGATTTCCCAAGCTATCATTCATACTTTAACTCTTCATCATATATAACTAACATCTTTGTATTGTAGATGATATAAGTAAGATGCAATAATAATACCTCTGTCAAGAGCTATGCATTTGCTGTTTTAACAATCATTTCTTTAAGTTTTAAAATCATTTAAGATCTTATTATATATTGCATGCTCATGTCTTGCCTTACGCTTTTATAACACGCTCAAACGTCAAATATCACAAAATGCTTTTTGGGTGCTTTATATAGATCGCAAGTAATACGCATTACATATTAATGTGTACAATGAAATTACCTATTATTATCGAAATCAAATCAGTATTATAGACATACATCGAAAATTAACGAATTCGTTCATATTAATTCATAGATCACCAGAGAGGGGGAACTGTTACCATTTTACCAACAGGAGTTAAAGGTTGGAGCTGATGGAGAAGAAGACAGACTGATGTTCATCTGGCCCATGACAATAGTTCATAAGATCAATGAGAAATCGCCGCTATACAACCTATCTGCCTCAGATATGTTAAGGGAGAGATTTGAAATCGTAGTTATGTTAGGTAAGTTAAACTATATCCCAATTTCTTTCTTTTAATTATATTAATAAAGCTTGAATCACAGTTAATCTACCCGTTTCCGATTTATTTAACTTTTTTGTTAGTTGAAATTAACTTAAACAGTCGGAAATGTCTTTACCGATACACATACTTATTTGTATCAATTTAATATGAAATAATAATATTCCGAGCCGTGATTGTAACAAAAATTGACAAGATTAACATTTGAAAACTTTATTATTTTTACATGTTATTGCACATGAAGACACTATATAATTTAAAAATCGAAAGTAAATTGAAAAAATTCGATCGAAAATAAAGAGCAACACGTAACGCTGACGATGCCGGTTCAAGCTCGAGTCCTGCCCGAGTCGAAAATATGTATTTTCAATTTATTTCCGATTCTTAAAAGATTGACATTATCAAAGTAAAGCTTACTAATCTAGCGTATGATGTAGAAAACCTATCTTAGAAAATTGATGAAAACAAATTATGTCCTATGCGTCATGCCTTGCGCTTACTTGACAAAAACTAGTCAATGCCTTACAGCTTACTTTGTGAATATAGATAGTTTATTTATGGAAAATACTAACAGTGATACTTCTAACTAGTTCATCTAAAATCTTTATTGGTCGAAATTTTCAGAGGGTGTTATTGAGTCAACTGGGATGACAACTCAAGCGAGAAGCAGCTTTCTACCATCAGAAATTCTGTGGGGCCATCGATTTGAAACCATGGTGTCTTTCAGAAAGGATACTGGAGAATATGAGGTGAATATTTCTTCAGTCAATGTAAAATTGTTTAAATTCTGTGTTGGTTTCTTGAACTATTTATTTTATACGTTAGCATCTTGTAAGGTGCGTTGTCTTTATTTATGTAACGATTACGAATAATTTTCGTCAAATTGTATTATATGAATGATATTTATTATTTTTAAGTTATATTTAAACATGATATCCTATTTTATACCAATATACATACATATTTTATAACTGTACCTTGTAGTTGTAGTAGGCATAGAAAGTTAAGTGAATGTAAGTTATTACTTTGATTTTGAATTTTAAAAACGTATCGGGCGTATTCTAGTAGTTTCAGTGACAGATGACTTAACAATGACGTTTATACTCGTTTAAACTATGTAGTTTTATTTTACTAGCTGCTAACTAATTAACTAGCTGCTAACTTAACTTTAACTAGCTTCTTAAGCTATCTTAAGCTTAACTAGTGCGCCCGCGACATCATCGTTGCGTCCCATCGTTCTGTCATTTTTTTAGATCATTTCAAGAGAAATAATTCTATAACACATATTTTTTGGTTTCCTCAACTCGCTGTCGCAACGCACGCAACTGTGTCCCTCAAAGATAAATGATTATTCCGGTTATTTCCACTTTTTCCGCCGTTTCTTCGCTTCTACCGGTCTCAGCGTGATATTATAGCCTTCCTCGATAAATCGTCTAACCGTCACAAAAAGGAATTTCAATTAGAACAAGCAGTTCTTGATATTAGCGCGTTTAAACAAACTCTTCAGCTTAGATATACAACTTGCATGATCTACAGATACTGAATTGTGTTATTTACAGGTGGATTATACACGGTTCAATAACACGTATGAAGTGGACACGCCCCTCTGTTCCGCCAAGCAGCTCGATGAACTCCGCGCCACCGTCTCCACTTCTCAGAAATTAGGTATTCCTCGATATCCAAATATAACCTGTTTTGTTGCAACGTCATGTGTTTTTCCTTGTTTTTATCTGATATTGGATTGAACTGTGATTGTTATATGTAAAGGTTAAATTTAATTGAGGCATTGAGAATTCAAATCTAAGATATAATGTTTTTAAATAACACACCTTCAACTTATTTACAATTTATTGTCCCCCTGTGACCGTGGCGGCTGCAAATCAACCGAAACGTCGGGATTTCTAGTAAATTATCGTTCTTATTTGATTTCCTTAAAAAGAAATATACCTTTCTAGTCGAGTTTCGTTCTTACTTAAAATTATGCTTTCTATGATCTCTAAAAAATCCACATAGCTTTAAAAATGAGTTTAAGGATAACACATATCAATATTAAGTACCATTCTTATTAAATATGCTAACGAATATCTTTATCCTTGTTTGTAAATTTCATTTTCCTTGTAATAATACTTTGAGGATACTCGAAGAATTAAGTTTTACCTTCGAATCGACACCGCGTTTTGCGTAGGCTTACGTTTCAGTGAGACTGAAAAGAAGCATATCTAATAATAGAAGATTATAGTTCTTAATAATTAATAAAAGATAATTATATCATTAGGCATTTTCTAAAATTATATTTATCACTTATTTTAATAATGTAAATTTTAAAATTATTAGTCTAATAGACTGAAATATCTATATATATTTTATGTTAATGAATTACGCGTCGTGGTGTTATAAAATTGTAATTGCGATTACTAAAACATTGATATAACATGTTATGCTGTATCAAGTGTTCGGTGGTCATTGCGCCGTACACCTTTCTTAATCATTACAAAATTTCGAAAAGATAAAGTAACAAAAAAAACTTATATGTCAATATGAACATGCTTTTATTTACCAAACTTTTTTTTAAAATATTTCAGATCGTATGCTCGGTACCATTCCCAAGACGTTCTCCAATGACACGTTAGACATGAGCTCAGTGGATTCCATGTCCTTGGATGAACACATAGAGATAAGGATCCCAGAGTCCAGGGTGAGGGAAAATAGGCTCATGGCCCAGAACAACTTCGTGCAACACATCAACGAGAGAAACAAGAATTCGAGTCATACGCATTTGGCAGTTGAGAACGGCCACGAAGCTCTACCCAAAAACAATTCCGCAGTAATAGTTGGTGAGAGATCGGAGAAGGATGGTCACATCCACAGGAGTCATAGTCACGCTAGTATGAAGAGAATCCACGGTCTAGCCCCGAACGGCATTGGCCATATGGCGAACGGCCATGATCACAGGGTTGAACATAAAATTAAAAAGTAAGTTTTTAAAACATAATTTTTGATTGAAAGAATTATCGATGGCCGGACTCAAACCCACGAATAAAGGCCGTTTGTTGCTGTACCAACTTAGTTTAAAACTATATTCATGATGTTCTTTAACACTTTTCATTTTTATTTTGAAGGCTAATAACTAAATATTTACACATACAATATAACATCTATATAAACTAGTACTTAAGTTCTCAATTACGATACACAGCTCGAAAACCTAATAAGCTTACAGACAAGCATTTTTGGAACACAGTAACACCCAAAGAGCCGATAATCTTTCATCAATGTTGTCTGTTTAAGTCTTTCACATACCTAAATAGTTTTGCTCTATAATATTGTAACTTTGTATTTCAGATCGCCAAGCGACCACAACCTACCTGATAAAACCTCAGTGATCCCTATTCTGGTGACGTCACCCGCGCCGGAGCCCGCTTGACGACATCCCACCATGAGATACGACTCTGATTCCGTTAGCGTTCATTCTTTTTATAATCGTGACTCACCTCCTGCGAGTTATACTCCGTCGCCTGGCAAAACCAATTTATACTCTACCCATTTTATTCATTCACTTGTCACTGACTTACCTTCAACTAGCAGAAACTCTATCTTTTTAAATGACAACGAATCGCCAGCCAGGTCTGAATCAAGAAAAGTCCGCACTCATGTAAAATTTTCAACTAATTAATGTTAATAGAAATGTCTTACATAAGAATGTTACAATAAAAATTGTACTAGTTTTGACAAAGTCTTATAAAGTTCCTATAGTAAAGTAATTTATTTATAGCATTTTAAAGATAAATCTAATCTAAAGATTGATTATAATTTCTGAATACATGCGTAAGAGAAATATCGCAATGTGTCAAACTTTTAAAGCAATTATTATGACAATTATGGTCATATTCTGTGGACAACAGTCAACTCATGCCATGACGTCAGATTGTTAAAACAAATATGGCGCTGTTGAAGCCACTGTCAAATTATTCTTAAAACTATTTTATTAAAATAAAACAGTTCAGTTTACTGTTAATTTTGTAATATGTAATAGAAAATTCGAAAACCCCTGTTTTAATGTACTAGCTACTTAAACATTGAAAAAAAATGTATGTCACTAAGTGTCAGTGCCGGAAATTATTAGTGGAACTATCATATTTTATGTGTTTAAAAATGACAATCTAGCGCACTGGCTGGCTGCCAACAATCTGCGTTGGAGCAAGTAACGTTGAAATCAAACAAAAATACATTATGTGCATTAATTTATAGCACAAATCTTTGTTCTCAATTGGATTATATCTTTTTTTTGGTACATTTGGTATAACAATATTCAAAAATTGAACAATCAGAAGAACAATAGTTATTTAAGTATGTTCTAATGACGAACTTATCTATTGCAATCGAGATACTTATATGAAAAATATCAAAGCGGGACAGGGTTGTAAGTAGACCAAGTATTTATTGTATTTAGTGAAATTTAGCATAGGGGAAAATTTATCCTGGAATATTGTTTATAAAACGATTTGTCTAATAAATTTCAACCTTATGGTATTAGTTTTAAGGCTTTTAGTTTTAGAATTTATATTTTTCTATCGCCAGTCAAACTATGGATAGAAAAGTTTCTTCCAAAATATAGTTCAATATATTTTCTATTATAATAATTAGCAACTAGTTATGGTAATTTGTTTATTAGTTACTTCGGCCTTAATACACTAATTCTTTTAAAAATATCTCTACCAATCTCCTCTTCATAATTATGTCTATATTTTTACACAAAACAAAGTTAGAATGCTTTTTTTAATAATAAAGAAATAATATTTCAAATATCTTCTTAAGCTTAAAGGTTTTGAAGTAACTAAATAATTTGATATTATATTAGATTAATTAGTAAACTCTTACTAATGTTTTTGAAATGTACTTAAAAATGAAAGAAGCTCCATTATTATGTTAACAATAATAATTCTTCCAAGGAATATTTTTTAAAGTGTTTATACAAATTTGTTATGAAAATCTTGTGATTCATTCCTTTTTAGAAGAAACAACAATACAAGATATAAAATGGTTCCAAATATTTTTTCAATTTGTACAAAACACATTTTGTGATATTTATTGTTCAAATTTTAGGATTTTTTTGATAGTAACAGCTGGAGTTGAGTCTGTTTAAAGGTATGAATAAGTAAGCCAAACCTAAGTTTTGGGACTACGAGTGTATTTCTTAATTTATGGAATTTTACTTTTAAACAGACTTGGTTTTATAGTTCTAAAACAGTTGTAAAGGGCGCAGGCGCCAAAAATGCTTAGTCCAATGTGATGCTTTTATCAATCAATGATGATTATCTTAGAACATAAAATATTAATCAAATCACTGGTGTTTCATTTAGTTCCTATAAAAATAAATGAATCTTCATCCACATATTAAACATTAAAAATGATCTTTAAAAAATATATATTGCAAGAGCAAGTCCCCATTTCGATTCAAAATAAATTTTAAAGTTTCCCTATCTTGGCTAATCAAAGTTTCTTCAACATGCATGCCAAGTTAATGATAACAATTCACAATTACAATTTGCTAAGAATATTATAAACAATAAATCGAACTCACGAACGGAGAAAAGGTGATTGAATAAAACTACAAATAGATGAGGTTGAAGTTATTCATTAGAATATATTTAAGATCAAATAATATATTATATAAATATTTACTTATAAAATACAGTATTCCTTAGTTTTTAGACATTTTACTAAACTACCTAATTTTTATGAGTATCTCAATAACAGATATAATTGAATTATAGAAAAAGGTTTAATCCTTCCCAAACAAATCTTCCCTTTAGTTTCACTAGTCACCGCAGTGGCGCTAGTGAAGCCTTAGTGGACCAAAAATATTTTAAACCAATTATGTATAAGTATATTTAATGAAATTTCTTCTACTTATTATACATTAAGGAAATATAACGAAATTAAGATCTTTACTTAACAATTTAATTTATTATATTTCTAAGGAATGGGCCTTAGCATAGAATCTACTAATATTAAACGCCATTACGATTTTACAATATTGACGTGTCAACTCTTTTTATTACTCTTCTTTGATTTGCGATTACTCTTCTCCTCTTCGCTAGAAGATGATGACTGGTGTGGAGCATCAAAGAAATCTGCCGGATATTTGATGGAAGATGGTCGATTCGTGAGACTAGCCCTAGCGATGGCGTCAACGACCAATCTATCTGAAATTCTTGACAGCGGTTCGACAGGTAAAGGTGCAACCCCACTTGATGGTGTTGAACTATTATTATTAATGTATCCTGAAACGTGCAATTTTGCTTTATGTTAAATTTAGGAAATGTATTTGATATTATAAACGAATATTTGACAATATGTCCTCGTTGGCTTCCATCATTTGGTCTGGTAATAGTACTATAAACTTTGGATTTTTTCGAACTTTATCTTCTTCTAAATCGTACTAATTTAGCAAAAATCTATTCCTATATGTAGAAATTTCTTTAAAATCTCAAAAAATGTAATTTCTAAATATTATTGTGTAACTATTCGTGGTATAAAATAGAGATGTTAGAACATATAATTATATGTATATGCCTTGGAACTACATATATTTATTGTAAATACGCGATGATAAGATGTTTTCCTATCGCCACGTAGCGCCTATTTATACTGAACGATTGCCTAGTTCAGTCTTGTTGTTTAGGAAATAGTTTCAACTTACCGGCTTTCCATTTATCACTCTAACAACCACAACGCAGACATTTACACAAAAAGCAACTCTAGGTACAACATTTCTTTCCCATTAAGTATTGAATACCATAATTCGGAAATCTTTTTTTTTCTAAAAATTATTTTTATAGTAATACTTTAAAAATATATAATAAATTGAATTCGAAACTCAAAATTAAGGGAGAGGTAAGAAATTAAACACAAAATAACGTCACAACATGCATTATTCACTCATTATATACAAAAAAATGCAGAAATGAATGTTAAGTTAAGAATATATTTCCTCACATAGTTGCGACATCGTTTTCGTAAACATAAAATATAACATCGAAATACTGAAATTTGGACTTCATCTTATGACATTCTTGGTCCTTAATATTTAATAATATACTTAAATCTATAAAACCTTGATAAAATTAGTATAACACTGGAATGTTTTGAATTAAACGTAACACGGGCTGTGGACAGTAGAATATATCGCAAAAACACGATACTTATTCTTCTAAAAGCTTGACTAGTGGAAACAATGCTAACGATCAAAATTTGATATGTTTTTAACTAAAGAGATTTAAAAATAAACTATTCACAATACCTTATTCAAAGGGATAATAGATATAAATTCTGTATAATTTTGAGATTTCTTTAAAATACATGTTTCATTCGTGTGTTTTATTCTCCTTAAATACTAAGACTATAATGTGACAGTAAAGTCGCCGTTCTTCTCAACAGCTTTGGGTTCTGGAGTTTTTGGTTCCTTCGGACGTTCGGGCAGCTTAAGGACCAATGGTTCCGTGCTCTCTGCGATACATCACAAAACATATTATAACTTATTTCTATTAACGTGGCCCATGAAGGACGAGAAATTAGTAGGAAAGAATTTTGCTTTTAGTAAAATTTAAACATTCCTTTAAAAGTGACATCGTAGTATTTTTATCTCGTTTAGTCATGGGCCCAGAAACTATACATAGTAATCACTAAAAATAATAATTAAAGTAAATCAGTTCTTCGATACAAAATGATAATGAAAGAGATTGTGCAGTAATAAAAATACAAACGGTTAGCTCAAGAAAACGTTAAAAAGGAACAACCAAATAAATTGTAAAAACTTTTGCTTATGTTTTCGTTTTTCGTCATTAACAAAGTGCAAATTAATAAAGACAATGTAAAGATTATGTGTTTTGTGTTTAGAGTTCACCGATGTATTTATTAAAACCACTACCTAGTATATATTATGATCTTTCTGAACTATTACATGACATAAAATTATTATCATTTATCGTGACGTGCCTAGGACGCTTGTACCACTCTCATTTTGCTTAATTAAATGCATTTTAACTATAATAAGAAAGTAATAACACCACAAATTGGGAAAGTACAAACTATAGATTCAAATGAAATGAAATAGAAAAAATGATTTAAAATTTGAGAATTAAAAAGGCTAAATTCCCTTTTCTTTATTTCCTTTTTTTTGGGCGTGGGAAGACACACTTCTGTGCTCATATTGATTGACATAATTCACAAAAAAATCAGTCTTTTATGGCCGATAACTTAGAAGTCTTTTTATTTTTCAAATATCAAATTAATACATTACTTAGACTAAAGTTATAACGAAGAAATGACATTTAATGTTGATAGGAATATAATCGGAAACATGGATTGCGACAACATTTATCTTAATAAGTTTTTAGTGTATTTTTTAAATCAAGATATTGGTTAAAGACTGAGATGCAGTAGTTTAATATAAAACAAGATATTGACATTATTTAAGCTATTGTAAAAATTAGTATTATTTATAAATTAAGCGTAGACCTTTCGTAGACCTCTCTAAAGGTGGTCAATGGACTTTTGCGTAGCATCTTATTTTGTCATGGTATTGTATTACTATTAGGTATGTAGTATTATTAGGTATTTCAATTGCTAATAATGAAAATAACCATTGTTACGATTTTGAAACCTGACGTAACTACCAATAATGTGCTTAGTTAATTCATGAAAACAGTTAACGACAAAACCAGTATACATAGGTATTGTTAGTGTTATATAAAAACAAGCATTATTAGTGATTGAAAGAGAATATTAGTAACACACTTAGTGTGCACATAAAATTAATACCACACGCCATTAAAATATATTTCCTCGTTAAGGCTAGTTTTCATTCAAATCTCTTCAGTTGTTTTCAGTTATTATTTTTAAACACAGTTATTGTAATGGATTGTTCAGTCAATTGGTGCATTAAAATGTCGTAAACAAAACATTTTTACTTGTATTTTACATAAGTATGTATTCGTAGAAAATTACCTATTAATCAAAATTTAATTTATGTATTGACAGCTTAATGATTATTGTATTAGAGAATGTTAAATGATACAGAAGTTTCAAATACTTTATACTTAAAAAAATTTGCTAGTTTAAAAAATATATAATACAACTAGAAAAAAATTTGTTACATGACTTAATATTCACACCTTATATCCACAATGATAGCATTACTGTCCCATATAAATCTTAATATAATCATACAATAAATTAGAGTAATTTGTAGCGGTTAATATAAATAAAAATTAATCATTAGCCTCCCACAAAGTAGGTTAAAAATATTAATATTGATAATTGAGCTCATTTCATAAACTGCATAAAGATAATAAATCAAATATTATCTAAGACTATGACTATAATAATTTGTTGAACTTAGATAAATATAACAGATAATTTATCACAGTATTTTACAGAAGTGAATTTATCTTAGATACAATTTATATCAATGATTTTGTATATTATGGTTTCAGTCGTGTTAAGGAAGACGTCACAGAAGCTTACACTAATTTCGCACATACAACCATCCGCCACCGGCTCTAGGTTTAAAAAGCAACTCACCGATAGATCTATGGTCCGCCTGGCTTCCATAAAACTCGTCCAATTCTTTTGCCGAACAGAGAGGAGTATCGACTTGCATAGTGTCGTCGAATTTAGAATAGTCCACCTCGTATCCCTGACGTTCACGATTATATGTCACTAAAGGCACAAATCTATGACCCCACATTATTTCACTGGCCGTGTAACTGGAGCGCGCCTGAGTCGTTTGCCCCGTAGACTCGATAGTACCTTCCAAAACTACAACTATTTCGAACTTCTCTTGCAGTATATCAGCGGCAGATACACCATAAAATGGACTGTCTGCATTTATTTTGTGCACCATAGTGATGGGCCAAATAAAGAACAAATTACTATCACAACCATCTGCGTTCAGCTCCAGCTCTGTCTGATAATGAGAGAGAACTTCTCCTTCTTTGGTTGTTCTGGATCTGATGAGCTGAGCTCTCACGCTAGCACCAATTATGTGAGACTTCCTCATGTCACCTACGCGAAACATTAAACTAAGCTCTCCGTCTCTCTGGCAGATAACTGCATGTTTAGAGAATAGAAGTGTTTGTGTTCTTTGTTTTGGCCTTGTCATCTTTGCAAACACTATGCCCACGGTGAAGGCTTGAATCGTCACTCCCACTATACTTTGGAAACACATTATGAATATTGCTTCCGGACACTCTTCTGTAGTCGTACGAGCACCGTAACCAATCGTATGTTGGGTTTCTATACTGAATAAGAAACAGGATGTAAAGCCGTAAATTCCTAAAACACACGGTTTCCAATTCGACGACTCCTGCATCTCCGGTAGATGGTCGGGTTCTAAGTCTCCATGTGTGAATGCGATTAGCCACCAAATAAGTGCAAATATCAACCAGGACACTATGAAGGAGAGAGTGAATAACAGTAATGTCCACCTCCATTGAGCATCCACGAAGGTCGTAAACATATCCTGCAGGAAGCGGAGCCGTCTCTGGCTGATCCGTGATTTGAGAATGTTACATTCGCCATTTTTAAGAACAGCGCGGCGCCTAGACCTTCTAGAAAGGCCGTGTCTGTGCGAGCGATTCCTGAAATGAAAGAAGAAATAAATTCGTACACGTTCCGTCTGAATGCTCCAATAGTAATTATAGATCATAAGAGAGCAAACGCGTAGATCACGCGTGAACGATGCTACGACGCTACGACCTTCATCAATGTTAATGTCGATAATGGTCACTAGTTAAACTTATAGCTAATTATAAACTGAGATTATAACTATATATTGAAAACTAAATAATGGAAATGAAACAATGCAAGAAGAAAAAGCGAAACAGTACGGATGGGTGTCTGTCGGAGACGGCACGGGTGTTCGCTGATCGACGAACCTCTTGGTGCCGGTCGGGTAGTAGACCCCCGGGGAAAGGTTTCCGTTCCCAGGGACTGTTTTGACTTTGAGCCATTCGTCTGGGAGGAGATGTGACTCCTCGCGGCTAACGGGCGACTCTGGGTCGTTGTGCATTGCGGCGCGGGCGCACGGCTCACTGGCAGCTAAGCGTCTGCTCCACCATCCCTCAGTGCCCTCGTGCCTCCTGAAGCATCGCACGCGATAATGCCGCGGTCACGACTGCCTATCGTTCTCCACACAAAAATGACGCGCTAAACGCTTTATAATTATATCGCGAGATTCTATGTTAAAAATTATCAGCTCACTCGGAAAACAAATTTCAGTTAGTATTAATTTTTACTACTCAGGTACGTACAGGGTGTGCCGTTTAAGCAATTTACAAAATAGTCGGGTAAAGTAGTCTTTTTATAATATACAGGAAGAGGATTATTTTTAGGATTGATTTTGTATTCGTGACAAAAGTAATAGCTAAAAATATCATCTACTGTATTAATCGGTAATATTGAAGAACAATAAGAAATAAATAAATCTTGTGTTTGCTACACTTTCGTAGCATTCTGTATATCGATAACCGTTCCACCCCGCCTCTTCATTAAATACGCAATTTGACGAAGTGCGAATTTGTACGCTAATGGATATTTTCCCCCATACTAATTTGTAAATCTCGATTTTTATTGAAGGATACGAAGTTCTTTATATGACATTTATCATATGACATAATATCTTATACCGAATTGAACTATATCCTTATCACTCTACAATTACTTTGAAAGAAAAACTCTATCAAAAATTTTCCCCTTTTTGCAATGGGGTAAAACAGACCCTTTACTTAATAATATTTTTCTTGTTAAGTATCCATATCTTCATCCATTCTAAAAACATCTATACTGATATATTTAACTGAAGAATTTGTTTGTTTGTTTGAACGCGACTCAGGATAGGGGGGGGTTTAAAAATTAGCTCACTATTAGCTGCGACTAATAGTGAGCGAAGAAACAGCAAGAAATGTGGAGAAAATGAGAAAAGTTATTCGTTTTTGTCAGTTTCTATCGCGTACGCTGCGAAAACGGGTCAAGATACCCAAAAAAAAATGTATGAAGGAGAAAGACTCCTCTTAAAATCATCTAAAAAATGTCGGCGATACTATATGTCTATCTTTTAAGATTAACTTCGAACGAAGGGATACGACCGTCGACGTGGGCCAGTTAGCCTGTATCTATAAAGATGAAGAGGTTTGTAAAAACAAAGTCGCTGGCTCAGCTAGTTCTTAATATACCTAATACCCACTCTGTCTTTTTCCCATATTATAAAAGGGTCAAAACATATTATTAGTTAATTTATTGATTATCACCACACCTTAGTAAGCAGATGGGCATGATCATCTTATTACAGCTTAGAGTAAACAATGTGACATCTAGAATCGTGATGTAAAAATCAGCACTTCTTCTTAATAATTGCGATCAACATCATACGTTTTCCTGTTATTTATTTGCAAAATATTTGAAAATATAACTAACAGAAGAGACTTAATATTTGCAGCATATAGGAATACGTACGTAGAAAATTTGAACCACCAAGAAATTTGTTTTTAATTCTAAGTTAATAGCTCCTCGTTGACGTCTTCATATAAGAGAGTAGTCAAGCAAAATATTGGAGTAGCCATAGACATTTTAGAGGGAGTTCCATGTGAAGTAAAAATAGACGACAAATACCCAACGATTTCAACGAGCTAGGGTAATCATACAGTTGTTATTTACGCGTGAATTTACCAAAGTTATGTATCCATAAATTTCGTTATAGAAAATCCTTAGCTATCATTATGATGTACTATCATAAAAGATAATCTGTAAAGTAAGTACTTATCACAGATTATATCATCTATGTGAATCTTTTATCTTACGAATAATAATCGCATACGTAATTTATAGTTCATTTATTTTATTTTATATGTGCAAGAGCTTAATATAGTCTCTTTGTTTTTCACAATTCTAGATAACAATAACTGCTCAATTAGGGATATAAGTAGTAATAAAAAGAACGGATTACTGTATTAACCCTAAACAGAATTCAACGTGCTTAGTTACGTGGAAAGGTCTCAATGGCCGATTAATCACACATTATCTAGACGCGTATCAGTGTTTACAGATTTCTGTGGATTTGCCAGCTTAAAGAGTACATCCTCAACTAAAGAGAGTTATTTGTTAACCTTGTATCTTGACACTTTTAGAGAATTTTAAGGTTAAACAGATTAATATGTATTCAGGTGGAAAGTTACAACGTACAACGAAAAGTTCTTAAATAATTGCGTGTTCGTACACAACGATTTTTTAAATGCTCTGAAAATTTTTGAAAAAATTAAATAAATATTTGACGTAATTAAGATAAAACAATTAAGATAGAAATCTTGTTATATTAATTTATGATTTCTCCTATCTTTAAAGTATAATCTAAGTCTAGACAAGATTGAGGCTCTAGTGTTGATTAATGACGAACTAGGAAGCAGCAACTTTGTCTTTATCTAGCCATAGCCTACAATAGGGTTTTAATCAATTTATGATGTCTCTGAAACATGTTTTAGTCTGAAAATCAACATATCTGTGGATTTCCGACAATCCAAAGCCGAAATATCCGACAATCGACAACGCATCTTGTTTAGATCTGAGGTCCTCTCTCTGAGGATCTCTGTCCTCCTCTGTCATAAAAAAAATGGCTAACGCAAATCTTTTGAGAATGTCGATGAAGATAACCAGATAGATCGTGGGTTCAAGTTCCACTAGTGTTGTCGCTTCTTTAAGCCTATCATAATTTTTCAAATAAAACTAATATTGTAAAATTTATGCTTGGATACATTACCTTTCAAGAACCTGTCACGTTGTCTATCGTAAACGAATGTAGAACAAACTTGGTCAACAGTGATAATGTCTATGTTATCTGCACTATTTGCGCCTGCGACGCATTTTCAGAATATTTTTTAGTACATCAATAAGGATTCAAGAAAAACACATGCACTAATTGAATATCTGATAATAATTTGCAAATAACATGTAACTCTCGTCAACTTAGTCGTGAAACTAAGACTCTAAAGTAAGTTATCGGCTCCCTGATTAGATATTGGTTTGAGAATAGTGATAATGAAATAAAATCAAGAGGTGCGTTTGTTTCTTAGATGTTATCGTAGGAAGTACACAAAGCCGGTGAAAATTTATACGAAGACGCTTTCAATGTAAAATTATCTCTTTAACTTGGTGTATGCGAAGGAAATTAAACACAATTGCGTCCATTTGTATTTTCCTATTTAAAATCTTATAGTTTCTAGGATTTAAAGTCTCTTTATTAACTAAGTAAAAGAGTCCTTAAAAATAATTATTTTTATGCTTAAGAAATTATAAATCCTTATATAATAATTCTTATAAGTGAATAATACGTGTAAAGTTCGTTTTGTTACAGATTTAAAATAAAAACTATTTATTTAACATTCTCAATCTTTAAATCATAGCCTATTTCGCGGATTACTTTCCTAATCTTATCAAAAACACCGATACTACATAGAATGTTTTAGAAAACTACAAATCCTTGATACACGAATATAATCTAAGTAAATAAAATACGTACTTGAACGATTCACAAAGATTGTTTTTGTATTGAACACGATAATATTTAATTCAGGGGAATATATTTATTACACGTTAAATAATATAAACGATTTAAAATATGAATAGTAGTTTAGAATTCAAGTCTCTAGTAGGTATACTATATGAGTAACGAGTACAATGATAACAATTTACATTTACTTTCTCAAAGGTAAAGAATAACATCCTGAGGAAACCAAACCTTCAACGACCACGTATTTGCGGGCGTGGAAGAATTTAGCATATATAGTGGCCAGAGTTGTAGAAATAAATCTCTATGAAGTTAAAGTCTGTGGAATCTTTTAGAAGGCTGAATTAAAATTGAGGAGAGACTGAGTTTGAGTCATGGTCTCGTTTTTTAGACCGCATACGGTGGTTAGGTACGCGAAACAAAGGATATACTTACATATCAGTGTTCATAAATAATTTTTGTTTTTAATTTATTTAAAGTAATTTTATTGAGGAATGATATGAGTAAGAGGAAACGCTAGAAAGCTTAATATCTTTTACAACGTAAGTAACATGCTTTGTATGTACGCACCTACAATTGTCAACGCGGTAAATAGTACTTTGTCCTATCGAACTGCTATACGTTGGTATTCTGTGAAGGCTGCTAACTGGATGTATAGAATGAGGTCGCAACAGCCCACTGCTAAAGCCCAGCATAGGAGTTTCCACCACAGAACTTTCAAATACACTAGTTACATCTGTCTCTTCTTCGATAACACCTGGTTTGTAGAAGATTTTTCCGGCAGAGGGAGCTGGTTTTGGCCTTTCCTCTTTCTGTTGTGCATCCTCCTTTTTTGCTTGCATCTCGTAGTCAGAAGTGGACGTAGACGGCTCCATTTCCGGCACTTTAAGTGATTCCTGTGTTATTTAGGTCTTGTGCACATCTTTATAAATATTGGCATCTTGCTTTGTCGTGTCAGTGATCTGAAAAGAAATTCGTGTTATTATCATGATAATGTTGCTTGTTGGTCTTGTTCTGTTTATTTTTTACATTATAAGGAGGTTATGGATTCCTAAAGCACCCGTACTGCCAGTATTTGCTGAGGTCCAGCGAATGACTGTGGAAAGCGAACGACTGACACGAGAAAATTTGTATTCATAATCTATTTTTTTTTGTATAGCGTGGCGTACAAAGTTCTAAATTATTGTTACAAATACTATATCTAAATGACACTTGTTTTAACCAGTGTTTTGTTCCTTTTGTTTTACTACAACGATTATTTGCTTATAGCAATTTTACGTAACTCTGTATCTAACTCTGAATAATTCTAACCACTGTTTATTAGACGATAAAACATTGGTACTAAAATTAGACAATGGATTATTGTTATATGCAAGTATTACGTACTTATTTTATTTATTGTTTTCATTCGCAAGACATATCGCACACGGTTCAAACGCGGGAATCCTTTGCATATCTTATTACAGCATACAATAAGAACAAGCTCAATGGCATAATATTATCATACAGAATTACATGTGTCCGTGAGTTAAATAATAACAAATAGGCACAGATTTAATCGATTAATATTTTTATATAATATATAAAAATACAAGTTGCTACTTTGCAAAGGACTTATATAACAACAATCTTTATTAACTTTCTTTTAAATTCACAGACAAACATAGAATAAGAATTTGAAAAAAAATCTGGTAAAAGCCAGGTAAAACTCCACTATAAACACACTTGTGCGGCAAGTGACATCTAGCGACGAGTAGAAGAACAAAATCACTATTAAAAGATAAAGCCTTTGTTTTTTGTAAGTAACAAAGTGTGTGAAATTATTGTGTTAATAAAGTCGATTATTATAAGTGGTATTTAGATATAATCTGCGTTAAACAAGAACTGCTGGAAAATGTTTAAAAGTAAATAAATATTCATAGTAACGTTCCTAAATGTAGATACCTATATGAAGTTTTGATTTGATATAAAGACAGAGGTCTGGATCTGGAATCAGGATATCATCCATCCCTATAACAACCCAACGGACGCGTTTATTTCCTGGTTTCTTCCCACTAAGATTGGTCTATATTGCGGAAAACCTCGTAAAATACTTAACGCCATCCGCGTTATTCGTCAATACGAATGAGAATATAATTGAATTTGGCGAGCCGAAAAGCTGAACGTCGCGCGTCGTTGTCATTCTTACATTTCATACAAAGTTAAATTGTAGCTAATTTACTGAGACTTATAAGCCGAACAGTTTGTATGTTTGAATGTGGTAATCTCAGAAACTAATTCACCGAGTTCTAGATAATCCATTTATTATAGTAACGATTATTATAAACAATCAACTACGATTTGAAAAGATATGGTAACGCTGCGAAGGGGCAGTAACGATAGTTTCTGGGAAAGTATATATCAATCAATATTGGTAATCAATTTTGGTCTAGGTACTTTTAAGTGCAAAACAATGTTTGTTAGATCAGGTAGCGTGTTATATTTCCCCAAAGGGTCGAACTCAGGGCCTCTCGTTTAACAAACTGTAACAGCATAAGTAGTGACGAATTAAAAAAAGAAGACGAATTGCTCAGACGTATTCGAATATCGTCAAATCTATATTAACTCATACCTGGCTTGTTAGCGAAGGCCAATCTTAATAACCGCGTCTGACTGGTAATTAATGAATGCTACCGGGCCCTGTGACTACCCGCACATTATCTTCGAATTGCGATATTGACAATGACATTCACTAACGAAGCATTGAATGTCTCAAGTGAGGTAAATGAGCTCTTGTCGCTGCTCCAAGAATACATGGCATTGGAATCAGAAATTATAGGATTTAATTAAAACACTTTAACAATTATTTTAACTATCATTGTGGGGTCTACTGAGAGTTTAACCCACTATTATTTGTGACTATTAGGAGAAAACTCGTCACAGATTAAGGGGAAATTCTAGAAGGTTCTATCTTGTGAACAGAGTGACCGTCGTAGACAATATAACAGGCGGAATTATAGGCTGGTTTATTATAGCTCATGTATTAAACGGTAGTTTCGTCATAGCAATATAATTATCATATTTAACTAGTGTAAAAGCTTTTAAAACTTCATTTTACGATTACCCCATAATACGACACAACAGCGTTTGTATGATTTTGTCACTTATTCTAACTAATAACACTGATGTAATATAATAATTAATTTTTCATTGTTTAGTATTTTCATTCATAGCGCAATGATTGTGTATCCTTATCTTACATCTGTTTCGTGTAATTCGCCTTAAATTTAGGCGGGAAACAATAAGTGGTAATATTATAATAGAAGTGAAATAAAGCTTCACCTGCGAACTGCCCTTCTGCTTCGCGGATCAAATTACACGCATCGATAATAATAAAAATAATCGATCATTACAGGGAAGAATTCGATAAGAATTCTGAACTCTAAATTATTATGTTTACCCCGGGTTCAAACTTGTTTAACTATTGAGATAAGCAGATGGTTTTATAAATTTTAATAAAATAGACTAATCATTGCTATGTACGGTTGGCATCCGAAACGTCGGACCGAAGTTAAAAAACAGTTTAAAATAAGTTTACCTAATATATCGAGTTTTAAACCGTTCAAATGTTTTATTTAAATGTGTACTACTCGCGTAAACTATAGACAGTATTGAACCCCGTCTAGAAAATCTGGACACTAAATTGTAGTAATAGCCGAAATTACAGAAATGTCATGAAACACCGTCCACAGATAAAAAGGCGGGAAGTGTACATCGGCATTGTCGTAATATCGTATTAGGACGTAAAACAAATTTAGAAGTGGGGTCTCCCCACTTCCAAATTTTCTTTCCAAACTCCTGTCATTAAAAAAAATAAAAAAAGTATGTAGCCATTTCATGACTTGACCTATAGCGGTCAAAGGATATAGTTTATTTGAGATGATTTGCGTGAGACGTTGGGGTCAAAATTCACAAGTGGCACTAGGATGTGCCTAAATTTATTGCAGTATGGCCATCGAAGCAGGAAGCTTCTATTTCGGAGTGTGCTAGTAATTGATTGCAGGTATTGTTCGGTTTGCGATTCTGATCAACCCAGCGACACTGTTTAGTTCAGTAAAAAGTTTAATGATATTTCTACAAGTTTATGGCTATTTTTACAAAATAATTGGTGGATCATTTTCTATTTAATGTCTCATAATTTACTTACCCACTGTTTTTTAATTCATTTATTGAGTCAAATTGTTTCATCATATCAATGAGCAATTTTTCTTCGAGAAACAAAAATATTTAGTACAATCAAGACAATTCTCGCAACTATATGAGTTTCTTCAGTACATAATACATATCAGATTTGGAAGAAAGTTTTTCGTTTCAAATTTGGTTTGCTAATTCATAAACGGACTTTTTTGGGCGGGCTTTTTATTCTATTAGTAACAATGTATGGCTTAGAAACAACGGGTCGTGGGTCCCATCCCCTTTGGATCCAACATGTGTCTATTAATTTATAATATTTCTGAAACATGTCGGACTTCGACTAGAAATCTGCATTATGCGGTGGTAGGAACATCTAAATAACGCCTGGGTCACGAAACACCGATCATAGGTTAAGAACCATTAGTCCATGGATTTCCGAATATCCAAAGCCAAAATACGTCGACAGCGACCTATTATATGATTATTCAACGTCTGTCCTCCTCTATCATAAAAAAATTGCAACTCTAATGGCGAGCGAATGACCGGCCAAAGATGTAATAAGGATCGCGTGAGTCAACCTAGAATTAGATGTCAAGTATATAAGAATGACACTTCAAGTATTGTACTCTTGACGCGAGAGCATATTCTGACCTCTCCCAAACGTTGGAAGCAAAGTTCAAAGAGGTATAACTAATTAGTGTCTCGAGAATTTGAGGGTTGCATTCAAAATTTAATTAATCAATGTTCTAGTAAGGAAATATTGTAGTACACAAACTATTATTATAACATAAACATTAGATTAGATAGACTTATCATAAATAGTCTCTTGTTCCCTTGTTGATGAAAACTTACCATTTTGACAGACGCGAAGTTTTTAAACAAACAATTGTAAACAAACACATAGTCCATGCAAACTTTTTGCAGTACGCTGATAAAACAAGGGATCTCTTTATGTCCTTTTATCAAGAGATTCTAACGCACATATTAAGTCGATAAATCGGGAATTTAAGCCGGGATTATAAACTCCAGCGTGTGGATCTAACGCCGGGATAGAGATGACTGTCAACGCATGATGCAGACTCTTTGTATACCTACCATGGCAATTGTAATCCAAGTTTATTTGTTAACTGGCCACGCGCTCGGAAACAATTGACCGTGTTCACTCATTCACTACCAGTGCCTCCGCAGATAAGATTCACAATTTACATGGCCCTTTTAGGCGTAACTGTGTTGGCTAACAAAGGGTTAGGTAGGTATCTCGGTACTAATTTTAAGTAGTTTTGGTAATAATTTCGCATCATCCATTTCTCTGGTTGATGTGAGGTCCTGGGTTTAAATGCTGGGGATACAAAATATGTCCTGTACAGTGGAAAATGATACGTCACATTGTTTGTTAATGCGGCTAGTTACGTGTCGTGATAGACGATAAAGTAATTATAATAAAAGCGCTAGGCTAGTGCTTACATTTTAACTATCTTCTTAAATACATAAAATAATGGATTTTTAAGCTTTCAACAGAGTATTTGCTTGATTCCTTGAAATTCCCCCTCAAAAATAAATCTCATAAAAACAACAAAAGACGAATAAAACTAATATATCTTGTTAAAATAAGCATAACAATGAAAAGCCCTAGTTACGAACATTATACTTAAACAATAAATGTTGCTTTGCGAGGAATTATTTTTCTATATACTAAATATAAAAAACTAAATTATACATCGTACTACATCACAAGCTTATAAATAACAGCTCAAACTAATATATAGCCAGTTAAGTTATTCAATAGGATCCGCTAGTCTTTCGACATAAGCCTCCTTTATTTTACATGTTTTTCGCCACCAGGGTCTCCAAAATAAGAATTTATTATAGTCTATTATCATTTATTCTCACTTAAACTACATATTCTAAACAGGAATATCTCTCTCATAGTGGCGTCTCGCATTCATATCAGTTACCATAATTGGTTGTATCAAATCACGTTCTCTGTTATCACCGATGCTCTTTTGTTTGTCAGGGCCAACGTTCTTTCCGGGCGGCCTCAGGTGCATCCCGCAGCCGGGATGTGACACTGGAAATGAACAAACGTATTCTTGTTATACCAATAACTCTTCGCGATTAGGTGTTAAGTAATAAAGCGCTCCCATCCGCTCGCACAAGGTTATATGTATCGCTAAATGTGCGCCTCACCCCGACACTAGCAAATAAATAAGATACGACATATTAATTTCATACAAAAGGTATCTATTTCATTTTAAGTAAAACTCATTAAAAACTAAACACAGGTTATATTCTTACAATTTGATTACACTGCCATCTATCAGCAACTAGAGACGACTAATCGAATTTACATATTTATAAATGTTGAGCTTGAGTTTCGCGATTTAGGCGTTTTCATAAATATAGTAAATGATAGATAATATTATATTTAGATTACACGTTTCTTATTGTATAATAAAAATATATGAAACATCAAAGTACGCAGCCGCTAAGAATAAATTACGATTCACGTTATCATGAACATATTCCTAGTTCTATGAAACTGATGTTTGTTCGAGATTGAGTCAAAACGAGCTATAAAATCCGTCAAAGTATCTTCTTTATCTTTGGAAAATAAATATTTAATTAGTGATCGTAAAACTGAAAATACCTACAACGTACAGCGCAGACGGAAGTAAATATTCAAATGTAAACGACGCAAGTATGTTTTGTATCTCGCGGTTTTACAATCATTCACGTGTTTTGCTTTTCTAAGATCACCATAGAAGGAGGAAAATATTTAAAATAACGTCTTATTAAAGAAAAGAGAGAGAATATATGGATTCTGAAGCGAAACAAAATGACGAAGAGTTTTGTTCAATGCAGTGTAAATGTCAAAAGTACGTAAAATCTTTAAAATATTTTATAATTAAAGCAAAAAGTATTTGATAATTAAAACATTTTTCTTAGTATAAATGTATGTGTCTTTTTATTCCCTCTTCAGATACATACATAGAAGAAAGTTTCAACGAATGAGGGCACAAGAACGCATGGTCTTTAAATCAGGCGAAATAAATATTGATGAGTCACGGGATAATAAATTTCGCCTTTTCACTGATATCGTGAAGGTTTTTATTGAAGCTAGATGGAGGTGGACAGTTTTTTACTGTGTTACAGCCTGCGTTCTAACATGGCTTCTGTTCGCTGGTGTTTGGTGGTTGATTTTGTACTTGCACGGTGATCTAGAAATCAAAAACTTACCCCACACTAGGAATTCAACATGGACGCCCTGCGTTCGAGAGATATATAATTTCACGTCGATATTTCTCTTCAGCATAGAAGTTCAGACAAGTATTGGCTATGGCTCTAGAGCGATCACACTAGAATGTCCCGAAGCGATCTTTACTATGTGCATTGAAAGTATCACAGGAAAGATAATACAATCGCTTATAATAGGGATTGTTTTCGCCAAATTGACAAAACCAAAAAACCGAGCGCATACGTTGATGTTCTCGAAGTTTGCGATCATTAATCAAAGAGACGGTCATTTATGTATGATGTTCAGAGTAGGTAATACCAGAAAATCTAGAATCATTGCTTCTAATATAAACGCATATCTGATAAAGTTCGTTTTCAAAGGCATTGACCTACTTGATTATAATCAGATAAAACTAGATTTAAAAGTCGACGCGTGTGACGATGTTCTTTTTATATTTCCCCTAACGGCTATACATAAAATAGACGAAAGCAGTCCATTCTTCAATATCTCTGCTAAGGAGTTGCTACAGTGCAATATTGAGATACTTGTCGTCTTCGAAGGAACTATTGAATCTACAGGCCAACCAGTTCAAACTAAATCGAGCTATACAGGCAGCGAACAGGTAGGTGCGGCGAATAAGGCCTAGCTAAGCAGGAATTGAAATAAATCAAAAACTGTTAAAACAAATCAACAAATTTTAATGTAATTTAAACTTTTATATTAATAACTATCAAATAAAAACGGAAAACAGCAACCTATGCTATAATTATAGTTTTAATTACTGCTTTTAAAAAACACTGTACTTAGGCCTTATTAAACTATGGTAGTATAATAAGGCCTAAGACTTTAAACTTCAAAAATAAACGAAATAAACTTCTTATATTTAGTATTTGAGATCAATAAAATATTGTAATGCGATAATCACACAGTAAAGGCTTAAAAATAACATTATTTTTCAAATTAGGAACAATCTGGACACTCAACATCTTCGACGACTCAAAATCATCCTCTGACAAACCCACGCACTCCTCGTGGTACCACTTGCTGCATTTGTGACACATCCTCATAGCAGTCTCTTGGTCCTGGTGGCATGCGCGACAACGTTGTTCTTATTAGACAGCTCTTTGCTAACTGGTATTCCTCTGTAATTGATGGCGTTTATTCTGACTGTTGATGTCTTTTCTGTATTTTTAGCTGGTGTAGGCAGGAGTTGCTTAAATTATGTTCTTTTTACTTGAGCGAAGGGTACATTATCCTCATCATCAGAGATGGATCTACATTAAACCATTCTGTAAAACATGTTGGAGGATCTTTTTGGTATGATCATTTGTTTGTTCTTGCCTCGGTGTCGATGACTGAGGCGTCTCGGGAGCCATTTGCCTTAATGGAGTGCGAGGTGGTAAATTTTCTACATCGACAACGTCTGGAAAAGGAGCTGGTGCTTCTAATTTCTGTAATAGTAGTTCTAAAGACCTAAATTATGTAATCACTTGATAATACTTTAAGGAGGGTAATAAGGCCTAGGGTCGATTTTCATAGGCCTTATTAACCACTGACCACGTTGTCAAGAAATTTTTAAAATAAAATGATTTCGTGTAATTTACAATTTTTTCTACAGCACAGGTCTTCAAAACATTAACTAAAATGATGTAAAACTGCAAAATAACGTACAAAATTTATTTTTTTTCATAAAATATTTACGATTTGTTCGACCGTCATATTATTATTCGAGATATGCGTCCGCCGGCCACGATTAGTGACCCCACACTTTAGGAACCATGCGGGCCTGCGAGTCGCGACATGTTTGGGGCACCATCTTAGGTTGTTAGCTACCTATGACTATGAAGTCAGCTGGCGGGGTCTACTCAAAGTTATGTTTCTAGTACTTAGGCCTTATTACCCGACAGGCCTTATTGGCCGCACCTACCTTACTCTGGGGTCGACGTTATTTGCAGCCATTCTTTTACAACAAACGAAAACAAGGTTTCGTTATAGACTTTTCAAAATTCAATGAAACGTACCGAGTGAATACACCACTCTGCACTGCTAAGGAACTTAGGAATTATTATATAAATAGGCCTTTATAAAAAATACAAACTATAAATTACCTTTTTATTTATCTCGACTATTACAGTTTAACATTTTGCATATTCTTCGTAGCTCCATCAAGTCATGGTAAATAATTTTCTGCGCAAAAATTTGTACTTCCAATGTAGATAGTTTCATTTTTATTTGCCTTAATAAGCATTCAGATGTTTGAACCCCTTCATGTAACTTTGCTAGTTTACTTTTGTTGTCGTTCAAATTATGACGAAGGATTGAATTTATATCCGTCATTATGTAAGAAATTTACGAAATAATTTGACCACTTCTAACTGCGAGTAGTTTTCACAATCATTTTGGAGATAAGAGTCTGACGAATACCTTCCATCAGTGAATCAGACACTGATTGCTCAATGATTACTACAGCCCTAACTTTATAATATGAAAAATAGTAAATTCTTATAATGAACTGTTAATGCGAATGAAAATATATTATATTAGCTAGATACTACAGCTTACAATTGGGCTATCTTATAAAAGAGATAAGTCAAGTAGACTCAAAATGAGTCAAGTAGACGCCAAAATGAGTGAAGTAATGAAACAAATTTAAAGTATATAAGTGAATGAAATAATAATCATATTTTAATATACCAACTAAAAGTTAGTTCTTTCAATAAAAATAAAAACTTCATAATTTATAAATGACGACTTGACAAATATACATAAATCTTTGGCTGACATACATATACTATTATCAAGTTTTATTTTATCTCGTATTTTTATTAAAAGGCGAGATAAACATTAGCCATCGCATAATGTGTCTTCTTTCGTCGTTGATTTTAAATCAAAACAAGCTCATGTATTTGTATAGCCTGTGGAATTAGAGATGTCCTTTTATTTTATCTATATTTTATGTTTTTTTTAAATATATTTAAAGCCTGTGGTGTTTTATAATAAACGGATTTTGATATACAACGTCTATGCACAGTATCTACAGACTTACATACCCGGAGATGTCTATTAGAGTTTGTTTAGTCTGTAGGTCTTATCAAATTGACAGAGTGAGCTGTCATTTTTCTATTCAATAAAAAGGTAATATAATAATCACAATAATTAAAGGCTATTTCTCTAAAAGCACCAAGAATTATAACCGTACAATCTTGGAAAAATGTTTCGGGCTACTGTTTTTGATAAATTATTGGGTAAGTAATCGAGTGGCAAAGGATTAGGTGTACGAAGTAGATTTCAATAATTTGCATCACTTTCTATATTTTCCTCTCTACTTTCCTCTAAAAAATTATCTTATACTAGCAATGGGATAACATTCTTATTAAGCATTTTGGTGCTATTATTTTTAGATAAAGCTACGAGTAATTTGCGCCTAGATCCAGACTGGCCATCTATTTTACAAATTTGTGATTTAATAAGACAGAATGATTGTTCGTAAGTACACTGTAATGTAAACCAATGTCATATCAATTGTTTACCTTGTTTCAATAATTAACTGTTCTGTTGTATTTTTAGACCAAAATATGCAGTAGCTGCTGTTAAAAAGAAATTGTATTCACCGAACCCACATCAGGCTATGTTTGCATTGCTTACTCTGGAAAGCATTGTAAAAAACTGTGGTAAGATGTATTTTCATAAGATTCTTCATATTATGTAAGGAAATAACATTTTTAGCAACAAGAATTATTCTATATATTATCCATATTTTCATATGGATATGGATATCAATCAATTTTTATTTGTTTATCAACTTATTCTTCAAATATGGCCTGGCCAATTATGATTTGATTTTAATTCCTAATATTTGTTTTCAAATGTCTCTAGGCCTTGGGAAGGCTTATAGGTAACAAAGTAGAGAAAAGTTACAAACAATTCTGATGTAAAATGTTCTTTGATGTTAGCCATTTGATGTTTGTATCTTTGGTATGGTTGGGAAATTTGCAATTTGTGTAACAATATAAAATTTAATGTAAGATAACCTGAGAAAAGTGCTAGAAAAATAACTTGTTACAAGTATACTACACCATTCATATATCAGAATGAGACACACAGTATTTTATAACCTGACCAGTTCAATACAAAGCTAATAAAATTGTCTTAGGTTCTGGAGTACATGATGAAGTTGCATCAAAGGTTTTCTGTGAAATGCTCCGAGACCTAGTCAAAACCACACAACACGAAAACTTGAAAAATAAAATACTCGAATTGATACAAGCTTGGGCTTTTGCTTTCCGTAACAGTCCTAAATATAGAGCTGTACAGGTAAAGTATAATACTGAATTATAACAAACTCATTCAAAGTCATATAACACAGTATTGCAAGAATCACCTTTGATATATTGATTTTCATAATCTAATTATAATATATGTGTGTCATTGTCTAAACTGCATAGCATACATAATCTGTAACATTAACCACAAGTAAACTTATCTTAATGTAGAGGTTTATTCAGTGATTGAATAGTTTATTTATTGCTACAAGACAAGAGTCAATGTCCTTATTATATCTGACAAAGTACTGTTATCTTAGTGATTGTGTTTCTTTGTTTTTGTGCAAATTTAGTGGCATTTAAAATTATTTAGCCTTATATATAATTACTATACTTTTCTATAAGTATTATTTTTTTCTACTACTCTTTAGATTTTGTAAAAGCAAATCCTATTTGTATGCCGTGTGACGTTAATACATTATCACCTAATCTGATACTATGAGTCATACAATACTCATAGTAAGGTGTCTTATAAGTTAAATTGAGTATTGTCAAAGTGTCTTTGTTTATTTCCAAAAGTGTTTCAGTGTCTTAAAACAGCACTTCTGTTTTGGGAGCCTGTATTGTATTGTAATGCAATTTTGTACTTAATAGGATACAGTGAATATTTTAAAGGCTGAAGGACATAAATTTCCACCTTTAAAAGAATCTGATGCAATGTTCTCTGCTGATACAGCCCCTGAATGGGCAGATGGCGAAGTCTGTCACAGGTAAAAGTGTTAATAAATATAACATAATTGTCATGTTTGAAAACTATTATTTTGCACATGACAGCATTATATAAATTAAAAATCTATTTAGATGGGAAATAATTACTATGCAATTCAATTTATGTTCAATCTTAAGAGTTTATAAATACATTCTTATGCAATAGTAAACTCTATGGTTTGTTACATCTTTAAATAAGAATAATGTTGCAACAACAATATTGTTCAAGTGTTTGTGGTATAAATCTAGATGTCGTGTTGCATTCTCATTGATGGTCCGCCGACACCATTGTCGTGCCTGTGGTCAAGTGTTCTGCCAGCAGTGCAGTTCAAAAACATCAACATTGCCAAAATTTGGTATTGAAAAAGAGGTTAGTAATGTTTTATCTATAAATAATTCCAATATTCTTTTTGGTATATTTAATTTACATATGAATTTATAATTAGGTGCGTGTATGTGATGCCTGTTTCGATAAAGTTAGCCGCCCACCATCTTCTACAGCAAAAATTGAAATTGTGGATACTTCAAGTGACTATGGCCCTGCCCAACCTCAGGTAGGATGTTTGTAGCAATAGACCATCTATTAGTTAGGAATTTGACTAAGTAAATTATATCAATCATATGTTTGTGTTAACTATAAGTTTATAATAAAACAATTCTTTCCAGAAGTAATTTCGTTTAAAAAAAAACACACATTTATGATTGTTCATTGTTTACTTATAAAATACAGTTACATATTATATTGCTTTATTGAGCTTCATATGATTCACCAGGCATTTCTCCTCCAGGAACTAACATTGCAATATTGTTACCATTAAGAAGTATTTGGTCCAGTTTAGTTATTTTACGTCCTTCCGGTGTTGATTCATACTCTGTTACATCGTCTAATAACATATTTACAAAGTCGTCAAACCCTTGAAGTGTTCCAACCATTTCTTTATCATTTTTCATTATTATGTGAATTCGGGAACCGATGCATTTATCTACAAGTTCCAACGGTAGTAACGTGTTTGGGTTTGGCAATGGCTGCGACATTTTACTTTAAGTTGAATATAATTAACACTGAATTGGCGTTTTCTCAAAAGTATTTTGGAATTATTTCGCACAATCGATATAGTTTTCTAAATTTCTAGTATTATTTACAAGACGTCGTGAGTTTGCACCCTTTGACACTTGATAATTGACAGTGACATATTTAAAACTTGTCAAATTGATATGAATTGCAGATATATATTACAAACTTTTATAATTATACTTAATGTTAATTTTTAAAAGCAAAGCAGCTTTTATAAACAATGTTTTGTTTAGTTTTAATTTATTGAAAAATAATTAAATATAGAGTATTTGCTAACACTGGCAAGTTTTGCAAACGGCTGACACTTCAAACTTGACTTGAGCCTTTGGTAAAGAACTTTCAAGTTCAAACTTGAATTAATAACGGTTTAAATCGGATTGAAGCGGTGAAGTTTTCTAAATATAAGTGTTTATTTGTGCGTTTTTATGAAAATACTGTAGTAATGGCTAGAAATTACATTTCAAGATTTCGCGGAGAGTTTACACCCACTAATAATCCACTACGTATCAAGGATGAACCATTAACACCAGATGATTACGAAGAGTGTTTTAGAAATGATAACTTAGATATCCACTCGAACAATGACTTCTATTGTATGAGAAAATCAATGTCAATGACTGATCTTGTGCAGCTCAAAAAAGATCTGGAGAAGATTAAACTTGAAAACGATGAATTTTCCGGGCAGGTGTGCCGAAAGCAAAATGGAGAGTTTGATAGTGTATCTAAAACTAAATTTGTTTCCATGGCTGAGGCAATATATCACTACCAAAGAGACACACCAGTGAGATTTCATTCTAGAAAATCTATACAATGTCAAAATGTGTTTCGACAGTCAAAATTAACATTGGCTCAATCCCCGCTTCTGCGATGTAAAGAGCGTTCTCGACCTCGTCATATCATTTCCCAGAAGGAAAAGGAGGATTTAGAGTTTAAAGAAATTCAGAAACATAAACTAAAAGCAAATCCAATTCCTAAATCTGTTATTATTGGTTCTCATCTCCCTGATGTACCTAAAAAGCCTCCTACTGTACCGGAGCCTTTCAAGTTAACTGAGGCTCCAAAGGCGAATATTATAATTCCACAAGAAGTACACAATTTTAAAGCCCGTCCTGCTCCCAAACAAATATTAGAACAACCCTCTATCCCAGTAAGGCCTCCTCCAAAAATTACTAAACCAGTTAGCCCAAAATTCCACAATAAGCGAGCAAAATCAATGGAATCTCTTAAACACCAAGGACAATGTACTAAGAGTAAACAACAAAATAAGCTATCCGACAAAAATGCTATGCATCAAGGACCAAGAAAACCTGAGCCATTTTCATTCTTGAAGCGAGATGAAGAGTTACGTCGGCGTAAAGAAGAAAAGATAAAAAAACAAATTGAGGAAGATCGCAAACTTGCTTCACAGTTTAAAGCGCAGCCCTTACCTGCGGCTGTTAAGAAACGGATGCAGACTGCAACAGGCTTAGCGACCACTAGTTCAACAGCTTCATCGGAAAATAAAGAAAACTTAAAATTTGAAGCAAAACCACCTCTTGTCTTATATAAAGAACCTTTTAAGCCAATCATTCAAACCAATCATATCATAAAACAAAAACCTTTTGAATTAAGCACAGAAAGGAGGGCCACAGAACGTGAGAAGTTTGAGATGCAACTCAAGGAAAAAGAAGAAGAAATGAAACAAAAAAAGTGGGAATTAGAAAAGGCAAGACAAGAAGCAGAAGAAAGGGAAGTTTTAAAAATGAGAGCAATGTTGGTTCACCATCCAAAACCCATACCTGTTGTAGATCCTTTTGTACCTAAAACTTCTGGCAAAATTACGGTTCCAGAAACACCAAAATTTATAAGGAGACTGAAACAAAAAGAAACTTAGTAATTTGATGTGACACATCATTTTGTGTTTAGATTAGTCTTTAGACTCTTTTTGCTTTTTAAATAGAATCATCATTAATGAAGTTTAGAGACAAATGTTTATAATCTTTTATAGAAGTTTAGGTTTGTACAAAGCTATGTAACAATGATTCAAATAATTGTGTTAACTTTTATACTCATGAAAATATTTCTTTAGTATCATGGATTGCACTGACTATTTGTGTGCCAACATTGGAAACAATACTATTTCTTATATAATATAGTTTAATTTAGTACATAATTATATAATTGTAATGTTTAATTGTCATATAATAAAAGAGACTCGCAAAGCATGACTTTTATTTCGCCCCAAAATAGTAAATGTAAAATTAAATAATGTCATATTACTCTGTAGTAGTAGTTCTGTTCTTATTATTTACAGATGTAATTAATGTCTTGGTCAAATTTTTTTTATACTTAGGGAAGGATACATTTTGTTTAAAGTATTAACCTTATTATAGGATAATATAACCTCCTTAAATCTTCTAATGAAAGACCAAATAATTTCAAATGCAGTGGTTGCAAGTTTACTTTTAAATTATCTTGTATTTTCTTAAGACAATTTTTAATTTTATCCCTTGTTAATAGCAAAAGAAAGCAGGCAAGACAGCAGAGGAGTTACAAGAAGAAGAGGAACTGCAGCTGGCTTTAGCCCTGAGTCAGTCGGAAGCAGAGCAAAAGGAGAAAGAGAAGCGATCTCGCACTTATATTGCGCCAGAACCAGTTACTCATCCCACATGTATGTTTGCCATTGTTAAAGTGCAAGAGTAGAGTAAAGGAAAAAGAGTAACTCAAAAGGTCAAATTATTATGAGAAGAATATTTTCTACATTTTCAATAATACTATCTTTCCAGACTTCATACTTTCAATAGCGTATATATTTCAATTAGAATATGCAATAAATCCTGTACAGACCGCTTCTAGAGACTAGCTTTGCGTTAAGCGCGAGAGGTATTGGGTACGAATCCCAGGAAAACAAATGGTTTCAGTCAGGCAGGGCACAGATCAACTTGCCTGTAAAAGGACCGATCAGTGAAACGCATGCAGACATGCATTCACGCCATGCCCATGGGAAAGGGGGCTTTTTTTTTTTACATAAGTCAGAAATTTTACCAAGGATATTCTTAAGATAGAAGATTATATGCCTTTAATTGTATGCATTAATCGTTATGTGAATTTTAACGTTAGTAAAGCTCATTGATTTGAAAAGAGAGGTTTGACAAAGCAGATTACTTATTTGCCCCCTTGTAACTATCGTATTTTAATGTAGTGTCCCCAACTCCGTCATCTGTCAGTGCTTCCCCAGAGCATAGCACCACGGGCAATTCGGAACTATCCCGTTATTTGGACAGGAACTATTGGGAACAGCGTTTGTCCCGGGAGACTACGGCACCAACGGCTCCTTCCTCACATGGCACAAATGATAATATTGATGTGAGTGCACTTTACCTTCCTTAAATTACTTCTAAAGTTCTTTCTTGTAGTTTTATCGTAATACACAAAATTTTTCACGAAACAAAGTGTGTGTTGGCGTTATATTATAATAATATTTTTTTATCAGGATTTTGTCAAACCATCAACTGCGAAATCGCAAGAGGACGAAGCAGAGGATAAGGAAATAGATGAATTTGTGGAGAATCTCAAGTCGCAAGTCGAAATATTTGTTAATCGGATGAAGAGCAACTCATCTCGGTACTTATATCTCAACTTTATACTTTTCTATTTTAATATTTAATACTTTGTTGTTTTTTACTAAGTTAAGTATCTACACTCTTAGTTCCAATATCATACTGTCTTCAAAAAATAACTAAGTATAAGATTCTGGTCATATAAGTTAATTATTGCATTTCGCTGTATACTTTTAGGATTTGAAAATCTGCAAATGATGGCACTATATAAAATAAAAATCGATTTTAGATTGAAAAAACTTTACCACACGTACAGGACTTGAACCGGCATCCACAGCCTTCCGTGCTGTCGCTCTTATCACCGTGTCCTACACGTTATCAACCTATTGATACGCATCTCTCGCTCATTGTAATTTCAACCATAGCAATGCGTTTTCAATCTAAAATCTATTATTTTAAATTTTACTATTGGCATGCCTGCCACAATTAAGGAGCTGAATGCTAAAATCCATTATGAGCATCCATTATGACTTCTTCATCATGAGCATCAGACTTATGAATTAGATCTGGGGTTCGTTCTTCGTGTGTGCACGAACATATTCATCTTTATGTACATTCTGTCACGTGCGTATCGTTTACGTAAGCTAGAACTACAAATTTTTACGACATGAGCTAACCTGTGTTCAGGCTCCAGAGATTATTGGTCTATAATTTTTCCGTAGGTATATTAACTAATTTTTAAGTACGTCATTGACTTTACTTCATTACAGTGGCCGTTCAATCGCAAACGACACCTCCGTTCAAACACTCTTCATGAACATCACAGCGATGCACTCTAAGTTGTTGAGATATATCCAGCAACAAGACGATAAGCGCGTTTACTTGGAAAGCTTACAAGTGAGTTTCATACCTTATAATAGGATTAGTAGAACCTATACAATTTGATATTTTGTCTTGTCTTCAGGTATAATGTGATTATATTATTATAGGGAATTATATTTGTATATTTATTTATTAAACATCTAATTAATTATACCAATATGTTTTAAACTATGTAAGCTATGTATAAAATATAATAAATACAAAATTTCTTATTATAATTATATAAATATTTTTTTATGGACCTTACTGATAAGCCCAGCATTGAGGTGTTCTAATTCTTCTACATTTCAAATTCAATGCCTCTGACTGATTGGAACTGCGACATGTTTGGAATTGTCCTCCAACAGTGGTTTGAGTACAATTTCAAACATTTAGTATGATGATTGGTGGTCCATTACAATGGTTCCAGCTCTTTAGAATCTTATTCTGGGACTTAATAGTTAGAAATTTTTGTTGTAGAATAAATAATAAGGACAAATAAGACTAGCAAGTGAAAATGAGAGCCTTTTATGTCTGGTTCAAATTTTATTAAGTTTCTTAAATATGAATATATTTAAGTAACTTAATAAGTAACATAACGTGAATGGTTCTTAATTTTATTCTTAATAATTTCCAGGATAAAATAAGCCAAGTGCGCGACAGTAGAGCGGCGTTAGATACTTTGCGTGCGGAGCATGCTGCACGGCTCGCACAGGCTGCTGAAGCAGCTGAGAGGCAGCGACAGATGCAAATGGCGACGAAACTGCAAGCTATGAGAAAGAAAAAGCACGAGTACCTGCAATATCAGAGGCAGCTCGCATTGCAACGAGTACAGGTATCATTTAACTTCAAAAATTGTTTTGATTATTTTAATGCTTTGTTATTAACCTTTATTTCTTTTAGGAGCAAGAGCGAGAGATGCAGATGCGTCAGGAACAACAAAAACATCAGTATATGATGTCAAGCAGTGGGTATTATGTACCTGGAATGTCAATGCACCAGTTCCAACCTGGGTTCCCTAACCAGATGATGTACAATCCTCAATTCCACCCCCAAATGCCTCCTCAAACAACAGAGACAGCTGCCCCCCTTCCTGGTCAACCGCAAATGTCTCAAGCCAATATGCCGATGAATGTTAATCCAATGGGAACAATTTCGCAATCGATGCCCCAAATGAATAACTCTTTTACTATGTCTACGTCTGCTGCTACCTTGAGTCAAGTTCCTCCTATACAAGGTCCTATGTCCCAACAAAATATTCGTCCTGTTATGGGGCAACAATTGCCAATCCAGCAGCAAATGATGATGCAGCAAATGCAGCAGATGCGGCCTCAAGCTGGAATACATCAAATGATGCCCAATGGCCCACCAGGACAAGTGCCAGCCAACTTAGCTAACCAAATGCCTAAAACAATTCCCAGTCAGACACAAGCACCCCCCAATACCATGATGCCAGCAATGACAATGCCACAACCAAACATGCCTCATCAAACAAACGCAAATAACTCCATGTATGGTATGAAAATGCAGAATATAAGAATGCCATCGGCTTTGCCTGGGAATCAAATGAACAACAACTCATCTGTACCAGTCTCTGGGTACCCAGTCAACCCTCAGAATCCCCAAGCTAGTCAACAGCCCACAATGCCAAATATGCAGCAAAGTACTCAAATATCAGCCCAAACAATGCCGCCTATGCATCAGACGATGCCCGGACAGAACATTCCACTACAAAATCAGATGCCTAACCAAAATGTGCAACCCCAGTCAGGACACATCCTGCAACAGCCTCAAATGTCACAGGGCCAACAAATACAGCTTCAAGGGCAACCACCACACTATCAGAACCCTCAAATGATTTCCCAAGGTCAAAACATTCCACAACAACATCCTATGAATCAAGGTGCTCCGACACAGACTCAGACTCTGAATCAACAAGGTGGACCTCACTTAAATCCGCCTAATAGTATGCCCGCCGCCGTGCCGCAACAAATGCACGCCTCTCAAATGCCCATGAATACGCAGAATCAAATGCCACAGAATATGCAACATCATCAAGGACCTATGAATCAGGGTCATCAATCAATGGCCCATATTCCTCAGAACATGCAAATGTCACAAAGTTTACAACAACCTTTGAATATGCCTCATAATATGCCACCACAAAATATGCAACCTCAGGGCCCGGCTAACAACATTCAAGCTGTAAAGATGCCACAGCAAAATTTTGGTAACATCCCCCAAAATCAACAACAAGCTATGAACCAACAAAATCAGCAAGTTCAGACTGCTGTTAAATCAGAAAATAATAATAATACTGCAGAACTTATAAGCTTTGACTGAATTCATGACAAAAATGCTGTTAAAAGAACACATATATAAGTGCACAATAGTATATTATTGCAACAATTACATACTTATAGACTCTATTCATTGTTTTAGCTTATAAATCTTGTTGGTGACTATTGTAATATTAAGTAACACTTTGACTCCAAAAAGCCCTAAGAATTATATATATTTAAACTTATAAAAAATGTGTATTCGATTTGGAATGTCAAGGCATATTGTAATATTTTACGTAAATGTGATACACGATAAAAAATATTTTGTGTGTAGCTAATTTAGCGGTTTAAATAATATATAGAAAATTTGATTATATTTTATTTTTATTTGCAAGTAATTTTTTTGTAATATTTATATGATAATATTTTAAGTTATAGTTCATGTGTATAAAAATATAATAAAGACCTTACTACTATATATAGGGTTTGTTTAAGTTATCTTTTACAATATTTAAAACTTGAAATTTAATTTAAAAAAAACATTATGTTAGAAAGATCTTTTATCTTGTAAGAATATAGTTAGGGATCCCTAATATATTTGTTACACTTTATCACTTACACGAAACTAGAATTTAAAATTTAGAGAACAAAATGGCAATGAAGCGCGTCGAAAGAGCACAAACGCTAATAAAAAAGTTTTTTTTTAACGCAAAAGTGACGATATTTGGAAGATAGTAAGTAGTAAGAAGGATTCCAATCATTTTACAGATTGTTTTTCTAGTGGCACTCGGAGTTTGACGCCATTCAGTTTCAGGTGATATAATATAATAGTCGCGTTATATGTAAATAAAGAAAAAATATTTCCATACTATGTATTCTAAATAATATTTATTTATTTGTTATTATAATTTCTGTATGAACTCCTCTATAATTTAATATGACACGCTCTGTGGTAATGCGTAGTTGAGAGTAATATCTATATACATACAAAGCTTAACAAACCGAAAAAAATGATGTTGTTATAACAATGAAAGTGTTACACTGGCAAATAGTTAGTTCTTCTTGCCACAAATGAAAAAAAACAAAAAAACAATGAAAGTGAAACTAATACTTGGCTTAAAAGTTTCTTTACCAGACCTTAAAATATAAAAAAGTGTCATCTGTCAGATCAATGACAATTGACAACTGTGGTGCCGCGAAAAGTCGAAAACAAAATTACTAGGAAGATACGAAACACAAAACAACTAGTGGCTGTAAATATTAATAAATTTATTTAAGTCTCATAAAAACACACTATATTTTTAAAACATTATGGACGAAGATAATCAAGATGGACCTTACGCAGTATGGCAAATGTTTAATGCACCTACCATGGTTTTATTTAACAACTTAGATCACGCAGAAGATGGTCTAGAACGTTTATTAACTCCAATTATAAAACAATCCGGGTATGTAAGGTGTCGTAATGATATGTTGTTCAATATTTGAATGCTTATGTAAGTCTTGATTTTGCATATTTCAGAGGGTTTTCGGAAGTTTTAGTTCCAAGAGCGGGGTGTTCAAAATGTCCAGAATCCTATTATTGCGCCTTTAATACCTGGTTGATTGGTAGATTATTTTATGTTTGTTCGGTGCCTGAGCTTCATAGGTTTGTATTTTCCATCTTTTTATAAGGTTTATCTAATTTACATTCAGGTAATTCTTCATCATTTTTTTTAGAATACACATCACAAGCATAAATGCTCAGTTGAATATATTAAACATTTTGTGTATACATAGAGCATCGTTTTATAACAATATACACAAAGAGTATTACTGTATATTGAAAAAACTTGCAGATTTTTATGAAGCATGTAAAAAGGAAGATAAAAAAATATTATTAAATAACTTCACACCTGAACAAATTGTCATACCCCAAGTGAATCTTAACTTGGAACCAATATATGTTTGTATAAAGGATATTGACATATGCAAACATTTGATTGAATTAATCTTGCAATTACTTTCTGAAAGCATTCCTCTAAGACTAATATATTTAAATGAACAAAAAACAGACACTGAGAATCTTTTTGAATTAGTATTAAATATGCTGGAAAATTATAGTACAGATATAAAGCTACTTTCTATCAAATTCTTTGCTGTTTTACTAACTAATATACGTAATAGTTCTATTGTAATTTTTCATTCAGACTTTAAAAGAACCCAGACTGACCTACTGCACTTGATAGAATCCTTTGTTCATTCAATAACTGTGTTATATGAAAAAGGTGACATAAATGATATCTATTTGAATGATTTGAATGCTTTGCTTGTGAAGTTGTTGAAAATTCTACAGTTCCAATTGGAAGATAAACAAATTTTGGTAAATATATGCACAACAGTTTTGAACAAAGCTCATAATATCTTATTTCGTCAGGAACTTAGGCTGTTTTGTCTATCTTTAAGTAAAGATTTGGAATTTACTAAAGACATACTAGAGCTTCAAAGTAAGGATGAATGTGGAATAGAAAAGGTGTTTGAATATTTTTGTAGAACTATAGTATCTAATATAACGCAAAAAGTTACAAATAATTGTGAATTAAAAGAGAATTGGTGCTATAATGAGATAGTAGATGTTGTAAGATCTATCAAGGCCTGTGAAGATGTTATAGACTCATTTCTGATGTCCCATCATTTGCAACGGTGTAATATTTCACTGTCTGTGTTACAAAATGTTCAGCATGAACTGAGGAAGGAAACATCAAAAAGTTTGGCTTTATTGAACAAAGATGTTTGTCGAAGTGTGTGGGCCACATTAATTAAAATAATAAAACATAGAAGAATAGTAATTAATGATACAGATAAGATTAAATTGATTATGAAGGTATCATTAAATATAATATCTTTATTAGAAAATATCAGTAAAGAAGATACCGCTGCAGTCCTGCAAATAGTCTGTCTCCAGAACAGTATACATTTTTCAGAACAAAATCTTTTCTTTACTGATGATGTGAAAGTACAAATATTAAAGTACTTACTGATTCATAAGATAATTTTGAAGAGTGAAGTAAATGAACTGTGGAATAGCATTATTACAACTCTTTTTAATTTTTTGATAAGGATAAAGCCGGCTAGACTTTCAGTAAGTAAATAAAACACAATTTATACATTTTACTTTTCATAGTTTGATTATTATACTATTCACATTATTGGAAGCGATATTTCTTTGATATTATAGCTTTCATATATTTGATTTGATATGTTTACTTTTTTATAGTGTAGTGGGTGTGGAGTGGACATATATTTTATGTTGGCATTCTTAATATTAGAAAAATACATAAATTAAATTTCGATTATGAATGAAAAAAAAATACGACACGGTCAGGACTTAAACCAGCATTCACAGCGACATCGTAAAAAAAAACATTTTATAATCGGTTTTTAATTTATATAGTACCATCATGTGAAAAATATTAAAGTAAAAAAAAATACATATTTATCTCGCATTTTTTCCAGATTATAAACCTCGGACCATTATTATTGGTGAATAAAGTGATATCTACAAGTAAGTTTATAAGTGATATTCTAACGCCTGGATTTCTAACAAAGGAATCAGATCTACAAGAAGCAATAGCAGATTTATTACCCATCTTTGCATGCATATCCCTTGGTACATATAGTATTGTCGCAGTAAATAATATGGGGTATAATTTGGTGGATGATGAAAGAAATAAGGTTTCCATAGTTTGCTATGAATGTTGTTGCAAAGACAAAGCAGTAAGCAGCGAAACCTTTTATAGTAACCTTGAAAAGGAATATAAAATATACCATAAGGCGGAAAGTATGGCTCCATTAAGCAATACGTCATTACAGAATGGGTTAAGACACTTATTCGGAAAGTTCCTGATTCATCAACAATATGCTGATTTAGAAATGTCTAAATACTGGAATATAGTTGGGCATATTAGTAATCACTTTTATGTCTTCGACTATGGTGTATCCACTAACATACTTAATGTATCAAATACAAAATATATTATAAAAGCTTTTAAATCCTTTATCGAAAGCTCAGAAGTAAGTAAGACATCAACAGCACGAACGTTAAATTTTTATTTTCATAAAAATATAAAAAGCTATTCTATATATTATGATGTTTTTTATACCATTGTCGCATTCTTCCAGGCCACTGAAATTTCATCTACCAAGGAAACTGTTTGTGATATCTGCATCAAGTTATTACTGAAATCTACTAGACAAAGCTTGGAAACTAACGACTACAGCTTACAGACAGAAACTTTGGATTGTATAAAAGAATTTGGCTTGTGTCGAAATGTTACATTAGTCTTACCAGTCACTAAACTCCTGGTATACTTTATAATGCAACCGCAATGCACTCTTGCTCCAAAAGCGATAGTTCTTTTGCGGGATTTTTGCGAATACCAAGGTTTTACTCCCAACCAAACGTATCAGCGCTACAAGAAAGATTATTGCCGCCTCTTTGTCGTTTGCAGCCTCAATAACAGAAAAGATTTCGCTGTAGCCTTACTAAAAGTCGTCAGAGCTTTTGGATTCGTCGGTTTTCGAGATTTCATATCCAAAGACGTTCACCATTTCCTACCTTATCTAGTGCCGTACTGCGTCACCATAAAAGAAGTGCCATCTATGATAGAAGAAATAGCCTCGCTCGTGCAATGTTCTGCATCAGACTTCCTTATTGATAGGTTCCCGCATATTTATGTTCATGTGTACCTCACGGAAGGTAAAGAAGTTTCGAAAAAATGCTATGATATCATAGAAAAATTGACAAAGATGTCTATACTTAACTTGATAAAGAGGCACTTTAGAGTGATACTTACGGAATTCCTTTTACAATATTGTTGTAATCCAGAGAAAGTGTTGAACGCTTGCAGATACCTCGCTTGTCATGATCCAGACGTTTCCACACCTCAAGGCAGTATGAGCATGAGCACATCCCAAATAGCTGACTTCTTGAACCCAAAATTTCTTGGTGTTTTAGCATACTTTGATCATAAACTTGTAAACGCGAAAGTGGCACTATCGGTGAAGAGAAAAGCTTTAAAAAGTTTCCCGGATATGATGCAACTAATGGGTTCTAAATATTTAACGCCCTTGAGATTCAAAGTCCTTGCCACTTTAAGATCAGCTCTTCCGTTGGCAGTGGAGTTTCCCAAAATTTTGGCAGAAGCTTGGAGCGCATTCATACATAACATCGATAGCTTGTCCTTGGGGCCACTTTTACCTAATCTAGCTGTTTCCTTATTGCAACAGGTTCCATATGCACCGCAAGAGATTAATAAAATCTTTCATTACTTGGTATTGAATAATGAAAACTTACTCAGTTCGTATATATCGGAATTATTTTTCGTTGAAGATTCGACAATTTCTGAAAAAATTAAGATAGTGGTCAAGAGACATGTTAGAAGAACCCAACCGGATGGTTTCTTGGACAAAGTCAAGTGGTACTTGCATCATTTGAATCAAGATATCCCGAGAGTCAAAGCGTATTCATTTGCCCGTTTGGATAAGTTATTGAAGTCTAATAGGACTGAGGTGCACAAGGCAATCTTTGGTGGAAAAAATATTGACCCAATTATTGTGGAACTCATTGATTGTCTTTTGATAGGTAAGTTAATTACTTTAATGGAGACTTTTCTATCAAACTTATATTAAGTCAACATCTTATGTGAGAACCGATATTTTGAACCAGTACTTATATATAAATATTTATATATTGTAGGTTGTAAAGACACAAATAATGAAGTAAGTTCTTCAAGTGGGGCGTGTTTGGGACAACTGGGCGCAATAGAGGCGGGCCATCTTCCTAGGCAGTATGTGCAACCAGACCGATCACCGTTTGCGTTTTCCATAAACGATAACTGTTTTGCTGCCACTGCCTTGATTGAACTTACTAGAGCGTTTCAGTATGAAAAAGATACGATGGTTAGTTATTAATGCTTTACCAAATAATAACTTAGGAGGTAGATAACATTTGACAAGCTCGTTGTTATAATGGTAGTAATGTAAGAGTAATAATCAAGGGGTCGTGGGTTTGATCCCTACCGAGTCACTGTCTTGAAATCTGGATGTATAGGTATATCGATAATTCAGTCCGGGTCACCAACCACCGTCCATAGATAAACAGCCGTGAAGTTTAATCGCGTTTCGATTTCAGTCAGTGGATTTCCGAATATCCAAAGCCATAATAGGTCGACAGTACATGTTGATGATATTACGTCTAGGGTGTTTCAACTACCATCGAATGAAGTTCATGCGTGTATCTCCTCTATATTATTATTATATATATTATACACTTTTCAGAACATGGATTGCTACGCATTAACCATACAGGAGATTTTGAAAATATACGATATTTCTCCTAGTGGTTCCAAGAAGGAAGTCTGGGACAGCTTTCCTGAGAATATGCACCAAATTATGTTTCCTTTACTCAGCTCCAGATATACCTTGGCTTACCCGTCTCAGCCTAAGAAGTCACACCCTCTATTTGGTTCAGTTTATGCGACAACGTTCTTAGAATGGGCTCATAACTGGGCAGGGCAACTGATTCCTCTTATAGAGTCCGATAACATACGGGAGTTACTTCGCACAGTGCATCCGAGCATGCGTCGTGATGTCAGAACGCTATTTCTCTTCCTACCCTACGTTTTGCTTCACGCGGTGATGTCCAAAAATAACGTTCAGTATATACAAGAAGAGATGACGGCAGTCATTGATACTAGTGCTGATAATTATGAAAATGATGTCCATATTACCTCTGAAAGGTCGAAATATAAAATACTACGTCACATACGAATGACGCCTAATATACACTCTATACAGGCTGAAGAAGGTAATCAGGTATGTAGAGAGCAAATTAATTTTAGATTGAAAAAAATGAAACACGGGCAGGATTTGAACCGGCATCCACAGCGTTCCATGCTGTTGCTCTAACCTATTGAGCTACCATGTCATCGTTAAATTTTTTAACATGAAACATGCACTTCTCGTGCAATGGAATTTCAACCTTAACATATGCGCTTTTAGATTCAATGTCTTATGCTTATCAGCTTAAGAAAATCATTGAAGATGGAATTACAAAGTTTAACGTTGAAATTTTGTCATAAACTATTTTCAGTGCTAAAATCAATTTTTAACTTATATAATGCCGTGGTGAGCAATGACACGTAAAGAATATTAAAGTTTTATACTTCGAGGTAATGTAATATGAATAATGCCAAAAAACGAATTAATATTGATATTTAAAGTAGTTCGTTGCAGCGGTCTTTAAATATAATAAAAGTTAACCTTCTTCGTATCCCTTATGGTAATAAATTGATAATTACTAAGCTTCTCTTTCACATGTAAAATAAAAATGTTATATTTTCAGACTAAGTACAGTAAAACTATATACACTCTATTGGATTTTCTAAATAGATGGCTTTTAGAATGGATAAACTCAAAGCAGAAGCCTTTGGAGAATGAAAATTATAAGTGGGTAACATAGTTAATTTAAATAAAACACTTTAACGGTTTAAAACGCGATATATTAGTTAAACTTATTTAAAAATGATTTTGAACTTCGGTCCAACGTTTCGGATGCTTTGCAGCAGCCGTGGTCACGGGGAGACTTAAGAAGTTAAAAATAATTTTCAAATAAGTTTAACTAATATATCGCCTTTTAAACCGTTAAAGTGTTTTATTTAAATGTGTACTATTCGCGTAAACTATAGACAGTATTTAACATAGTTAATTAATAAAAGATATTTTTTATTTATTTTATAATGCGTATTTTAACAGAGCGATTCAAGAGTTCGCGGGAAAATTCGATAAGCTTGCTATCGCGAGAGGCAATTTTGCTTGTGGAGAATTGGAGAGAGCTTTACAATATCTTGAGTTGTACATGAACGATGATAAGTCGAGGATACAAAGTCAGCTACCATTCTTAGCTGAAATATACGCTTTATTAGATGAACCAGATTCCGTTGCTGGTAAGTTATTAACTTTAAAGTGAGTTAAAATTTTTGGCACAATATATCATTTTGTAAGATTTGTGTAAATGTTCAAATATTTTTTGTCCTACATACATACATATAATGAATACCTCAACATGGTTTTCAGGAAAACAGTCAAGACCATGTTAAGTTATTTTTAAATAAAAAAAAACAATTTGAACGGTTTAAAAGCATAATATAAGAGTTAAACTTATTTTTGTTATATTTTAACTAGTATAGTTCGCGTTTTAACACTTAAAAGTATTTTATTTTAATATATACTACTCTCGTAAACTACTAACAACACTCGGTATGATTTCTTAATGATTAACTGGCTCGAAGGACCAAATATAAACTTTTAAGCACAAATCAACAAAGAGTTTCTTATAGGTATTTTATCTATAAAGCGATCAGAACCGTCGTTAAAGGAACTAATATTAGCGCAAGTTGTGACGGGACGTCTTCAAGATGCAGCGCTATGTTACGAACGTTTGGCCCAGGAAGGTCAGCTGGATAGGCATAGCTTCCAGGTATGAGTATTACCGTTCACCTCACCAGGAAAAGGTCTGGTGCACTGTGTACTAATTGCAATATTTCCTCCTCTCATAATATGTTTCAGGGTATGATCGACTGTTACTTAGGGTTAGACCAGCCATTCACAGCTTACAGGTTGCTTAGTGAACAAGAATTGGATGATACTGTAAAAGAACTGTCTGCAGAGCCCCTTTGGAGACTCGGTCGTTTTGAACAGCTTGAAGATATAGTTGCTAAACCTGTTGTGAGTATGTTTCCACAATAAATAAACATTAAGTTCTGTTCTGGACAAATGTATAATTTTCTAAAAATAATTCAACCCGAACAAGTATAAATTAGACCGATTAGAACTATCGATGACACAGGCGTTTAAGTACTGTCAGTAGTTAACGATAGTAGAATACATTAATATAAAATACTTTAAACCGTTTAAAACGTGGAATTTATTAGTTTAATTACTTTTTAAATATATATTAGCTACGACCCAAGGTTTTGGATGCCTCAGCCGGTGTCACGGGGGGGACTGAAGATGGACTGTTTCGTCGTGATTTATAGTAAAAATAACAAATGGTTGAAGAAACGAGCTGTGTTTAAAAAAATATATTTTTCCGATGTTTAGCCTCCATCACGAGAGAACTGGGGCCTTCTTATGGGTCGTATTCTGCTGGCTTACCGTAAGCAAGAACACGATCTCTTTGTTACATCTTGTTCAGACGGTATGAACCGACTTCTTCAACAAATGGATACGGAGTCACGTGGCGAAAGTGCTCTGCGCAGTGGATACCAAAGTGTATTGGGTTTACACATCATATCTGAAGCTGGACATGCCGAGGAAGTCTTAAAGGGGTTAGTTGAAACGTTATTCATATTTACTTAATAATAATGATTAACGTTAACATATATTTCTCATTTATGTTCTATACTTTTTATCGAAAACTGGTTACAGCAAGTTGTGCTAAGATCTATGTTAACCGTGGTTTGCGCATGTGCAAAAGTTGTATTGAAATATTTTTGGAGGAAAACCAATGACAACAAAGTGGTGCAACAAAAGAGGAACGCCTCATTTACGATCCCTTTTTGTTTAAGATTAAAAAACTTACAAGATGGTGAGAGTCAAGGTGAACAGATAATATGTCGATTATTGGATGAGTGGCGTCAGAGGTTGTCACTTGTCCAGTCTGATGTTCGGACAGTTGAGCCTCTGCTTCGTATTAGACGAATTTTGCTACAACAAACGCAGGTACCTATATATACCTAGTTGTAAAAAGAACAAACCCTCGGAAAATCGAAAGAAAAATGTTTGAAAAAAGTGTGCAAAGCGTTGAGGATTGCTATTATTTTTTATATATAATTATATTCTATACTAGCTGTGTCAGCGACTACTCCGCGTAGAATAGTTTTTTTTTACAAGCAAACAAACTTACCCTTAGCTTTATATATTAGTATGGATTTCTAGTAAAAGTAGATTGAATGCAGAGTTCATTACAAGTGCTTATAATTTTTTCAGGAGTTATTAGAGCCGACACACCCCCTAACATCGAATAAATTGAGGTCGTGCATTGGTGATTTGTGGCTGCAAAGCGCAAAACAGGCAAGAAAAGCCGGGATTTTTCAGCAGGTATAAATATGTTTGGTATTGAATAACATTACTTTGTCATCGTCATCCAAATACCTTTTATATCCTTCCAGGCCTACATGTATATACTTAACGCTGAAGAGTACCAACCTGAGCAGTTATTCATAGAAAAAGCGAAGATGTACTGGGCTAGAGGGCAACAGGAACACGCCTTTACAACCCTTCGTAGAGGCTTGGATGACGCCTACCCGCAACTGGAAATTTTAAATCAAGAACAGAAGTAAGTATATTTTAGTTAAACATTATAGGTATTAATAATGAAAAGCATGTGAATATTAATGAAACAGTAAATGTGATTTAAATAAATGTAAAACAATTTGAAGCAAAGTGGAGTAGTCGTTTAGCCTGTTTTTCCACCTTTTTTATGCCAGACTAGAGTGATGAGTTGATGGAAGATGAAAGACCCTAGCCATGTAACATGCAAACAAGATGCGCTATAGACCTGTTTTGAAACCTGATTATGGCGTTTCCACCTGTGGACGGCATTGAGATTTATTTCTTGTCGTTTATTTACTTTATATTTCTAGCGATATCTATATTCTAGTATATTGATATTTGAAGCATGTGGGACCAGGTGGGATTGAAACCCACAACCTTTACTGTTAGACTAAGGAGTCCGTCAAAGCTATCGTTAATCAATAAAAAACCTATTTTAGTACATTTTAGTTTATATTATGAAGTTATCATGGGCAAATAAGAAAAAAGTTATCAAACCCTTGCTAAAAATTAGTTAACTTTTTCCAGAAAAATATGCGCCAAAGCAAAGCTCCTAATAGCAAAATACAACGATGAGACGACCAATGTAGACGTGGATGTTAATATTGGATACTACAAAGAAGCAGTTGATGTATTTAAACAGTGGGAGAAAAGTTTGGTGAGATGTCTGTTTAATAATACAAATATTAACGATATTTCTTATTATAGAGACATATTTAATAAGTAGAATTTTAGGTGTCCTTAGGGTCGTACTACGAGAAGGTGAGTAGCTCAGACGTCGCGAGCGATAGTGGCGCCACGTGGACAAGACGAGTTTATGCATTGAATAGTTATGGCAAAGCTTTGCAGTACGGCCACAAATATTTGTATCAGAGTATGCCAAGGATGCTTTCCATATGGTATGTTGTTAATTTTGAATAACAAAACTATTATGATTAAAACTTTAACGGTTTTTAACGGATCAAGACGTGAAATATATCAGGTAAACTTGTTTCTAAATTATTTGTAACTACGGCCCGACGTTTTGGGTGCTTTGCAGAAACCGTGGTCATGGGGTCTACCTGTGACCAGGGCAAATAATTTGTAAACAAGTTTAACTAATATATTTCGCGTTTTAAAGTGTTTTATTTAAATGTGTACTACTCGCGTAGGCTACAGACAGTATTTAAAACTATGTATTTTGTTTCTAATATACACTTTTGTCTATTACTTGGATATTATGGAGCAATTAAATACCTTAATTAAGAGACCCGTTGATACGCCATTTATCGTGGGTTTGAGTCCTTTTGGTTCGATTGATTTTATTTTCTGTAACGTTTACGAATAAACTTCTTTAATAAATTTCATCAACCCTCAAATTTAAATGTTTTTATCCACCAGGTTAGATGTAGAGGTAACGTCTTCAGACACTAGTATCCACTCGATCTTGGCACAGATGACCGAGATCATAAAGACGTATTCAGAACGACTTCCGATATATCTCTATCTGACAGCGTTCTCACAGATAGTATCAAGAATATGTCATCCCGTTAAAGAAGTAAGTATAGAAGCGTAACATATTTTATTCCAGCGCAACGATCTAGTGATTTGTCGAAATATGGTGTTTTGAATTTTTCTAACAATTCCAAATACCGAATTATTTCTAACATCACTCTGAAATTTGGAAGTAGGTGATAAAACCACCAAACCATAGATCCTGATTATTACCACTAATTTAGCTATTTATCACTATTTCATATTTAAATCTTCAGAAGGTGTTTTTTTTAGAAGAGAGAGTAGAAGGTGAAATACCTCAGTCAAATAACATCGCAAAAAGTTGCGCTGATCAACGGACTGAAACTGAAACGCACTAAACTTCACTTCTCGGGATCTAGACTGAATTTAGAACATATCCAGAACCAACTTGTTTCTGAAAAATTGTAGAAACATTTTGGACCTGATGGGGATGCAACCCACAACCCGTTGATATACCTTGCTATTATAAGACCACCGAGCCCGTCATCGTTATAACGAAATGAAAGGAAATGCAATATTTATTGGGACAGAAAGATAAGAAATATATTTGAATTTGCAACATTTTTCCAGGTATACCTCCAGCTGAAGGCGATAATAGTAAAACTTATAATGGCCTACCCCCAACACACGCTATGGATGATGATGTGTGTGATAAAATCCAGCTACCCGCAACGGAACAAGCGTTGTACAGATGTTTTCGCGGATCCGAGACTTAAAGAACCACGGATGCTCAAACTTATCTCTGACTTCACGCAGTTAGCTGAAAAACTGATAGAACTTTGCAACAAACCAATTGTCGGTAGTGGTAATGTAAGTTTGTCTTTAGTTTACGCGAATTACACTTTAACGGTTTAAAAGGCGAAACTCATTATTTACAAGCAATGAGTGCTCCTGTAATGACAGCTGCTGTCAAGCATCCAAACCGGCTTGTAATCAAAATAATTTGAAAATAAGTTAAATAATACATTTCTGATTTTAAACCGTAAAAGTGTTTTATTTAAGAGGTAGTAATAAAACAAATTATGTTTATTGCTATAGACTTCTATATTTCTCAATAATTAAAATAAATTTCTTAGTAAATAAAGGCACTTGAATTGCCGAGCTGTTTAGCCGTTGACATTAACTTACGTTTATGAACATGGGCATACATATTGTCATGATAATTATACCATGACGATGGAAATGTGCCTCACCATATATTACCTGAAATAAATAGTGAACAAAATATTTCAGACAACCACAGTGTCATCTCTAGTGCGAACTCTCCCGCGTCTGTTAGCCACAGATAACTTCAGTCACATAATGATGCCCTTCCAAGAGTTTTGCAAGATAGTGCTGCCCTCTAAGGCGGCTAGACAAGAACGAATCGACTTCAATATTCCGGCGGACCCGCCCGTCTACATAACGGGTATTGAGGAGCAAATACAAATTCTACCCTCACTTCAAAAGCCTAGAAAAGTTACTTTGAAAGGTTAGTTTGTGCACGTAAACACAATATAATGAATATGTCAGATTTAGCTTCTCCATACTACTCTTAAAAAATGTTCTTAATATACATTTTTCTATAGAGATAAATATGCTTACTTGTGTGTATTTCTGTCCTTTCTTTACGTTAACATTAAACTATTAAACTATAATTAAGTTATTTATTCATACACAAGCTGGTCCAGCAAACGTCGTTTTTGTTCCCGGTTCTTACGAGTTACTCTTAAAAGACAGACAGCGTCGCGAACATTTTTTGCATCATATCTTTTGCTTTCTTCAAACTATTTTCGCAGCGCATGCAATGGAAAAAGGGCCCTTATGTTCCCTTTTTTTTCACATTTCCCTATTTTTCTTTGCCCCTGTTGGGCAGCATTTTGTTATATGGCCTAAAAAAATTCTCGATAGATGGTCTATAAACTACTTACTGAGATTAGCGTGTTCAAACAAACAGATTCTTCAACTTTATAATATTAAAATAGTTAAAATAAAACACTTTAACGTTTAAAACGCGATATATTATTAAACTTATTTGAAAATTTTTTATTTTATTTTAAACCGTAATTTTTATTTCAATTTACTACTCCGTAAACTATAGACAGTATTTAATATTAATATAGGTATTCTTCACAGAAATAAAGACCCGTTTTGAGAGCATTATACTTATAAATAATAAGTACTATGTAGTAATAATAATTTCAATAATAAACTCGCAATTCCGATAATACCGCGTTGCTAAGATTCCGCCGGGTTATAAATCAAGTACAACGTCCCATGTTTAATTGAAGGTTGTATATAAATAAAATAAATTGTGTCCGCGTATGTACACAAACAAACACAATAGCATATAAAAGCGTTTCGGAGATTCTCCTTTGTATACACAAATAATACTATTGTCATATTAGTTCCGACTTATTTTTACCGAGAAATTATCGTTATCATAAATTATAAATACGCTGGAGTTAAAAAGTAACAATGATAAACACGTATCCTGTGCTGAATTCGATTATAAATGGTTTTTTTTTAAAGAAAACAAGAAATATAATTACTACTGTACACTAGATACTTTGTTTTTGATAGGTAATAATATAACACAGGCGAAGGCGTTCGTATATATTCATAAATATAGTACAACAAGCTGACCTGGCAAACGTTCTTTTGCCATATGCCATTTCGACGAAAAGTAGATTAAGAGAAGAGAGTGGATAGATAAAAGATAGACAAATACTGTCGCGAAATTTGTTAGATCATTGAAAGAGGAATCGATCTTTAATAACGTTTTGTTGGGTTCCTTGAACCATTTTCGCAGCGCACGCAACGGGAACCAACAAAGATAAATTGTTTTACCTTTTTTTGCACGTTTGACACTGTTCTTCGCTTCTATTAGTCGCAGCGCTGTTTTATAGCCTAAACCCACCCTCGATAAATGCTCCAACTTATTTAGAAAACAATCGATTCTTAGCGCGTTGAAACAAACAAACTATTCAGCTTTATAATATTAGTAGCACTATACGCTATACATACATGCAAAAATACCTTAAAATTGTTTCAGGGTCTGATGGCAAATCCTATATAATAATGTTGAAGCCTCGCGATGATCTTCGAAAAGATTTCCGCCTCATGGAATTCAATGCTGTCGTTAATAGATTCCTGCAAGATGCGCCGGAGACTCGCCGGCGAAGACTCTACATACGAACATACAGCGTGCTTCCCCTTAACGAGGAATGCGGGCTTATCGAGTGGGTCCCCAATTTGGTTGGATTAAGGCCTGTTTTGATGCACATCTATAAGCAAAAAGGTGATATTTAACTTTACGTGTCAATTAAAAATTAATTTCGATTTTCTTAGTACAAGTAAAGCTAGACAACATCATATAAATAACGTCAATAGTTATTTTAGTTAAAATTATTTTTAATCCTTTATATGATTTGTCTTGGTTTTTTGTTTAAGTATCTATACTTTGAATTCTTGTATGTGGGAAATAGAATTGAAAGCGTGTAGTTACGTTACTAAAGACGAATTAAGTTTTTTCTTACTTAAAGAATCCTGTGTAGAAAATTTTAATATTTGTTATTGCACACGATGGCACTAATAAAAAATCACTCGGTGGCTCAGTTGATTAGAGCAACAGCACGGAAAGATGATGCTGCCGTTTCAAGTCCTGTCCGAGTCGTAAATTTTTTCAATTTATTATCGATGTCGATTTAATCTTGTGTAGATTTTGATAATTACCTTACCAAGTCTTATTACCTTACGAGTCTAATAGTTTGATTACGCATTATGAAAGTTTAAAATCTTTACGTATAATGCGTAACTGAAATGACACGAACAGCAAAGTCATTGAATATAATTTTGGACGTTTATACAGAATAAGCATTAACGAATCACTCGATGTCGTCACTCATATCATGCGGCTATCAGTCAAAAAAGTTATGTAATTTTCCGGATTACCAGCACTTGCATGCTTTACTGATGAAAAACGATTATATTTATTATGACGTCGACTGCGTTGGTTAGCGTAGAATTCATAATCATTTTAATCTAACCCTGGTATTAATAAGGAACCTTCTTATTGAAATAGTTTGCAAAATATTTGGAGGTTATGTTCTTGCAACGAGCCTTTTACCGTTATCTAGTTATTTAAAACAAAAAATATTCGATTGACTTCAAATATACAAAACAACATTTACTTTGCTCTATTTTTTAATTTTATTGAATTTATTTTTGCTTTTAATGACTTTTTCTACGTATGTAGTTTACAGGAGTAGTACCTACACATTTAAATAAAACACTCTTACCGGTTTAAAACGCAAAATATATTAGTTAAGTTATTTTTAATTTATTTTAACTACGGCCCGACGTTTTGGATGCTTTGCAGCAGCTGTGGTCACGTCGGACCGAAGTTTTATTTTATTTAAAAGATTTTCTATACTAAAATACCATATATGTAATTGTGTTTTTTATAAGTAAATGCAACCATGGCGTTTTTGTAATTATTTCTTTTAATTATATCTCTACTTTGTTCAATGGACATGGCTTCACAGGTATCCATACAAGCAATCGAGAATTAAAAGAGATGATGTGCCTCAACAAGGATCCAGTAGAAAAAAAACGCCGGATATACGAGCAGCAACTCCTACCGAGACATCCACCAGTGTTCCAAGAATGGTTCAGGCGGGTTTTCTCTGATCCCTATGGGTGGTAAGATTCATTATCCTCATGGTCTATCACGCCTGTACGAACACCCCCAGGGTTTATACAATTGACAATGAATCACCGAAAGTTCTTTAATGTTTGTTTTTAATTAATATTACTTATTAGACCTGGGGCCATTAATACTAACTATTATTAATTTAGACTATATAACAATGATATCGCGATGTGGGTGAACACACGTGACATCTATAATAATATAATAAGTGGTTTCAATTTTTTAAAACGTTTTAAATTTAGGTACCAAGCACGATCGGCTTACATAAGAACAACAGCTGTGATGTCAATGGTCGGTTATATTCTAGGTAAGTCAACAAGGTCTCGTTAGTAATATTAGTAATAGTCTAAGTATTCTATAAACTTGAAGTAATGAATTACTATGTATCTTGGATATAAACGGGTAATTTTATCTAATTGTGATTTATAGTACTAAATCGGGGCTAGAACTACCCACTTTAATACACATCTCTATTTACTGTACGGTGTTTAAGAATTGAAGAAGTGATTATTATTATTTTTCTGTTTTATGATGGAGGATGACTTACTGTCTATAGTTTACGCGAGTAGTACACATTTAAATAGAACACTTTAACGGTTTAAAACGCGTTATATTAGTTAAACTTATTTGAAAATTATTTTTAACTTCAGCCCGACGTTTCCGTCTCCCCTCGACCACGGCTGCTGCTAAGCATCCGAAACGTCGGGCCGAAGTTAAAAATCATTTTCAAATAAGTTTAACTAATATATCGCGTTTTAAACCGTTGAAGTGTTTTATTTAAATGGAGGATGACAAACAAACATTATGTTCACTTAATGGTGCAATACCACAGGCATATAATATGTAAACATGAGGCGCTGCAACTTATTCAATCCACAGACTGAAATCGAAACGCGATTAAATTTCACGTCTCTTTTATTTTTGGACGATGGACCCGATTCCATCACCCGAATGGAATATCGATATTCCTACCACTAATTTAATATCCAGATTTCCAGACTAAGTCCAACATGTCTCAGAAAACATATAACTTGATTAGAAAAAAGTTGGCTCTCTTGGGGATCGAATCCACGACCCTTACAATGCTATAATTTTCCTAGGTACTCTTTTCGTGTCATCTATTTTCTTTTTATCTCCCTTTTGGTATATTTGGTATTCAGGTCTTGGTGACCGACACGGCGAAAACATTTCCTTTGATTCAACAAACGGCGACACGGTTCACGTAGACTTCAACTGTCTCTTCAATAAGGGAGAGGCATTTGAGTGGCCGGAGCGAGTACCTTTCCGCCTCACTCATAATATGGAAGCCGCTATGGGCCCGCTGAAGCACGAGGGGATGTACAGGTAAGTCACGGTTGCTTAAGAGAGTTGTATAATTAATTTCGAATCACGATATCGCAGAATAGTTATTTTGAGCATCAGCATTTCTTTTTGCAAACCTCATCTTCATGAATTTGACGTCGTCCGCGTCGTTTTCGCAAGATTATCTTGAAAGATAGGCACATGAATATTATTTTTAGATCGTTAATAGAGAAATCCTTCTTTAAACATAGTTTTTTGTTTTTTTAATCGTTTTCGAAGGGCACGTAACGGCAGCCCTCATGAATGAATTATTTTTCCTGTTTTTTTCCACATTTCCCACTTTTCTCTCTCCTATTGGTCGCAGCGTTTATAGCCTTCCTCTATAAATTATCCAACCAATAACAAAGTTCCAGAAATTAGTACGTGCAAAATAATAATATAGATAATAGGTAATAATAATGAACATCGAATAGTATACGTAATTAATAAATTGTGTAAGGCTTTCACGGCCATCGTTCAGCATATCAGGCATCATCAGGAGATGTTAACTCCTCTTCAAGCAATAGAGGAGTTAATTTAAAATTAACATCTCCTGATGATGCCGTCCGCATGTGATGGCGAAACGTCGTGAACCTCTTCTGGTTCACGTCGGCCGAACAGCCTGAAAGACAATGATATGCAGTAATCGTAATTGTTTGCTATCGGCGTTACAATTTTTTTACGTTACAAACTTTTATTTTGTTCAAAGCCAAGTTTGTATAGGCACATGTGATTAAAAATATAACATATTTGCGTTTGAAAAGAAAAGTAAACCGTCTTCCTTAAAATCTGTTTCTATATTCAATGTGACATTATGTTTGCTTAATATATTTTTAATTTTGCTATAAAGTTACAAGTAGATTTGGTTTTATAACTTAGAAAAAGCTGTGAAGCCGTAATGCGGGCTTTACGAGAGCAGACCGCAGCCCTTATGTCAGTGATAGGACCATTCGTATACGACCCGTTGGTGTCGTGGGGCCGCGCCCGCGCAACTCAGCTCGAATGCGGCGAGAGGACTAACGAACAAGCGTTACACCACTTGCACCATATCCGTCAGAGGCTGAATGGCATGGTAAGATTAAGACGTTTGCCGAATAAAATAAGTGTGTCAAGTTTTTAAACTATGACGGACTCGTTTGTCTTGTGTTGGCAATTTATGGCTAATAATTACGGGTCGTGGGTTCGGTCCCAACATCAAGCGAACATGCTCGTCTCCCCTTCTCTATCATTAAAGAAGAATGCGTTGTCATAGAGTTACTTAAAATTAGTTATTTACTATTTTATTCGTAAGGCAAATAAAACTAAATTATTCTCCTCCTTCCAAATGGGGGGTTTGAAAATGGGTCAACTTAAATAAAACTTATGAATTTCGTCCTACAGAACCAATTTATAAAGAATCTTGGGACCCGAACTCTGCGCTTTTTTTTTTAAGTTGTTGTTTAAGGTCAAGGAGGACAAACCTTATATTTAGAGTTCCTACCACCGTAGGATAGAAGGTTTTGCTGCCATATATTATTGGTACAGTTTTCTTTTGCGCCATTCGTTGTCGAAGATGCCTTTTATTTTCCATTGTCAATAAATGTTTATATTGTTATAACTAAACAAGGTGATATTTCCCATGAAATGACAGTACATAATGGCAAGAACTTGAGACGGCCATTCTAAAAACAATGTTTCTATGAAGTAACACGTTATGTAATCTAGGTAAAAACGAAAAACAAACAGTTGTCACTTTCCCTCTCACCGGAAGGTCAAGTGGAGCATCTCATTGTGGAGGCGACGAGCATACATAATCTGTGCCAGATGTACATTGGATGGGGTCCCTTCTTGTAGACTACAATTGTCTTTTGTTTTACGATTTAATTGTTATACTCGAGAATAAAAGAATTTATATGTTTCTTATAACGTACGATGATTAACAGTTTCCAAGCTTTTATATATGTTAAACGTTTGTTATCTAAAAAAATAGTAGTTTTCTATCGTCTGTAGTTGACGCAATTAATTAGCATTTGAACAAAACACTTTAATGGTTTAAAACGCGAAATATATTAGTTTACCTTTTTTTGTCAGGTTGTTGTTAAGATAAATTAAAAATAAATAGCATATTTTCCTTTTTAAACCGTTAATTGTGTCTTTTTTAAATATTAGTTTGTCTATATGTATGTTTTTTGAAGAATTGATCTATATAAATATCTTAAAATAAGAAAAAGTGCTGTGATTATAAATCTGCTTTAAATAAAACTGAACTTTTTCAAATCTTTGGTTTCATTTTCACTTCACAGTTTTCTTACACCTATGTACGTTACTATGTAGCTTTAAAAAACAGATTTTTTTTTATTAAAGCTTACATAGTGCTACATAATAAATACGCAGATTTTGCCTACAATCTGTCCATTTATACTAAATTGATAAATTGTTATTTGCGTTTCCTACCTTTCATTAATTGTTTTTCCACAAGGTCTGACATTGACCGCGAAATCGAATTGGAAGTCTATTCCTTATGCGTCATACTGTAAAAATCGATTCAACACTAAATTCCAATTAACAATAGTTTATATTTATGTACTGTTTGTAGTTATTTAAAATTATTTCTCAAGCATTAGCATAGAAGATTTGTGCAGTAAATAGTTGATATTTTTTAATCATTACACCTATGTTTTAAATAATATAGAGATTTGACATCTAATTTAAAGGAAAAGAGAAAAACTACTAATTTATGGTATCATGACACTGGCCATTTACAATGTCATTAAATTAAAAAGAAAAAAGAGTAGGTATATTAAAACTGCAACTTAGGTACCTGTATTATTGCTGTTTTGTATGTAGTTTATGCGAGTAGCTCACATTTCAATAAAACATTGTCAATTGTTAAAAACGCGAAATATATAAATTTACTTTTAAACCGTTGAAAGAGTTTCATTTAAATATTATTGTTGTTAAACGCGAAAACATTAGGCACTATGAAATCAAAGTACGTGCCCAATGAATAAAAATAATAAAGAGAAACAAAGATTAGAGACTTCAAATTATGACTTCAGGAAAATTGGGATTTAGTGTTTTAAATAAAATCGTTAACAATACCATTATTGAGATTGGTCACAGATCGGTACGACCTTTCATCTATTGTTGTCGTTCCGGACGACGCTTTAATAAAAACGTCCCATAGTAATCGATTAACCTTGTTTCCAAAAATACTCTAATCGAGTAGAAAACATTGTATGTATTCGAAATTGAATAATATTTGTTACCATTATAGAATGGTGGTATATATCATATAGGGTAGTGCTTCTCGTTTATTAGTACACATTTAAATAAAATAGTTATTAGTCTTGCATGCTTATTTTGGTCATGTTGTTATTTGTGTGAAGCAAAATGTGTCCTCACAAGTTAAAATTATCAAGATTGACGTGAAGAACAGAAGACCCTGAGATGGGACGTGTATACAAGGAAGGGCCGAGTTAAAAATACTGTAAATTCCTATAAATAATGTATTGTTGAGATTCAAGCTATCTGCCGTAAACAAGGTTTAACTTTGTAAATTATTAACAGCATTCTTGAGTAGTTTATCTGCGTTTATCTTGTTTTTCGCGCCAGAATTCTTCCTGACGTATTTATTAATGCATTGGTAGGAGTCGGCTAAGTTGTAAGTTAGTATGTAATTATTAATTATATTATAAGCTTTCTAGCTTTTACTAGAGCGTTTGGCCACCTCTGCGCGGTAACTACAAGACCACAAGACAAATCTTGGCACACAGCTACATTAGCTTGGACGGTAGCTCAATGTTTTTTTACGAAATACGCCTAAGCTCTTAGGTATCTGGCACTAACCGTACTATGGTCTCCCTCGGCTTTGGCCACTATAATGTGGATGGAGTCATCTCACTCATCGAGTGAGGGGTACGGGGAATAAGGAAGATTGGTGCCAGCGCCGGTACAACGCGCCATGAAAAGACTCGTCTGGGTACTTCATTAGTAAAGAATGTTCTAGTAGTGGATTGGGAGTATTTATATAGCTACAACCTGTGGCCGCCAAAACAAAGTGATTTTTTCAATTCGAACCGTATTGGTTCTTGAGATTACTGCGTTCAAACAAACAAACTCTTCAGCTTTATAATATTAGCATAGATGTCACTTATATTTTTAGTAAAAGGTTTATGTAAGTTTGTTAAAATTGTCATACCAGTGAAGCATCGAATGCAAGTACACGTTACTACATATACCTACTTATTTCTTTAGTTGCAAAGTCTTAGAGTAACAGCAAAGAGCTATACGTATTTCGTACACGTATCTGTACCTGCATAGTTGTAAATTTTTGTAACCATACAGCAAAATTTAGATGACAAAACTTTTATAAAAAGCCTGATCTGAATATTAAATCTCGATTTTAGCGTCAGAAGCCATTTTGCGGTTTGGTTCACGTCGTGCATCGCGTGGGGACCGCGTGAAAACTGCAATATTTCACGCTCTATGGAAATTAAATGTCGCACATGTTCATTTAAAAATGTTCTCCAATAAAATATTATTTTTAAGTTGCCGGCACAAAGGCCACTGAACGACATTGTGAAATGCAATATTTAATAACTGCCTCGTTAAGGTCGTGGTTGGTTGGTGGAGACCAGTCTACAATTCAGTAGGACCGAGATTCGAAGAGTGGCTCAGCAAAAATATTAATTCAATATTTGGGATATTTTCTACTAAATATTCTAGTTAATTCAGCTTGTGCCCAGAATTAGTACATTAATGGTTGAAACGAAACAATATTATTATCATTGGCTGGCAAGTTTAATATTCATGGAGTTGGTTTAAATAATTAATTTGGTTTAAAAATAGTATTCTACATTATTCTTCTTAATTATTACTGCAAACACTATAGAAGTTATTTCACGCATAAAAATTTCACATTGTTTCAAGATGACGAATCCGCAGCAAGACATTTAATATATGGACTCCATTTCGAGTATTTTAAATAAATAATGCACTACATTTGTCTTAAGTATGAACACAGTGTAAGATTACGTAAGATCATGTGAGATAATGTTTAAAACATACATTAGAGTTGCATGCAACCTCATTTTTATGGAAGTTCACCTCGCAAGCTGACCCAGTATCGCGTACGAGGCAACCCGCTTGACAGCCAATATCCGGATGATCCATTGTTCCCCGTTCGCCTCATTGCGGATTCTGGACCGCACGTCCCATCTAACCTCTCGGATCGAAACTCGAACCATGTCTTTAAACACGAATCAAATTCTATCCTACATTCGTACGTTTCATATCAATGTGGAGCACGATCCTTGAGCTATCAGTGCTATTGTATTTGCGATATTTCTCCAGTTTCAAAGGGATTTACGATGTAAAGAAAGGGAAAAATCTACTTTAGTTCCAATTATTAGTTTCCATTGGAACATTGGATATTTTGGTCTCATTGTTTTTTATTAAGGGTTTATCTACCGCGGACTCAAAAAAGAAGCGAAAGAACCCGGTAGAATGCCTTTTGAGATATTTGTCTGAATACACAATCTACCGTGTTGAGCAAATATTAGACGAGACGCCAAAATGGCTAACTCAACCTTTATATGGACATGTCCAATTAAGGTTTAAGTTTTTGGGATAAATTGGTTATATATATAAAATCCTTTTCCTTATTATATCTTCCGTAGACTCCTAGGTTCAATAGTAAAATGTTGCCTCGGTTGGTCTAGATCACTGATATAACTTAAAAAATCTTTCAGTAAAACAGACACATACAAACTTATACGGCCCCATGTCTAACGTTGGGTAAGTGGGATTTCGCTTGATGTAAATAAGAAGATACTAACTCCTCAGTGGTAATTAGCGCGACGTTCTGGGTTCGGACCCGAGGATTCTATTGTTTCGATCGGGCACAGAAGTCTGATCTGAACTACGTATCTTTTAATAAAATTGCACCGAAATATGTCTGCCCCATGCCTACGTGGGAAAAACTTGGATTTAACGTATGTATAATAAGTCTAATCACTTGTTCTATAATGAATAAACTATCGCGATTCTAAATCTATAGTTTAACTTTGATGACGAAGTACTGTGTAATCGTGTGTTGTTGTTGGACAATAAAGCAAATATAAGGCTGGTACGTTCTATGAAATCATTTGGGAAACCCACTTTTTTGACTATGCGTTGTACAGGGCTTTAAAAGTACCGCAGTTTTTTTATAATATATCGTGCAATGTATTCAATTGTTTTTAGGGTTACTTTAGAACGTGTGAACCGATATAATAAAATTAATAATTTTTCGTGAAGTAAATGCTAGGCGACGCAGTAAGCAACTAAGCCGTGTTTGCAAACAGGGAACCCTTTCAATATAGTACTGTCGTGCTTAACTGTTTTTATACACGTTTTTCTTATAGTCACTTGTCAGAGTTATTGTAGTACATAACCAAGTACTTTAGCTCGGACACGATTGGTTTTTTTTATACACTTGTTTATGCTAAACGCAATGTAATCCGGATTTTTTCACGGTGAATCCGGGAACTATTTGTCTTAGACTCTTCCATCTTACTTCTACTTGGTCCATATAACAAGATCTATTGTTCCGATACCCCTCTTTGGGGCACATCCTGCTCTACCCAAAAAAAATGGCGCTCAAAAGTCCGGTTAGTATAACTGGGCTCTAACAAAAAAAAAATAGCGTTCAGTACAACGTGCCTACGAGTACCAAAGCTGACCGTTTTTGGTATTTATGAACTGATCAGAAGTGCTCAAAGAGGACCGCGTAAATTAAAGGGCCAGAACGATTCCTAGGATTAATAACAGCAGTTATGAAGTTATATTACTGCTGTTTGCTGTTGCTGCTTTACTAAATCTTATTGGACATAAAAACTGTTAAAGAATCGGTCGAACTTATTGTTCTAAACGCTTGAAAACCTAAACACAATACACAATTCACAAATTTACTTATGTCTAATTCAGAAAATAGTTATAACCTATTTGACTAGCGACTTTGTTCCCTATATTAAAAAATATAACCCTGTTTAAACGACGTGGACACAGTTAAATAACAGATCTATAATTTGACGAGCTCTTTGACGTAATGGTAGCAAACAATGGTTAATTATCAAGGGGTAATGGGTTCCCCACTGGGTTCAACATGTTTTTAATTACTGTCTGTAGCTTACGCGAGTATTACACATTTAAATAAAACACTTTAACGGTTTAAAACGCGATATATTAGTTAAACTTATTTGAAAATGATTTTTAACTTCGGCCCGACGTTTCGGATGCTTTGCAGCAGCCGTGGTCACAGGGAGACTTTTCAAATAAGTTTAACTAATATATCGCGTTTTAAACCGTTAAAGTGTTTTATTTAAATGTTTTAAATTACTATATAATTCTTCTGATATATGTTGGGTTTCGTCTGAGAATCTGGATATTAAATGTGTGGTATTGCCATCCAAATTAATCATCTGGGTTACAAACCACCGTCCGCAGATGAAATAGCCGCGAAGTTTAATGGCGTTTCAAATTCAATCTGTGGATTTTCGTTTATCCAAAGCCAAAAATACATTTAATTTAGATGTTATGTGGCTGGGATTTTACCTTAGTGATCTGTGTTAGTCTTTCCTCCGCTGTTAAAAGATAAAAGCCTCTAAGTCGAAACATCACTCGTATAACGAAACGGACAATAAATATGATGTTATACGCGTCCATTGCTGTCATTACCTAAGTACGTGTTTTATTTTTTATGAGACAAAATGATTCAGCAAACTCAATCTAAAACCCAAGACCGCGACTAGGACAGGCATGGCGTTAAACGATTTCCCGATGACAAAAAACGACGTCCACTATTTAGTGAGTGCCAACCTTGGCTTCTGCGTAAATAATACCATAAAGGTGTCTAAATATTTGCCTATACGTACTCACAGATGATATTGCTTATTTACTCACAAAATTAGTTTTTCTAGGAATGTTGTATCGGTGGTTAGATATCGTATACGTTTAAAGTTAGGAAAGATAATAGTTATTTTAACGCTGAAGTTTATGTAATTGAGCGGTGGCTTATCTTCTTTAGTACGGTGATAGCGATCATTAAATAATTCAAACAGAAAAAATTTAGTGTTACAAGATAATACGAGTAATACTTGATAAACTATAACCCGACTACGTTGTAAGGCTTGACATACAATTTCACGTTTTAAAATTTTTCGTGTAAACTGCAGTTATGATTTAAATAAAACATTTTTAAAGGTTTAATATGCGAAATTTATTTTAATTACAGAGCACAACTGCTGCAAAGCACTAGATATTTCGGGTTTCTATTATTTTCTGATATTAAATATAAAATGTCATATTAAATTATAATTTAATGTTTAGATAGATTTTATATTAAATGTTCAGGAGCTTTTTTTTAGAAAAATATTCTATTACGGGTTTGTCGTTAAAATACTCTTGGTTTAAGGCCAAAGACTTAGACTAATGTATATTCATATGAGTCTTTTGTACTTGTTATTAAATACTGATTTGACTATACGTGCTGTATAGCTTTAGGCACGCGAGGTCCTAGGTTCGAATCCCGAGCCAACAACAAGTTGTTTCGGTCGCGCAGAGCACAGAAGTCTTATTAAGGATTCTCGCCAGTACAATTAATCGATCAGCGAAACGGACACAGAAATATGTCGGCTCTTGCCAGACTCCTGCCAGGATTTCATTTATTTAAATACCAATTATAAATTAATCGCTTGTCTAATTTTAACGCAGTTTACAAATTCTGTCGCACTGTTACGTGTATTGTAGCAATGGAGAATTTCCCAAAGAAAAATAATAAGACACACAGGAAGGTGGAAATAGAACCTTTTAAACAAATTAATATTACATTTCGATGCTTCTTCAAGGCTTTTCCTTAAGGAAATTTACCGTCATCCGCGACACTGCCTATAAAATTATTATTCAGTAACGCGTACCTCCGTGGTCTTCAATATTATCTGAATTTTAAAGGCTTATTTCAATATTTGTATTTTAAATGGATGTCTATTATGTAGTAACTACGTAAAAATCGTTTATAATTGCATTTGATTAAATTTTTTAATTGTTTTCAAAAGACATTTTTTTCCAAGGACTTTTATCGGTACTAGTAAAATATTACAATACTAGTACGTGATTATAATATCGTCTGTGGTGATACACAGCTAAGGAAATTGGTTCCCGATAAAAATGATTACAATATAAAATGTGCAGGCTGTAATAAGAAAATTAAATTGAAAACGTGATGTCAGATCCGTAGCTAGCTAAACAGTTGGCGCGAAGACTCAAGCCAATGCGCAGTTGGAAAAAGTTACAAATGTCGCGCGCGCGCAGAGGTCAGCTTTAGCGCGGGAAATTATTACCGTTTGACATTAACAAAATGAGTGTTGAAAATTTTCGTGCCCAAAGTGAAAAAAGAAGTGGTTAATTGAAATATCTAATTGTCGACAGCCGTTTATTTTTATTCATTACTATTTTATAAATATTTTTAATACAAAGGTAAGATAAATATTTAGGGATATTTAACATTTCGTTCATCTTAAATAATTTAAACTGATTTTAACATATACCACATAGCCCGAGTTCAAAAGTTTTCCACTAGTTTTCCTTATGTGGTAAGTAATAATGAATAACTACCGAATGACAACTAAATAGGTCTTTACAAACACATGCGTCCTCTATCGATAATGATCCTTATATATTGAACATTTATTTATCGCTAATATATATTGTTGTTTCCATTATAAACACTGCAATTTTTAGCAAGTGTTTTTGAAACACCTATAAATATGTTGCAAATAGCATATATATTAAAAATATTCGTCGCGTTGTACGTCAACAGCCCCTAGGGTCCATCTGACCATCAGTCCTCCAGTACTTTGCTGATATCAAGTCCTTTTTAATTATCTGAACGTTGACTCTCATCGAATATTGTTGATCTTCAGTCAAATTTAATAGCTATTTAAATAATGTAATTTTTCACCATCGCAAATAAATAATGTTTTCTTTCTTTCCTTATACGTAATATAATAAATTGCTTATGAACCGAATATTTCTAATAAAATTATTAAGTACTTAAGACTACATAGCTTACAAAGAAAACAAAAAGCCGTCATATATTTTTTGCAAATTTTGTTAAAAATTATATCATTTCAATTTATGGTCTATATACAATTTATTTTATGAAGGTCAACTTTCTTGTGAACTATAATCGAAAGCCAAACTAAAAGTGACCAAAAAAAATATATCTACAAATTTCGAATTCCATATGTGTGCAAATGTATAATTTGAACGAAACACCCGGAATTTGAATCCAAGACCTTTCGTGCTTAACCATTGAGCCTTGTAAAAATAAAATGAATGAATTTAAGAGCTATTTACCATAGAAACAAAAAACGCTTGACATTATTTTCAAGAAACACGCCTATTCCGGGATACGTGGATAAACAGCCAGGTATTACAGGATGCATTTGACGCTGGATCCGAGGCGATTAGCCGGACGTGTGTTCCCGATAGTCAGCTGGTCGAGGAGTTACGAGCTGCGAACAGGGATCGGGGATCTAATAGCCGGGATAACGGTGGCGCTTACGCTGATACCTCAGTCCATAGCGTATGCTTCGCTGGCGGGATTTGAACCGCAGGTACGATTTATTTCAACGCAATCAGCACCTTTATTGCGCGACGGTGAAGCCACAAAGAAGGGTAATGTTTTTACGCTGTGTAAACATGTTGAATCTGCAAGTTTTATCAATCAATGGCTAAGTTGTATAGCCTTTTAGTAATAGTATTAATTAAAAAAACAGTACTTATTTATGGTAATATTATAAAGCTGAAGAGTTTTTTTATTTGAACGCACTAATCTCAGGAAATACTGTTTAAATTTAAAAAAATATTTATATACTTTGCGTTGGACCATTTAACTAGGAGAGTTATGAATATAAGAGCTATAAATTATTAGTTTGCGTCCAGTAGGAGTGAAGATATAGCTGGAAATATGGAAACAACTAAGATTTTTTTTCATCTTTGGTTTTTGTTTTAGACATTTATTAAAGAAACACATTCACTATACAAGTAAAAAATACAGAAGAAAAAAACACAAAAAAAAAAAAGGATATCCATTGTATGAGCTTTGACGCTGTCGGCGCGAACGCAGACGATCAAAAAAATATTTACAATGGAATTATTATTAATCCATCTAAAAAAATGTCGGGTACAGTCTTCTCAATCTTAATAGAAATAACTTACAACAACCTTTTTTTGTGTCAACTTTAGGTCGAAATTCTTTATTTGACACAAAAACGTTTGCCAGGTCAGTTGTTTATTATAAATTCGAATTTTGTTAGTAAAATAACAATATAATTAAATCCATAGTGCCGATATTGCTGAATGAATCTATATCTATACTAATATTATAAATGCGAAAGTAACTCTGTCTGTCTGTTTGTCGGGCTTTAACTCCGAAACTACTGAACTGATTAAAATGAAATTTGGTACACAGATATTTTAGAGCCTGAGAAAGGATATAATGCTACTTTTTAATGCCAAAATGCGATGAAAGTATGGAAATTCGTGGTTTTTGAACAGTGGAACTTCAATAAGAATTCTGTCCAAATTTCAATGTAATATTTAGTTAACTTAGAAATAAGTGAATGTGTACATTCTTTAATAAATGTCTAAAAACCAAAAAAAAACTTTCTTCTTTGGCTTTTTGGGAATATGAGCGGGAGTAAGAGTAGGAGTGATGTGAGGTGCGAGTGTTGCGGCAAAGTAGCACTTACAACATAGATTGGCTGCCTTAAAGCGCCCTTACATAACTTAATAAATAGCCAAAAAATTAAAAATCCCCAATTCTGACTTGCTCGAAGTCGCGGGCCCAGTTATTAATAAATATGATAACTTATTGTTTCCTTCTTAATGTATCACATGTTAAATATTGGAAATATTAGATTTAATAAGTAATGCAGTAAATGTCAACCACTGTTCTGTATTAAATCCTTCTAAGTACTCCTCACAATAAATGAGATTACTGATTAGTAATCAGCAATAACTATGGCATAAATTCACAAAGCAATTGTTTTTTCAAGCGTTGTTAATTACGTTACGTTTTAGTTGTAAACGACTGATTATGCATATTGTTTTTTTATTTATAATTAAAAGCAGTTTTATAATAAGCTCTCTAATAGAACCTTTTTTAAAAAGACAAACATGTGGCCATAATATTTTTAAATATTACCCGGTCAATCTATTTTGGCTTTGCATATTCAGAAATTGACTGTAGCCCTGAATTTTTTTTTATTTGTGGAACGTGGACGCGGACGGAATTTCTGTGTTGCTACCAGCCATTTATTGCCCAGATTTCCAAGCAAAGTATAACCTACGACTGGCGGATCATTTATAAGCCCTACATTCAACCACAGAGTCTGCCAAAACAATAATTATAATCAATTAGTTTTAAATAGTATATATGAATAAATACAAAAATGTTAACGGTTAAAACGCAAAAGTTATCAGTTAAACTTATTTAAGTCAATTTGCGTATTTAAACGGCCAAAGTGTTTTATTTAAATGTGTACTACTCGCGTATACTACAGAGGAGAATACCACATGCCTAAGTAGAATATTACGCGTAGATACTTGTGAAATATGTAATACCTCATTGACCCACTTAATTATCAATAAAATACACAATAAAAGTAGTCACGCGTTATTACCAAATACCAATTATAGTTTAATCTTGTCTACTTAGTATAGCAACGATCTTCTTTATCGACATCAATTCATCAAAGTTATCACGTCATTAAATATGGATTACTTGGCAATGATTAAGTGCTCAATGAAAGCTTTGACGCTTCAGTCAAGGCGTGTAATATGAGCTTTCCATAATGCTTTTTAAAATGGAAAACATTTTACGTTGATGTAAAAAACACATAAATGAATATACTTTAAACAGTACTTGCTATCGGCCTGTTTCGGCTTTGGATATTCGGTAGTCCATAGACTAAGACCGGAACGCGATTATGGCTTTACCATGTGTAGTGTAGAGAGTAGTCTGGTAACGGAACAGTATTTTTATATTCCTATGATCAATTTAATACGTAAATATATGCATATAATTAAAATAAAAATACGTTTTGTTTATATTATTGTTTGGTGCAAAGCACGTGAAATGAAAATTGCAATAATTATCCTACTATATAAAGACAATTTCAAATGTTTCTCTTGTAATCAAATGATGTTTTAAGATCACTGCAAAAAATATTATAAAATGACTTTTAATACAATTTTATTTATAGATACTAAAATATCGAATTATTGTTATCTGTCCTTGTAAGACTAATTAAAAAAAAACTTTTATAATGACCTACTTTCAATTGTTGTTTGAAAACTGTATGTATTATTTAATTTATTTACGATTTTAAATATACACAAGTGAATATATTTCGCATTTCAACCAATCAAAGTATCATAATATATATATATATGTTTTATTCATAAGATAGAGAAGGTGACAAGCATGGAGCTTATTTGATGGAACGTGAAATACTCATGTCATATAACACCCAACAAAATGCGCATTGGATATTCGGAAATCCACAGACCAATTAAACTTGATGGCCTTTTATCTGTAGACGGTCTTTTGTCACCCGGACGGGATTTCGTTATTTCTGACACACATTTAATATTCAGATTTCTAGACAAAGTCCAACATGTTTCAGGAAAATTATAAATTGATTAGAAAAATGTTGGATCCGGTTGGAATCGAATTCATGACCCGTTGATTATGAGAAATACATTGCTACCATAATTAAGCCTAACTATAGACAATGCTTACCTTAATGTTATTATTACGCAAAGCAGAATTAAACCGACCAAAATATAATTGTAAAGTAATATATATTTATTTCCAGTATGGTCTCTACGCTTCCTTCGTTGGTGGATTTGTCTACGCTATAATGGGCACAGTTCCACAAATTAATATTGGACCCACTGCGCTCCTATCTCTCCTTACCTTCACTTATACTAATGGGACGAACCCCGATTTTGCAGTGCTGCTATGTTTTGTTGGTGGAATCGTTACGTTGATCGCTGGAGTTTGTCAACTTGGTAAGACAATCATGTATGTTTAAAATAATATTAATTTATTCATCAGATCATTGATTTCTTTTTATCTAATGAGAGTGTAAGTTGGGTTAGTAACAATTTTACTCATGTCGTATATTAGTATGTCTTAGTCACTAGTAATAGTAGTATTGTAAAATCCTATTTTCCCTCGTGGGGCGTGGGGCGAACCGTGTGTCCGTTTCACTGATCGGTTCTTTTAGAGGTGAGTATTTGATCAGGCTTCTGTATCCTGTCCGAGCGAAACTATTTATTGTTTTCCGAGGATTCGAACTCAGGATCATTTGCGCTTAATGCAATGCTATGTAGCACGTCTCATTTTTTTTACTATATTTCGACGTAGGATGCTTTGCAATAGTCGTCGGCGTGGGTCGCTAATTCTAACCCTTAAAAGTGTTTATTAAAAGAGTATATTTTATTAAGAAAGATAACAACGAACTTAAAAAACACTAAATTATTTATTTGAATTTAGGGATGGTTTAATGTTTCGGGAATGGACAGCTATTATCCAATTTTAATATTCTATCCCTCACAATCAATATGTCAAAAAGACATGGTTTAAGTGCAAAACTTACTAACTTCTTAATAGTGGTGTAGTAGTGAAATCCCGTTTCCCCCTCGTGGGCCATGGGGCGAATACACTTTTATGTTCGTTTGACTGATCCGTTCTTTAACAGGCAAGGAGTTGATCAGACTTCTGTGCCCTGTCCGACCGAAACATTTTATGTTTCCCTGGGATTCGAACCCAGGACCTCTCGCGCTGAACGCAATGCTAGGCAATACGTTTATCCATTTGGGTACGGAGGCTTCGTAATAAAGTATACAAAAAAATAACATTCATAATTAGGGTTAATATGGATCAAATAAAATGTGTATGGACGCTCTGGTATTTTTCAGATGTTAGTGAAAACTATAAATAAAAAAGGGCTTTGTATAGCTACTACACATAAGAACACTCTGTACTTACAGGGTTCCTCGTGGAATTCGTATCAACGCCAGTAGTATCCGGATTTACGTCTGCCGCCGCGATTACGATAGCGTCTTCGCAAATAAAGGGTCTCCTGGGACTAAGCTTCGACGCTGAGACCTTTATATCGACCTGGCGCGGTGTCTTCCATAATATAACGAACACGAGGCTCCAGGATACGCTTCTCGGGTTGTCTAGCTGTATCGTGTTGATGGGAATGAAGGTAATCAATAGGATGTACTGGAACAAAAACTTTTAAAATTAATAATTGGTTTTAGATTTTAAAAATATGGCATCCACAACGTTCTGTGCTGTTGCTCTAACCAATTGAACTACCGTGTCTATGCCGCCGAATAAGATGAAGAGGTTTAATTCAAGTCCGGCCCGTGTCATATTTTTTTTCTATCTAATTTTTTTGATTATATAATGCGTGATCACGTGTCACATGTGAAAAGTATTGAATAAAAAAAAAGAAAACTTAATACCCAGAACGTGGGACATTGATATACGTATGTATAAGTAATTCCATCTTTGAGAAAATAAGCATTTTTCATTTCATTTTATTAATGCCAGAGGAAGAAAGACAAACATTTAAACAAGTTGATGACGAAAAACCAAAGCTTCTTGACGCGAAACCCGATTACCACAGACTTTTTCCTAAAACACTTATCGCTGTTTAACGTCAACGTACGTCACGTTTTAAATGTGTTAATACAGTTAAACTTGTGCAGTTTAGTAATTTAATAATGATAATTTTAAAAATAGCCACTTATTGAATTTTACGTAACTACCCGACATACATACAACACTTTATCGCTGAACAGCGATTAGAAGACAGTTTTAGTTGAGCACGCAGAACCAATCCGACTTAAACCAACCTCACTACGGCAGAAATATAATTGTCTAACTTTAACAACTCTAGTTTAGCAACTGATTTTACAACTTGTAATATTCCTGAGCTCGGAACACCTATTTAATATTGACCGGGTTATTGGAATACTTGCAACTACATACATTCCTTCATATGAGGCAATCACATATGCAGTAGTTTATCTCTCTGTTTTAGTAGCAAAATTTCCAAGATTATCCTACTAATACTATAAACGTGAAAGTTTGTATATGTGGATGGATGTTTGTTACTCTTTCACGCAAAAACTACTGAATGGACTTTAATTAAACAAGAACAAATTTCCAATATTTGTGTATTACATCAGAATAACACATAGGCTACAATTTATGAAATATGACATTAACTGTCAAGTAGCTAGGAAAAAACCTACCTTTCTGCGAGCTATTCTGGCGTGCGCTGCCACAAACGTTAGTTACACATAATTATGTAATGTATGATATGATAGGCATTATTTAGTTTAATTGCGCGATACTACGTAATCCTAATCCTAATCCTGCGTAGATGAAGTCGCGGGAACCAGCTAGTAAAATATAATATTTCACTTCTCGAAACACTATCTATTTACAAAATCTTCTTTGACTTAAACTCTTTAAGACATTAAGTAGGCCGTAGTTAAAATCATTTTCAAAAAAGTTCAACTAATATATATAACAATTTTTACCGTTAAATTGTTTTAATATATTATTGTTTATGTACCAAATAGAAATCAACAGTCTATGTAGTACACATTTAAAGCCTAATCTCGTTAATCATAGAGCAGACATATTTATGTGTCTGCTTCACGGAACACTTACGTTTACCGAAAAGTAGTGAATTATTATATTCTTTTAGGGTTCGAACCCAGAACTTCTTCATATTTCATTCACCAATTCTAATGGCTTTGCGTATAAACTGTACAATAATTATTGATAATAAAAAATTGGTGAAATAAATACCTTCTACAAAGTACTTCCTACAAATCCAATTATCCTTATTTATTAATTCAATATCAAAAGTTACAATTGTCTGAATTAAAAATTGAAAGAAATTACGACTCGGGCAGTACTTGAACCGGCATCCTCGGCGTTCCGTTCTTTCGCTGTAACCAATAGAGCTACATCTGTACATAGTACACGCAATAATAAAACATAACTTTTCATGTGTACAAAATACTCGGCATGCACGAGTACAGATTTATTAATATTAAATAACAATTAACGAGTTCCACCATAAATCAGCTTGAGATTCATATTAGTAGATCGCTGCTAATATAGAACCATAAATTACCCCGCTCAGTCTGCAGAGTAGCAGCTGTCAGAGATTACTATACAATGAACTGAATGCTTTGAAAACGGGCATTGTAGCGTTTTTCATACACATTGTGTTTGTCATATCTCATGTAGATCATTTTTATGTTCGGATTTAACAATCAACTTTCTAGAGGCGGGAAATAAATTAACTATCTAGTAGCTCTTAGTCGCGACGTCTGTCTGGAATTGATTGGAGTAGTAGAAGTATTTAAATAAAACACTTAAACGGTTTAAAACGCGATATACATAGATAGTTTTTATCGAAAATTATTTTAACTACTGCCCGGTGTTTCGGATGCTTTGCCGTGGTCACGGGGAGACGTTTACACCGTTAAAGTGTTTTATTTAAATGTATACAATTCGCGTAAACTACAGACGTAATTTAGTAGTAGAAGTAGTTTTAAATACTGTCTATAGTTTACGCGAGTAGTACACATTTAAATAAAACACTTTAACGGTTTAAAAAGCGATATAATAAACTTATTTGGAAATGATTTTTAACTTCGGCCCGACGTTTCGGATGCTTTGCAGCAGCCGTGGTCACGGGGAGTCTCCCCGTGACCAAATAAGTTTAACTAATATATCGCGTTTTAAACCGTTAAGGTGTTTTATTTAGAAGTGGTTGTTTTATATAATATGGCCTTCACGCAAAAATGTAGACAGCATTCATTTTAGAGTTTAGGCCATATAATTTTTTATAGGAAAGCTTAACTTCTTTAACTTTCATTCAATATTACTACAACAAAACATATGGTGCCTAATTTCAGCTTTATCTACTAGAAAAATCAAAAGATTCGTAGCATTTTTTCTGAGATTAGCTTAAACGTAAATATACGTCGAATATCTTTTCTTTTCATTCATCTTACATAGATACAGTACAGTACAGATTCTTTGAAAACTTTAATATTTTTCACATGTTGTGCACTTGATGATTTTATATAAATTAAACATCTGTTTAGATTGGTTAAAGTGGCAACACGAAACGTTGTGGATGTCAGTTCAAGTCCCGCCCGTGTCGTTAATATTTTTCAATCTAAATACAAATTCTTTCATCAAAGAATACGCTGATTTAAACGAGAATAGTACCTAACATATTTTTCCTCGAGTTACGTAATTTTTTAAGATATTTATCGTTAAGTGCCAACTTAGTTGCGCGTTAAGCACTTGATAAGGCGAAAATTTGCGATTTTTCCATATCAAACAAGCGAAACGACTGACGTTATAGTTATATCGTAAATCATTATGACAGTTTTTTACCGATCTTTTAAAAAAAAAAAAAAAAAAAAAAAAAAAAAAAAAAGGGGGGGGGGGGAGTATTTTTCCCCAAAAAAAAAAAAAAAAAATTTTGCCGGGGGGGAAACCGGGGAAAAAAAAAAAAAAAAACACAAAAATTTTCAGTTCCTTCCTTTTAAAAAAAAACCGAGAAGTTAAAATAAAATTCCGCTTGGTATACTGTTTGCTTTTTTTATCATCACAAGCCTATTAGGAAGCACAAAATTCATCGTTCGGGTCACGACCGTCCACAGATAATCCGCGAAGTGTAAATTCGAGTTCCGGTTTTAATCTGTGGAATTCCGACAGCGCGTTTTAAGTGGATGTTATAGTTACGGCATTTCACATTTCATTAAGTAAATGCTTATCTCAGCTTTTCTACTCCTTCTCCGTCATTTTTTTTTATTGTTTAACATTATATAGTTATATTACGGTTTCAGAAATTACATCGTTTCCGCACTATTATACGCAAGTACTTCACTGCAATTCACATCTAGATGTAAATTTAGACATGGAAATTTATTGTTTTTAGACTTTTTTAACATGTATAGGTCATTGTTTGTCTATTTTGTTTGTAGGTAACAAAGGAAGGAAACCACCAATAAAAGTTTAATTTCAAACAGTCATAATTATAAATACATTGCGGGTAGTTTCATATTAAATTCCTTGGAAAGAGTGAATGATAAGAACTCTTCCCTAACATTCGAGAATTACAATCCAAGCAATCTTTAACTGTCGATAAGTCAACTAAGTAAGGATAGAACCCCTCGATTTACCCTTACAATGTATTGGAAGGTAGATGAAAGGTATTAAGTTCCGACACACAGTACATAATATTATGTAGACAATAGAAAATAGACATTATCTCACCTCACCTTACAGTTGTAATTAATATTTTATCTTCTATAATTAGGCTCTCAAAGATATTCGTCTCAAAGAGCCGAAGGACGAGAAGAGTCGTCGCAACACAACTATACTTCAAAGAACTCTCTGGTTCGCTGGTGTCTCACGAAATGCGGTTGTGGTCGTGGTGGCTGCTATATTAGCGTTTTTCTTGCATCAAGATAAAAGACGCACCCCTTCATTTTAACTGGTAAGGTGTTATTGGTAATTTTCCATTATTTAGTCACCCAGTTGGGTATGTCTATTGTTGTTTTGATAGAACTTTTATTTACTGTTCATTAGTGTTTAAAAATTATGGTTTATTACCTAAAACTTAACGTAAGCCAATAAAAGATAAAACAATAAAGATAATATATGATAAAGGACACAAAAATAACTAAATGTAAGGTATTTTTTATATAATTAAAACAACTACATATAATGACAAAAAGGCTATCGAATCTATCTAGGTTTTATCGAATTGCCAGAGAAATAGATAAGAAATTATATTTCATGTTTATTACATTTAAAGCTTTGGAGACGGAAATTTTCCAAATGTAAGTAAAATGTAAACGTTTAATTTTATTTATCATACGTTCTCTTCGTAAAGTTTATCATATTTTTAAATAAAACAAGAATAACAGAGTTAGCTATAAAATTCATATGAATAGGAATTATTTAACGATTATTTTACTTGTCTTCATACAAATAACAAATAGCGTACCTTGTTGTCAAGTTCTCAAGAGCTGACTAGTCACAAGATGCTCACGTAATTAAATTGGATGATAATGTGATGTAAAAGCGGAAGTAACCGTTTTATTAACAATAGCTTGACCCTGTTATGACACAGCTGGCGACAAAGTGTTGCAATTACATTTGCATTAAACGTGTAAGAAGCGCTTTTAGAAAAAAATACCACAATATTTTGTCCTTATAAAACAAGAAATACTAAAAAGAAAGTATACGAAATATTTAAGGGATGCAAAAAACGTAGTTTTTAGTAACTGATAGGCAATAAATTGCTTTAAGCGGTTTAAAACGCGAAATATTAAACTTATTCACAAAATATTTTAACTACGGTGCGACGTTTTGGTTACTTATCTAATAAAACATTTTACGTTTTAAACCGTCAAAGTGTTTTATTGAAATGTGTACCACTCGAGTAACTACAGACGGTTTTTTAATGTTAGAGATATTTCTCGTGTAAGCAAAATATAAATTTTATACAGTTATATTCATAGATTCTTAGCCTCCTGTGCTTTATCGATACATTGAAATCTCTACCATTTTTTTTATTTTTGTGATATCTTTTACCTTGTACAGTTTTTATGTTGGATACATGTAGTCAATAAAAAATCTCGTTATGTATGCGTCGTAAAGTTAGTTGTGTTACCCAAAAAAGGTTATTCGATTGGAATCAGCATTTTCAGCGTATCTGTGGATGTAAAATCAAATGCATTTTACGACAACTCCCGATTTACAGTGAATTCTCAGAGGAGGGATTAAACTAGATGTGGGTTTCACTCACAAAACCGGGGATCCGAGTTGAAAATAAAATGTATTAAATAGTTATGAATGCGAAAATTGGCTCCTGAAACTTACAAAATAGCATGAAGGATTGTAGAAGATTTGACTTACAAGTATAGTGTTAAGAAACTGTAGCTATTCACATACTATTAGATCACTTATTTATTGTCTATAGCAAAATACTTCTATATTAAATATACATATTAATAAAATTATGACGAAGAGTTTTAAAAAATCATGTTATCTTTTCTCGAAATTTCTGCGACAATGATTTCTATCCACTGACTTTTTTAATTTCCCCGTTGTGTAAACCCAAAACCCGTATCATTTAAGGCAGCTTTCTGCTCTATGACTTAACATAATTTTAGTCAGTTTTAAAAAATGGTTTTAAAACGTACAAGTATTATAATTAAAATGACTTATGTAAAATTATCTGTACCTTTTAAATAAAACACTTTAACGGTTTAAAACGCGATATATTAGTTAAACTTATTTGAAAATTATTTTTAACTTCGGCCCGATGTTTCGGATGCTTTGCAGCAGCCGTGGTCACGGGGAGACGTTTTAAACCGTTAAAATGTTTTATTTAAATATCTTAAGATTGTATTTTTATGTTTAGCCTTACCAGTTAATTAATAAAACTGAAAATGACTGTACTAATATTGATGATGCTTTGCAGGTCACATAACACCTGGGTTACCGTATCCACGTTTACCACCATTCCACTCCACAATTGGTAATACAACAGTGAGCGCTGTCGGAATGTTTTCGAAACTTGGCAGTGGACTGTTGGTCGTCCCACTAGTGGGAGTCATCTCCAACGTCGCAATAGCTAAAGCCTTTTGTAAGTAATGCGTTATTTGCCTTTAATTTATATTATTCATCTTTTATTGACTTTTTTATGATAGAAGAGGACAGAGAAGCATTGGATAACGTTGATGGTAGGTGAAATTTAAACCTAAAAAGTGCCGTTGACGTATTTTGGCTTTGGATATCCGGAAATTCACAGTCTGAAACCGAAATGCGATTACGGCTGTTCCACGTATTGTTGTGTTTGCTAATGGAATGGAGTTTTGATATACCTATCTACCCTGCATTTAATATAAAATTGTAAGTTAATTAAATGTATAAATAAAGTCCAGTTTTTATAAGCTATTGCGACTGTGTCATCTGTGGACGGTTCTTCGTGACCCAAACGGAATTTAGATATTCCTATCCATTTAATATCCAGATTTCCAGACGAAGTCTAACATGTTTCAGAAAAATTATAAATTGATTAGAGAAATATTGAACCCGATGGCCAGCCTTCATTTTTGATTTTCACTAAATTTACTAAAGTTACTATTCCTTGTAATTGACTGCATTTTGTCATTTAGTGTCATGGCAGAGCAATTTAATTACCGGAAACAAAAGCCTATCTATAAATATTCAAATAGGATATTTCATTGTTGCGTATACCCCAGCAGAGTGGAGTGAAAACATTTCCCTGACTATATTATTCAGTTTTGATTTGAATATTGCATTGTTCCAACTCACTTCAAGGGAGTTTCTCTAAGAATCCAATAGAAAGTAGAAAATGGAGCTATTTGTGTCACTTTGTTCTTTTATAAATGAAATAGTCGTTGCCTTAGAAATGTTAGCTACAATAAACTCGTATACAGTTTTAAAATATGTTTAACATTGTTATAGACTCGTGTTAGATATAAACATTCCTTATTAAAAATGTTAACTTTATTTAATTTAGAATAAGACTCGTGTCAGACGATGCTATATAGTGATAATGTTGTTCTTTACAATTTAGACTATTTTGTCGTAGCGTAGTCAAAAAAAGGATTTATTATATTGTATTGTAAACTTAAGCTTTACTTAAATAATCCATAATTAAGTATACAGCGAGATAGTCTGTTACCAAAAATTATATGCTTTTAAATTTAAGCATAGTGTCGTGATTTAGGGTCTTATTTTAAAGGAATGCGATCATGAAATAGCGGTAAATCAGCACAATTAGATAGATAGATCATTGAAACAAATCCTTAATTTGAGAAGCGAGAAGCTTGTAATCACTAAAGGAATAGATTTCCACACGTAGGATGAAAAAAGACAATATTATAGATATTATTATGATACCTTATATGTTATTGATATATATAATGTACCTATATATAACAAATTGTCTCAACGCTGTAAATTTTAAGGTGTTGTATAAGTATTATGTCATTACATATAATATGGGAAGTAGATAACAAAAGCATAATAAACTATTGTCATACGTGAAATAACTACACACGCCAGATGAGAAATACGTTGTAGTTATTATCTGTGATGAGAGTATATCACGATAAAGTAAACAGACTTAACGGAAGCATAATGTCACAGACTATTACAGTAGCAATAAGACAGCTTCCATAATGCACTATCTAGGACTGCATTACGTTGCAAGTGCCTGATTCTGTTATTGCCTCTTTTCTCACTTCGAGATATCCTTTTTGCAGTGCCGCCATGCGCAACGATTTTGTACGGAGCACCGTACCCGACGTTATTGACGTGCTTTTTGGTGCAATGGTAGCAATGTATAATTAATGGATTTGATTTCCATCGGGTCAAGATTTTTCTAATCAATTCTAATCAGTTCAGGTCACGAACCACCGTCCACAGATGAAAAAGCCTGTGTTATTCCGAATATCTAAAGCCAACATAGGTCGATAGTGCATCTTGTTTAAATGTATGGCTGGGGTATTTTCAGGTACCATAAATTTAACTCTGCTCTTTTATCATAATAAAATAACTTGACAGTTGGACAAGAACCGGTGTATTCAACGTGATATTGAGGTTAACTTCTGTTATTTGCCATGCTTCTATCATTCGGTAGGCTGACACAAAAGTTACTAGGTCGTGATACTGTTGAGGCCCTAAACCTATTACACGCGATTGGCGTTTAGTACAATAACGTTTAACTACGATTGTTTATCAGTTGTCTCTCGCTCGCCTCTCACTTTTCGTGAGTTACCAGAGTTGGGGCTCAGCGCTTGTCAGCCGTTCACTATTCACGTCATATAACAAGCTATGTTATTGCAATATCCATGGCTTTATCACAATGTGACGTCACTCGGATATGACACAACTGAAACTGGGAGATATGCATTCAGTTTTTAATGAGGAAATTTTGGATGTAGTATTTTTGGGTATAGTATGTCATGTCATTTCTTAATAATAAATAACTGACAAATTGTAATAAACATATAGCAAAACTACTAGTATATAATATAAAAAAAATCAATAAATTCAAAAAATTGTGAAAACTCAACCAGTTTCAGATTGCTGTACATTCACTGATACATATCAATCATCTGTTTAGCATTTAAATTCACGAGAAAAACGGCTGGACCAATTATAATGGGTTCGTAGTGTGTCCCATTTTATCTGAATATAACTGGTATGATACTGGTATGACGATATGAATAATATTCAGTCTTTCAATAAGAATACATATAAATGATGAAGGAATATCTCAAGAAATTTCCGCGTATATTTTATACGTGTGGAATAGAAAATAAAAATATTAAAAGCTGTACATCACTGGAACAAGCGGCATATTATCGAAGTTTTATTGTTTTAGCGAAAGGCAAAACGTTGGACGCGACTCAAGAAATCGTCGCGTTAGGTATCTGCAACATTATTGGAGCTTTCTTCAGCTCTTTCCCAGTGAACGGATCGTTCACACGGAGTGCTGTAAGCGACGCGTCGGGGGTTAGAACACCTGCCGCAGGATTCTATACTGGTATTTATTACTCTTTGATACCCTGAATTGATTTGAGAAATACCTGAAAAACTAAAAATATTGCAATTCTTACGTACATAATACATGTATCGTTAATATGTAATGATACATTTCTTATTCCATAACTCCTTATGAGAGGGTAGGTTCAACATTTCTGCATATTGAACTACCCTCTCTCATTATCGAATAATACTGTCTGTACAGTACAGTTCTGTTGTTTCGAATTGGATGATTATTTGTCGATTTACATTTCTTATAATAATAATGACGTTTATTATGATTTTTTTCGTTCGTCGTTTGTCACATTCGAAGTACAGATCGCTGGTTTTTACGGTCAGTCGATGTTAACCCAAAAATTTGATTAAGAACTGTTTTTTTATTAATTCAAATTGCCTTACCGCATTAATATAGTTCAAATTAATGAAAAGTAATGTCGTGTCACTTTTATATTTGAATCTCATGAAAATATAATTAAAAAGAAGAAGAAAATACTGTTCATCTGCCTATAAAAAAAAATCTATCTGTTTAAGTAATACAGATATACATCTACACCATATCCCATATTATCCAACCCTTTTAAATGTGCTTTACATTACTTCTATGCATTATCAGAAATCATATTGCAAATATTTGCATCAGGCGTTGTCACCAATTTCATAACAAAATACGTCTTAACAATATTAACATTTTCGACGTGTTATACAGCCGTCGGTAAGGCCACACACGTTCTTATAAATGTAAAACATAATAAACTTAATGTTAAATGGGTCGGAAGGAATATTATTCATGTCGAAATAAGTGTTCTATACGGAAACGAGGCCGTGGGGGCTCCATAAATCAAAAAGTTTTCAACATAGTTTACTGTCGCATGGCTTTTGAATTTTTGATATACGAATACTCTTTTCAACTAGTGTATCCTGGGGTTAAGTTGAAAATCTACGGCTTTGTTATTTTAAGAAGCTAACTTTAATATCAAAGACATTCACTTGAAGCGTACGTATACTTTAGAGATGTGAACGGTGTTTCTTTCATAATTAAAACTATTCATTTGTTTAACTGATGCATTTCTTGATGATTTTGTTGAGTCTATTCGTTATTTGAAAAATATTTTAGATACAATTTGAAGCTTCAGTATGATTTTTGGTAGAAGAAACAATTGGGGATTAAAACCAATTTGGACAACTCACTGGCGATTTGAGTCCCGTTTATGACATCATTAAGTCATCAGTATATCAATAAAAACGTTAAAAAGCCTTTTGTTTAAAGATGTGTATTTTAATAAATTTTTTAGGTGTCATCGTTTTGCTGACTTTGGGCCTTCTCACACCATATTTCTACTTCATCCCGCGAGCGGCTCTCTCTGCAGTCATTATGTGCGCTGTCTTGCATATGGTGGATCTGGAAATAATCAAGAAGTTATGGAAGACTAATAGTAAGTTCTACTTACTTTTCTACTATACATTAAGTCAACAAAAAAAAGAATTCTTGTTGGTCTAGTGAAAGGGTTCGAAACTCATTTCTGACTAACTGTGAATACGGTATTTGGATTTATTCAAAAAAACTTTTGTTCAATATCATAAACCCAGAGGAAATTAGGAACCAGTATTTTGAAGCACTTGACCTTCAAAAAAAAGATTCCGGGTGTGGATTGTGCAACACTCCTGTGGCACTTACTACGTTAAGCCATTGATAACAGTTATCATCTCTTGCGGCAGTGGTCGTCAAATCGTCTTTATAATGAAATGGAGCGATTAGGACATTATAACCTTAAAATAAATAAGGTCACTTAAATAAAAAATATTATTTGCGCAAGTTAAAAAATCACAAGAAACTTGTTCCCAATCAAAAATTCAAAAGTTCTTTTGACTTGCCCGCTGCAAGTAAGTCGGTAATTTAATTTCTATTTACTTTGCCACTGACTTGGCTGCTCCAATTACCGATGCTGTTATAGGCCTTTATATAATGCTCTCATTAGACTGAAAGCGAACGCTTTATACTGAAGATTTGTCCATAGGAACTATAATATTAAATGTGTCAAACAAAGCTTGTGGTAGAACGTCTGCCCGCTCTTAGATCGCCTTTAACCAGACTCTTTTGATGCAGAGCTGGAATGATTAATATTCATATTGGGTAGCCCATATTAATAGAGATATTAAACCGCAAATAAGGTTTTAGTAGATGACTACCTCACACATATTTAAAATCAATTTAAATGTTGATTTTTTTAAATTTAGTAATAATAAAGACGTAAAGTATTATTTTGTAAAAGAAACTCCGACGTATGGCATACTTTTTGATTTAAATATTAATGTTGTGTACACTTTACTCGTTAATCATAAATTAAATGTATATATACTTGTCATTATCACCATGTTTTCTTCTAAGGCTTATAATAGTCGTATTGTCTTTAGTTTGAACTCTATAAGAAAATTTTTAAATAGTGTCTGACAGGTCATAAAAAAAATGCAAGAAAAAATAATGGCAAGAAACTCGCCGCCACTCCTTTTATCGCCAAGTTTCATTTTACAATCTAAACATACTTAACTGATCTATATTTCTTTGATTAGAAGGTTCTCCAAACCCCAATATAACCCCACTTAAATATTGATTTTTGTATTGAGTATAAGTAAATCAATTCCACGTGGCTTTTGTTTACATACGATTCAACTGGGTCTCCACTAGATATTTTATTAAAACTCTACGGAATTACTGCTCGGAGCCTTCTGGTTATATATTATGTCATTCTACAATGACGTACATGCTACATGTACATGCGCACGTGTGATTTAAATCAAATCCCCCCATTACGTTAACAAGGCTTACGTTATACAATTTTGCCAGCAATCCAAAAACAGCTTGTCATCGCACAAAACACATTGAATTCTCCTTAATTACGGTACAAATGTAATCAGGTATCAGCACGATATTCCCGACGCAAATCGTAGTCTCATTAGATTATTCGTGCTACGAACCTAATCCCGTTGGAGCGGGCGTGATATCGCATACCCGTCACTGATATTCACTGAATTAAACGTAATTTTGATATCCTTTTTCGAAGATTTATGTCTTTCGTAATACGGGATTTATCTGGATATAATTGTCGCTCGGCATCAAAGGGGACGTATTTATCGCGAGTGTACACATCAGTTGACAACGTGTTAGTGATACTTTTTAATTATTCAATTATTCATACAGTATCGAATGTATAAATTAGGAGATTGTAATAAGTTTGGAGGAACTCACTCTAACAAGGAAAAAGATTTAACACACTTGACTTGACATTTAAAAGGAGTGGCGGCGAGTTTTATGCCAGTTCTTCTCGTTCGTTATACGCCCTTGATTTGGGAATTGGTTGTAAATGTTAGAGTTTTAATTTTTAACTGAATTGACGTTTATCTAGGTAATTTGATTTCTCACGTATGCTACAATTATTTATTTCGGTTGTATACAATCATTACGTCTTTAAATACAACAATAATAGATACTGAATTATGGCAGTCTCCTTGTGACTATTGCTTCTCTTGACATTTCGAAACGTAACATCAAAACGTAAAATTGTTCAAATATCTAAGATACTTTGGCTTTTAAATTAGTAAAATGTTTCTTTTAATATATGTATAATCTGGCTAAACTACAAAAATCTACACCTATTTACAAAACTTTACAGCCTTTTTCAGGCTGTGTTATTTTATTAAGTATATTACAATTAACGCGCATCAAAATGATGATTCCCAATTTATATGCTGAAATCTGTCCTTGCAAGAGTTTCACATTCAAGTGAAATCTATCTAGATGCTCGATTTAAATGCATTCATACCGACACGAGTAGCTTCAACCCTCAAGCGAAGTTCTGTATTGTTTGCACTAGCAAGTTTCCTTATAAGTCCTGTCTGTGCAAGTTCTATGGCACAAGTTTGTTGGGAGTTATAGGATTCTGTTTAATAATTGATTTTTACTTTTTAACTTAATCTTCATTAATTAAGATCGCTTTCATTATGTAATTACTATTAAAATGCTATTGCAATCGTAATACTCTTTTCTATATATTTTAGTAATAAATTATTTGTACAACTACAATTGTTACAAAAACAGGATAAATGATGTCTAAGACACTTGTTTTTTTTATTCTTATAATAATTTGACTATAACTTTAACAACGTCTACAGTTATTTTAAAGTATTTCGCATAGGATATGAAGACCCTCGCGAAATTAATTTTTTGACAGCATTCCATTTTTTTCATTTCATATCCAGTTTTAAATATTCAATTAAAGTTGAATTACTTTAACATTTCATATTTAACAATTTAGTACTGTAAATTTCATCCAAACTCATAATGGTCTTATATACAATAGAACCGTAATCGGAAATTGATCTGTAGGAAGCGAAGAGACGTTTATTAAATAATTTTAAGCTCGATTTAACTTTGAAGTATGTTATTATAAGAGAATATACGAGAAGAACTGAGTGTGTTTACATCGGTTTAAGGAAGGTATTTGAGCTTTGAATTTACGTTCAATCGTACGGGATCTCGACATCGCACGATCCGATCAAACCCAATCACGGAGCTTTGTTCGTTTTCCACAAGTCAATATAGTTCTGCGGTTTTTCCATAATTCCGGATAGTGGAGACCGAGAATGTTTTTAGCTTTTTTTATAAAAATATACATTTGGCTTATCAATCAATTAACAACAGTGTTGGGATGTCAGCGACTTCGTCCGCGTAGAATATTTATTTTATGCATCCAAATATGTTTTTGCAAACATCACTTCATTTTTTACCTCCATCGGTCGTATCTCATTGTTCTTGCAAGTTAGCCTTAAAAGATATTGTATCGCGGACAGTTTTTTAGATCATTTAATTATTTTTTACATATTTTGGGTATCTTGAATTGATTTCGCAGCGGAAAACCAACAAGGTAATTAATTTTCCCCGCTTTTGTTTCTTTGCTAGATTAGGAATATAGTTAATAGTAGAAGAATTAGTTACACCGAATTTTTTATAGCCTATAACCTTTCTCAATAAATGCTCTAATTAACACTAAAATAATTTTTCAATTGATCCCATTGGTTTCTGAGATTGGCGCGTTCAGAACAAAAGAAACTCTTCAGTTTTATATATATTATATCCTTTTTTTTTGAGAAATATATGTCTTTAAACCTTATAGATTACAGATTATACTGACAAACTTAATATACGTACATAACTTTATTAGAAAAAGCAAAAGTCAAAGATGTCACAAGTTCTAAATTAATTATTGAAAAGGGCGTTAAGTTAAAGATAACTTCAATATTTATCTTCTCTGTCCAATTATTCACGCTGATCTTCGAAACTCTCTTTTATAAAGATATAGTAGTAGTAATATTATAATTACACTAATAATCTTAATCTTAATTTGAAAAAGTAATCACAATAAAAAATCCTGGGCTGGACAGATGGGCAGTAAACCACAGTTTTACTATTTTTTATTTTATAATCAATTAGCCATCAGTATCCCACTCGACTGAAGCAACCTGCCCCTGGATTCGAACCATGATCTCGCGTGCATCGATGCAATAAAAGACGAGTTATACAGCCGAGTTACAAAGGCGATCGCATATATTATGTGTGAAAACCGTGAACAATACTAAAAATTCCCACCGTATACCAGGGCTGGACCTAATACCGTTAGTGGGAACATTCATCAGCTGTCTCCTGCTGGGAATAGAAGTGGGCTTGGGCTGCGGAGTCGCCATTGACGTACTGCTGCTACTCTACTATCAGTCGCGCCCGACGCTCGATACACGATATGTTAACGTGAGTTTATTGCTTTCACTTATTGAATAGTTTTACTATCCCACTCGTATACAACTCTTGTTTATATACTCTGTGGAATCTTTATCCTTATTTCCGAGCTCGAAGACAGTTTTACTAAGCATATATTTATTTGCTTTAAAGTGATTTTATGAGGAGGAGGCTTACATACATACTAACAGCCCCATATAATCTATTTAAATAAAACATTGTTAACGGGATAAAACGCGAAATATATTAATTAACGTATTTTATTTATCTCATGGACCACGGCTGGAGCAAAGAATCTTTGGACCGTAAAGTAATAATAAGTAGATTAACTAAAATATATTTCGCGTTTATAACAGTTAAGAGTGTTTCATTTAATACCATTTTATCCAAGTTCTATTTGTTTAGATGAAACTGAAAAATATTGTAAATAAATCCACTAAAAATTAAGTGTCAGCCACGATAAGGCCAACCTTATTGCAATCGTTTAAAACCGTTTAAACCGTTATTGAACTACGCCTAAATATATTTAAATAAAACACTTTAACTTCTGCCCGTTAGTTAAAAATCATTAAAAAAATCTTAAATATCGCGTTTTAAACCAGTTTTATTTAAATGTGTACTACTCGCGTAAACTATAGACAGTATTTACGCTTAAATAGACACATTAATTACAAATAACAAACGATATTAAGTAAATAAAATAAATTGTTGTATCATTTTAATTAACGACTATAAATTAAATTATTCCTTTACTCCCATATCACGTCTAGAATAGGTAGATAATTGAAATTATATTGTTATATATTTTATAGGATGGAATTCTCCCACCGCACTACGAGATGCATCCTCTTGGTGGACTCCACTTTGCGAGTGCTGAAAGGGTTCGTTCCTCGTTAATATCGCTGAAAAACAGCAAGGACAAAGAATCAAGTGCCGTGGAGATTGTGACAGTTCCCGCTCATTTACAAAATGGCGCCGCGGGAATTGAACCACCCAGGCTGTCGCCTAATCTCCTCGTCATCTATTGCGACTCTGTCAACCGACTGGACTATACATTTTTGCAGGTAAGATGCGCCATCACACCTAAATACAATTTAAAAATGTATGAGAAAGAAAAAGTACAAAGTAGTAAGTAGACACGAAGTTACAGTTTTCCGGTTAGGATAATAAATAATTAGGAATATCATGGTGAGGCTTATAAAGTCACCATAAAACTAAATCGTTACTTAAACGTAAGTTGAAGTAAAGCTACATAAATATTCTTCGGATTGACATATATATTTAGATACTTGGAATTGATATGAGCCTATCAGCAAAAGTGGCTCAATTAATAGACCAACAACATAGACTGCTACGTAGGGCGTAAGTTCGTTTACCGCCCTATTCATTTTATTACATACTATTTATTATTTACTAGCTGTGTCAGCGTATTCGTCGAGAATTATTATTTTGAGCATCCAAATTTTGAAAACCCTTTATAAACTTAAACTGTTACCCACGATGTCAGTAGCGTCCCTTCCCGTCGTTCTTGCAAGTTAATCTTAAAAAATAGACATATAGCGTCGCAGCAATTTTTTTAGATTAATTAGAGAGGATTAATTCTTTCATACATATTTTTGGGTATCTTACACTGTTCTTGCAGCGTACGCCTCGGAAACCCCTAATGATAAATATTTTTTCCCGTTTCTATCACATTATTATTTCTTCGCTCCTATTAGTCACATCGTAAAGTGTTATAGCCTACATACCCATCCACAATAAATGTTCTACCCAATACAAAAATAATTTTTTCAATTCAAACTAGTAGTTTCTGAGATTAGAGCGTACAAACAAACAAACTCTTCATAAACTAGTATAGATTTTTATATATTAGTATAGATTTTTTATATATGTACATTCATTCATAGTAAACCTATGAATGCAAAAAACGCATATAAAATTTATATTCGTAAAAAGTGAAATTTATTCAAAATATTCAATAATACGAGTATCTGATAATTGTGAACAAGCATTTTAAGCCGGCACACACAAAGGCATTAGTGTATTTTAAAATTAACCTCTTTTAAAGGGTAGAGAATTCACATTATTTAGTCAGTTTATTCACGTAATGTTTGAGAACTGGCCCCTAAGATAATATTATGCTAAGGATCCGTGCTGGATTTTAAATACTGTAATAATGTTGAAGACGATAAATCCCCGTGTAGAATTTGCATAACATTCTAAAGCAGATGTTCTACAACAATATTATTCGGGGGAATTCAAAAGCGGATATAAATTTAAAAGGAATTATACGAGTAATATCGGATGGTGAGTCAAATATGAGAAATGGTCGGTTGCGCCGCCAAAAGCAAGATTGTAGAATATATTGCTGAATCATTGCGATGCTTCGTTTGCGGGTTTACGTCCGGATTAGCACTAGCTGTCTGAATTAAATATATTTAATAGCCATTTCCTCTGCTTCTTTGGTCTAGTGGTTGGCTCACTTGACTGAAGAATCCGAGGTCTCAAATTCCGGGTATTCGACGGGCTTGTTGGTGTAATGGTAGCAATGTATGGCTCAACGGGTCGTGGATTCGATCCCAACCGGGTCAAACATTTTATATGAAAAAGAAGAAAAAAGAAGGTAAGAGAAGAAGAAAGAAATAAAGGAAGAAGAAGAAGAAGAGTAAGAATGTTGAAATTCTGTCTGGGTTACCAATGGGTCACGGGTGAAAAACACGTCAAGTTATATCGCGTTTTGGTTTCTTCTGTAGATTTACAAACATTCAAAGGTCGACAGCAAATCTTCTTTAAATGTTAAATGGCTGGGGTACTTTACCTCCCATCAACTGCAAAATATTAGCTTAGTATCCAGAAGTGTGTCTATATCCCCGTGCCTTGGAGTCTTTCTAACTCAGTCACGCCATTGAAGCTCGCCGACCTGTAAAAATGCATTGTGGCTATTTTAATCTCATAAATCCTCTCCTCAAATCAAAAGAAGATCTGGCCTCAGCACCGAGTCAATAATAACTAATTAATTAGTAAGTAGAGCAATGTCCTATTATTTGTCTTAATATATAGAAAATAATGCGAGTTACTTCTAAAACGACTGACCTTATGTATGATACTTCTAATATAATGGATTGTGTTGCTAAGGCTTATTTGGCCAGCAATTCGGGTTACTAACTAGGTGTACCTGTGAAAACCTGAGTGTAAGCCTTGTATGTAAAGCCCAATTCCATCTTTCAGAACAAATATGACGATACTCTATTTAAAATTCGGAGAAAGAAAAATTCAAATTCAAGTCTTTTTACAGTTTGAAAGCGACGTGTATTATTTTATTTACATACAAATTAAAAATCTACATTATTTAGTACGAAAATTATTATGACGCGGACAGGACTCGAACCGGCATTCACAGCATTCCGCGCTGCTGCTTTAACTTTAGTTTAATTGGTTAGGAGCACGCTACGTTGTGGAAACCGGTCGAAATAAATTTTAGTTTATATAATGCCATTTTGTGCAGTAACACATTAAAGTATTCAGATGCTTCTCAATAAATTAACTAACATTTCACGTTTTAAACTGTTGAAAGTGTTTTATTTAATACATGCATAAACAAGTTTCGACTCTGTTTATAAATTTAGTAGGCTCCTATTAATAGTTCCAAAACTAAGTAACAATACATTCCACATGCAAGGGGTATAATTTAAAAGCTAATGGCTGTATAAGTAATAAATAACAATGAATTAGTCACTGAAACAATTATATACAGCACTGTGTGCAACATTATTGTTAAATTTAGTTTCAATGTTCCCGCGTAATATAGGATACAGCTGATTTTGAAGCAATTTGAAAAGCAGTGTTTGAAAAGCTTCTATATTACTGTTATTTAGTTTTCCGCTTAATTATTTTTTACCATTCGTCATTTTGCTTTTGTTAATTCATGGCTACCTTTGGAAGGTTGCGACCTTCAACCTTTAAGGTCTGTAACACCAGAAACCTCGAATGAAATAGTATTTCTTTTTCACTCTGACGGCCAAAAGGCTAGATATGATAATTAAGAGAGAATAGAAATTTCAATTACCGACAACAGCAGTTACCTAAATATTTAAAAAAAACAACAAAAAAGAACAGACATTATTTGTTCACAATGGATATTATGTAATCAATACGAACGCATACATAATGAAGCAATGGTCAAAAAGTTGAAATGTGTACATATATTTTAAGGCTGTTTTGTTTTAGAGTTTGTTTTTTTGAACGCGATTAACCCTGGAATTACTGGTGAAATAGAAAATTCTTTTGGACCGTTTATGGAGGAAGGAAGATATTAGGTTACGACTTTAGGCTATGTGAAGATATTAGGTTATCGACTATGGGGGGTTCCCGTTGCGTGCGCTGCGAACGGTTTAATGAGCAAAAATTTTGAATTAAACCTCTTTAAATGACCTAAAAAAAATGACCCGCGATGGTAAATTCTATTTTAATAACTAGGTACCGCGGACGACGATGTGGGTAAGAGCTATAATTTTTAAAGCTGAGGAGGCTGTTAACAAACAAATGATACCCTAAATAACTATTCCACGCGGACGAAGTCGCAGGTACGGCTAGTTAGATAACATTTTATGTATAACTTTGATGTTATAAGATTTCGAGTTTATTACAACACGAAAATCCATACGTTAAAACTAACAGGGCTTGAAAACCATTAATCAAACGTCACTAAGTTAACCCGTTTTATAGATGTGCCAAAATATTGTGGTTACCATAGACTGCCACGAAAAATATGCTTAATTCGGTTTGAAATATTCGAATCGCTTTTTATTCGCGTCAATAGGGTCTCTACGAGCGTTTATTTCATTTGAAAGCGGCTCCGAGTACTGAAGCATTGCTCTCGCAGTTCCAGCATAGATATTGCGGCATTGCGGTTCAATTTCAGCGTAGTTTGTGATTTTGTGACGTGCTCTGCGGTTGGAACTTTAAAACTGGATGCGGCGACAAATATTATTAGCACTTAATTTACATTGTACGTTGCGAAAATTTTACTTACAAAAGTGCATTATTATAAATGGGGGCATATTAGTATTTATATATAACGCATAATTACCATTGCTTTTTGAGAAAAGTAGGAATATCCTTTGTTTTATTCTAATTTCTTTAAATGATCTAAAAAAAGTCCGCGACGCTATATGTCTATATTTTAAGATTAACTTGCAAGAACGACGGGAAGGGACGCGATCGACGTCGTGGCTAATAGCTTAAGTTTATAAAGATGACGGGGTTTGCAAAAACTAATTTGGATGGCCAAAATAATGATTCTCGCGGACGAAGTCGCTGGCGCAGCTAGTAATAAATATATGTCATAAACCTTTGCATTTAAAGTATTACTATTAAACTGAACCCAGCTTATTCATCTTGGCTTTAGTTTCACATTATTAACTTTCTATTAACATTACAAAAACCTCTGCTCCAAAGTAAACATTTCGCTGGCTTTTATAACCAAGAGTTATTTTTACTTAATCAGGGTTTCTAGTGTAGAAAACGAAGGCAAAAAACCTGGTCGTCTCGTTAGCAGTCGTGTTTAACTTTAGCCGACGCCGTTGTTTATATTCACTGTGTTAGCGGTGAAATTAGCTTTTGAAACGAGCGAAGGTATTCGGAAAACACGGTATACAAAAATTAAAACTCCCGTTATGGAGATGTGACAGTGTTCATTATGTAGATAACGGATATGAAAACCGAGTTAAAAGAGTAAAACTCCCACTCCTTTGTGGGGTATGGGGCGAAGATTTCTGCGTCGGTTTTATTAATCTATTTAATCAATAGACAAGCAGTTCAGATTGCTGCGCCCTGTCTGTGAAACAACTCAGAATTTAAATAAAACTGTTTAACCGCATTTTAGCAGCCGTGGTCACGGGGAGATACGGTTGCTGCAAAGCATCCGAAACGTCGGGCCGAAGTTAAAAATCATTTTTCTAATAAGTTTAACTAATATATCGCGTTTTAAACCGTTAAAGTGTTTTATTTAAATGTGTACTACTCGCGTAAACTATAGACAGTATTTCACTCAGAATTGTCTGTAGTTTACGCAGTTCGTACAAATTTAAATAAAACACTTATATACTACTATACTTATATAATAAAATAGTTTATAACGACGACGAAACAGATGGATAGCGTAGCACTTTTTGCATTAGGGTCATCCTCCATCTTCATTCCCCCGTGACCATGGTATCAGCATGGCATCCGAATCGTTTAGCCGTAGTTAAAATAATTTGTAAACGAGTAAACTAATATATTTGGCGTTTTAAACCGTTCAAAGTGTTACATTTATATAAAACAATTATTTTGCCGGGCTTCGAAAATAGTGCTTAACGAAATAAATAATATAATGCTTAGTGAACAAGTGTTTAACTTAAATTTATTGCTAGCTAAAAATAAATCATAAATGTAGGTAACTTATTCAGAAAATCTTTTAATAAATAAAACAATATGACTCTGTTCTGTTCGTAAAAGAAAATGAAAATTTTTCCAAATTTAATTAAATAAAATTCGTAACAGAACGGTAACAGGTATAAAGGTGTCAGATTTTTCATGACTATGTCAAATTGTCAACAGGCAAAAATATCGCGTAAAATGTGCTTTCGTTTTAAACGAGGACCTTTCATTTGAATTTTTCTCTGTATATTAGGATTATTTATGGCATATTGTGGATTATGGACATAGTGTAGATGTATAGTATATTTATAAGTTAGCCTGATTATTTCATAGGTGCCATTTTACGAAAATAGCCATCGATAACCATATTTATACCTCCATACCATAGCTTTGCCACAGATCTCATTTAAAATGTACAAAGAGAATATTTTTTGCTCTCTGAGATAAAATCGAACTGCTAACCTTGTGATTAAGTGTACTTAACGCTAGACTAACATGTTTCATCTTGGAAACGTATGGTTACCTATTTTAATAAATTCTAAAGATAACTTTCATATATACATATAATAATAATGTAAGCGAGTACATGGATGATATATTATAAACAAATATAGAAGAATTTTACCAACGCAATCGTGTCTAGAATTATTTTTTTTGGTATATGTTTGTTCACGTTGATCTCAGAAACGGCTCATTTGATATAGATGTGGTTTTCGGTAATGAAAAATACAACTTCTCTAAACTTAAGTAGACAGTGTTAATTTTTCAACTGCATGGAAAGTTCAACTTTAGTGGGTATTTTCGTAATTTACATGTTTAACTTTAAAATATCTGTTTAAATAAAACACTTTGACGGTTTAAAACGCGAAATATATTAGAGAACTAATATTTAATGTAATTTAACTACGTTTTTAAACCGTTAGGAATGTTTTATTTAAATGTGGCCTTCTAGCGTAGTAAGTAACTACTTCACATATGTCTCAAATGTCATATTTCTGACTATATGGCATATCACTTACTTGAGAATTGACCGCCTCTCTCATTTCTGTTAAAGAGCATCAAAATGCTGGTACAGGAGTGGTCGCGCGGCGGTCACGTAGTGTGGTGCGATGCTAAACCGTTAATTAAGGAACAGTTGGAAAATGTTCTGCCGGAACCCTTGTTCTGTACTAACGAGCAGTTAGCAACTCTGTTAATAGGTAAGTGCTGCTGTTATTAGTCCTATTATGGGATGGCAAGATTTAAAATAAAATTTAATATACAATAAGTTGCCTTTTCCTCATATTGATTTACACTAGACTTGCAATAGTTGTAAAGACCAACTGGGTTTTTAAGCCTTTGAAAATATTTGAAAACATTATTATTTTTTACATGTATTGCACATGAGGGCATATAATTTAAAAATCGAAAATAAATTGAAAAAAATTTCGACTCGGGCAGGACTTGAACCGGCATCATCAGCGTTCCGTGCTGTTGCTCTACCAATTGAGCTACCGAGTCCTACACCTCATCGTCGAATTTTTTCAACTTCTTGATACATGCACTTCTCGCGCAATGTAATTTCAACCTTAACACTTGCGTATTAATGTAGGCAATAAGGTATTTTTTTTCAATTTATTTTCGATTTTTAAATTGTATAGTACCTACATGCAAAAAATATTAATGTTTTCAAACTTTTTAATTTCATCTTCAATGATTTCTTAAGCTGCAAAGCATATACAAAATAATTTTTGACGTAATTTGTCGTGTAAGTACTTTTACTGACTTTTAGTAACTGACAGTACAAGTTAAATAGTAGAACTTTCATACATGAAAATACATAGTATCTATAAGTGGAGTAATAAAATATCCATGCACGAGTAGTTAAGTTTCAACCTATTTAAAAATAAAAATATTTATTGTTTTTATTGAGAGAACTAAGCAATGTACTGGGTATAAAGCTCCCGATATCACAGTGTACACGAGGACAAAGTCTAGTAGGATAATACGTCAGTCGGTTATTTATTTCTAATAATCTCATCACGATAACTGACATGTGAAGATTCTTTCTGATTTATTTTTGACAATATAATTTTAAATGTTTAAAAAACTTCATTTTTTCAGGTTTATCAACATTAACACAAGCTGGCAACATCAACGATACTCACTTATAACAGTGTCTGTATATAGATTAATTATAATTTATTTTTTACGTAAATCTTTCCGTAAACGGAAACGTTTACGGAAAGATTTACGTATTCGTTATAATCATTCGTTATAATACAAAGAGATTTATTATGTATTATTTTCAATTTTAACTTTCTTAAGGATCGTTTATGAAATGTAAGTTATTTGTTTAGTTGTGATTAGTTACTAGTATTACATATATACGGTTTATGTTTCAACATATATGCCCGTGCAATAAATAATAAGTATTACGTTAGACTTAAGCTGTGATGTGTCAAGTTACCACAATAATTTTTACTTAAGGTTATAAAGCTACAGTTTTGATTCACTTCCTTCTTTTACTTTTTATGTACCAAATCCCAACTTCATGTGTTTATACTTAAAAAAATGTACCTTAAAAAAAACTAACCCCAAAGAATAAAAACTTATAAGGATTTTTCTTTTTAAAAACCTCTTAAAGATTGCAAGAGCTAATTTCCAAGAAAGTTATATAAGTTATAAACAAAGACAACTTTGAAACTACAGTATAGTTAAGCCGTCATAAAGTTCTATCTTTATTCAAAAAACCATCGCGGCCGAGACAAAGGTAAAGAGACGCTAGACAAATGAGGACTAGTGTGAACGTCCCCAGATATGATTAAGGGAAGGTTTGCTCATGCCCTAGTAACTCACACCCTCAAATCTGGCATAACTTAGAGACGTCTTGGCGAAGGTCTTGGCGATAATTTAATGTTGTTTTTATTAGGACCTATTTCGCAGGTAGAGCGTTACTCTAGCATCGACTCAATCCTCGTCGTAACATTATTGTCTAGTTAAAATGCACTTATAATATGATGAACTCGTTGGTGTAATGGTAGCAATGAATGGCTAATAATCAATGGGTTGTGGGTTCGGTCCCCACCGTGTCCAACATTTTTAGCATTAATTTCTATTTTATCTGAAACATGTTTCTACTTCTTCTGAAAATCTGGATATCGAATGGGTGGTAGGAATATTTGAATTCCGTCTGGGTCATGAACCACCATTATCAGATGAGAAGCAGCTTAAATGCGTTTAGGTTTTAGTCTATAGACTTCCGAATACCTATCTAAAGCCTAAACAGGTCCACAAAGCATCTACTTAATATGTTATATATCTACCATCAACTGAGCTCTATGCTTGTCTATCCTCTTATATCATAAAAAAATAAAAACACTACGTAAGTGGTAAACAACCGTGTCAATAAGTGCGTTGTTTATCTGCATTTCAATGTACACAGCTAAACAAAGTAGAACGGATGCGTCATACTGCGCGGTCGCAGATGTTCGAACATTGATGACTGCTTATTAGTCAAAGTAACCATGGCGACCGGAGCGGGCGCATCGACTAAACCGCATTATAACTTGGAAGATGCCCCGGCACTCTTCGAAAAGTTTATCAGGGACTACGACAAAGTGTACATAGATGAGGCGGACCGCGCCGTCCATTATGAGGCATTTGTGAGACGGCTGGAACAAATCAATAAGGCTAATGCACAGAGTACGTCGGCCACGTACGACATAAACAAGTTCGCAGATTACACTCCGCAAGACAGAAAACATCTCACTGGTGTCCTTCATCCGAATGGTACGTAAGTTTTTAGCTCGCATTCAATATCAAATATAAATATGGTTTCATTCTTTACCTGGAGCTCTAAAAGCTTGATGATTTAGTTGCCTGTAAGTGATATACACACGGAAATATGTCTACAGATAAAATATGATACAATATTTGTATATTTCTAGGTTGATTAGTGGTCGTAATTAGGCGTTAAATTAGTGTTTCAATTAAGATAAATCAATTTTACATAATACTTCTTTGTTTTGTATTTATATAAAAAAAGAATTGTAAAACATTTGATTTACCTTTGTTCTTTGTTTACGCATTATGTTATGGTCGGTTACAAATTATTAAGACGCTATTATGTACGGTTCGATATAATTATGTCGCGAATGTAGACACATTTTATCCCAATCGAGTGTGAAGTAAAAAAGACAATAAAAACATGTAATAGGTGTTCAACTAATATAATTAGATAAAATATCGTAACTATAGCAATTTACGACGGTGAAATGGAAGACATAAGTCAAGTGGCGCATGCTAGCTAGCTGGAGTCTGTTGACGAGTCACCTTTTATAAAACAGTGAGATAATATTTTATGACTGTATATCAAATGAATTTGTTTATGTTTGCAGATAAATGATGTAAGGCAGCAGTATCCAACGTGGTGCTAATAAGAATCTTAAATAGACGTGATATACTTATTTTTAAATGTATTAATGGAGATATATAATATTTTACGTGCAAAATAAAAGCAATTGTCCTTGCATTTACCTAAAAAGAAACAACAAATTATGTCGCCTTGCATTTTAGGTTTTACACGATAAAATCGTCATTTTTCTACTCAAGTGTCTTTGTATAAAAATGACAAATAAACGAATCTCAATTAACCACTTTTCCATAAATGGCGGTTAATAAGTATTTAATTATCATTACCAGGTATATTTTATAATTAAAATGTTAACTGATTACAAGTACTACAGATTCAACCTTGATTCATGATAATAAGAAACAATTGCATTGAATCTGTGGTATTCTGGCATCTTACTAGTATTAAATATTTTTTATAATCTTCGCATGATTGAAAATATGACAGCTTGTAAAATACAATGAAGACAATTATACAGGTGAAATGGAAGCTAACAAGTGTGGTAAATGTAGGTAGTTATTGATTTTAAATCATTTTAATAAATAATTGACTGTTGCTTATACAATATAAATCTAGAAATATTAAAAATCATTATAATCCACACTGCTCCACAAAATGATTATTGGATTACCGATGATTCACTGTATAATCAACTCACCTAACCTGTACAAACACTTGTATCCCTATTATGTATTATATCTTAATATATATATTTTGAATACTTAACTTTTGTAACCAAATTTGTAGATAATAAAAAAGTTCAAGTATATTTTATTAATATATCTTGGCGATCTATAGAGATGAAGTGGCCAAAAACAATTTGTTAAACGGCAAAAAACAAAAAGCGACCTGAATAAAAAACAGCTTACTTATGTCTATAGCGCGCAATGTAAGAGCAAATTGAAACTCGGGTTGGGGACAGGAGTCGGCAAGTTTGATCACCAAACGAAACCATTCCGAGGATTTGTCGACCCCTCGTAAAATGCTCGTCAGAAATGGGATAAGTTTCGAAAGGTTTATCTTATTTTCAAAATCCTCACGAACGATGACGCTGCGTTTATGGCAATAGAAGCGGTTACAGATTAGGTGGCGTTCTCCCGCGTTTTCCCGCGCGTGTGCAATGTACCTAATGTGAATTATGTATTGACCTATTGACCTGCTTCGAATTATAATCGAACTCATACAAGGTCGACTTGAGCGTGCATTATGCATTCATCTTTAAAGTACGGCATAGTTTACGCTAGCACACATTTAAATAAAGCAGTTAACGGTCTAAAACGCGAAATATCTAACTTATTTACAAATTATTTTACGGGCTTCGGATGCTTTGCAGCACTGTAGTCACGGGGAGAATAAAAATGGAGGGTATCTCTAATATCAGAGTAAAGTATTCTACGCTAGCGCCATCTGTTCCGTTATATTTGGTATTTGGCGAAACTGGCTGGGTCCTTGCAGAATTGACTAACGGTGTCTGTACTAGGTATTTTAACTGTATGAAGGTAGAGAAACAATATACTGGTATATTCGACTCGTTGAACTAGTTACACAGAGAAAATGTTCTGCGCGTTGTATAAAAATCCTAATGCTAAACATTTTCTTTGTTTTGTAAAGTTAGTATTGTATCTTACTTCGTTATTTACTTTTGGTTTTCAATTTTAAAGTAGTGTCTATCTTTGTTTTATTTAAATTAGTTGAGTAATATGTAAGCGTCTGTCTCTGACCTTAACTTGCTGATCATATTTTTTAGTACTTAACACTTTCAGTAAGAGCCTTTGTGTGTGATGTCAAGTTCAAGGGGTACACTACTGAATATTAAAACCAACCCCTAAACGATGCAGCGTTTACTGAAATATGAGAAAATGTGAGAGCATTGTAGTAGGCTTAGGCGGGGGTCAATAACGCCTGTGTTGATGATATGACGATATTGCCAATCTCTAATGTATTTCACACTTTTGAAATCTCTTGTGGGTCGGCGGTTTTCAATTCACTTTTTATCTTGTTTAATGATCTTTGATGACAATAAGTTGCTCGGCGGTATAAAAAACGCTCAGTCAATTATTATCTTTAAAAATCATTAAAATTCCAATTTCAAAACTTGTATCATGTTATTGCACATGATGCCACTCTATAAGTTAAAAAACGATTATTCATTGAAAAACTTTACGAACTGGCAGTACTTGAATCGGGTATTTATATATCACTGTTTCCTTTATCTGAGTACCGATGCAAGTAAACACATTTAACTTGAATTACTCATACTTGTGGAGGTGAACTGTTTCCCGCATTGGGTGTGGAAAAAGACACATGTCTGTGTCTTTTTCTTAATCAAGTTTAGGTACATTTTAAAGTAGTATCGTTTTTCCGGGATTCAAACCTTGCTGTCGTGCTTAATCTCTACTAAAAGTTACTATACAAAAAATCAAGACCAACATATTATACAGTATAGCGAATAACTACCAAACCTCGTGGTATATATGAACTGTTTTTTTACTTAGTTAAGTTTGTTAATAGCGATAAATTTCTACCATTAGACCAACCCGTCAAAATCGAGCTACTAAGGTATCTAATTTACTTATAAGCTCAGTACGTTATAGTTAATATTGTTCACTGCCTGCAGTAGATAATATGGCATTTTCGAGCCACCATATTGGTTTGCGCCAGGCTGCAATGACGTCCCTGTTTAATTTACCGAAAATTATATCTCTCACCATTTACAGACACCTCCACCTGCGACCCAAATATGATATCATGACTCTGCTTCCATTAAGTGGCCCTGATCATTTCCAATTTTGTGCGCAAATTTCAGAGATTATATTTTGTGAATTAAATATCGATTTTTAATTGAAATCTAATCTAAGACAGGAACCGGCATCCACAGCGTTCCTTAATTATTCATCGTGTGCTCAATTGGTCAGAACAACAGCACGGAACGCTGTGGATTCCGGTTCGATTTTTTATTTATATAATAGCAACATGTGCAAAATATTAAAGTTCCAAATATTTTAACACGGTAGTGAAATTTTATACACATATTACAAGTAAATAAACTAACAGCTTTAACACGCTCAATATTCAATTTTGTGAAAATGTAAATATAAAATGAGAGATTATAATTTTGTTTACACGTGTTCTGTACACTTTCAGACAAGTACTCGTAGATTGAAAATGTCTATTAATAAATGTAAACTTCTGTTAGCACAATATGATTTAAAAACTAAACTCATGTTAAAGTAAGTTAACAAATATTTCGATACATTGTTATCAAATCAGTATTTTCTGTATAAACATTTTAATTGCTATTTAGAGAAGATCTCGTCAGTCCCGGGTTCGACTCTTGCCCCTTATTAAAAAAATCTTTTAATACATATAAGTCTCATGTGATAAATTAACATGTAAGTTATAAATATACTTTAACATAACATATAAATGTATATTTTAAAGTATAATTAATTATCAAGCAGAAAACTGATCTACACTTACAAGGGAAACTTCAATTAGACAGTTAAAACAATCATCTTCTGTATAGTTACCTGTGAGTATATATGGATCAAATAGTACGTATATATCTTGTGAACACGAATAGCTGGGGGCTAGAGGCTTCAACGTCAAACTTTGGGGAAGGCTGTCTTCGACTGAGAGTGGGGCAGTAATAAAGACACCAATGAGTGCCGTGTAATTAACTTCGAAATGAGGGGCAAGTTCGACAGATTTCGTCGAACAAATAATAATGAGCCAGCGGATCGTGCTAGTGAACGATTTCGTAAAACATTCTAATGAATGGGTTCGAATTATTGACGTTTTTAAATGGATTTAGATATTACTATATATTTTTTTTAATTAACTGATTTGTTATTATTTAATTATAATATTTTATATCTGAATTATATATTCTTCAAATTTAAAGTGGTTTGTAGTATTTTTTACATACCAATTAAAGTATATAAGAATGTTTTAAAAATACGTAGATATCCTTTAAGTACACATTTAAATAAAACATTTTAACGGTTTAAAACGCGGTGTATTTTAGTTAAACTTGTTTGAGAATTATTTTTAACTACTGCCCGACGTTTCCAATAAACAGCAGACCGGCAAAAGCGAAGACACCGTGAGTTAATTATGCAAGGACCCGGCCAGTTTTGCCAAGTACCAGCTTCGATGGAACAGATGGCGTTAGCGTAGCAATTTTTACTTTGACGTCAGAGACATCCTCCGCTCTTTAGTATCCCCGTGACCACGGCTGCTGCAAAGCATCCGAAACGTCGGGCCGCAGTTAAAAATATTTTTCAAACAAGTTCAACAAAAATACATCGCGTTTTAAACCGTTAAAATGTTTTATTTCATTTGATATTTATATAGCACTCTAAGGAATGTTTTAAAAATTAAGTGTCCAGCATTTTTATTTCGCAAAGAGTACCCACTAAAGAAAGTCTGAAGAAAGCGCGCAGTTATGAAAAACATCAGGCGTTTTCCAGCCAACAACATGCAGATTTGTAATGAAATCTGCATAAATATGCAATTTCCTCGTTATAGTCACGGATTTATTAAATGTTAATTTTGGCTTTTTATTGCCTCGTAGATATTTGAGTGTAAAGAAATCCTGCGTTAAAAGAAGGATAATAAAAACGTACTTATCATAGTTCTTGTGTCAATTATTATTGTAAATCTCCATATTCAAGGTTGTCTGGAAGAAAACGCTTTTAAGCGTTAATGCCGCCGTTTCTCGCTACATTTTTCTTGTAATTTCTTCAAATGAAATCTCCTGTTTGTAATATTCTTGTCATGACAGTGAAGTATATTTTTGCGTTTGTTTGTACTATCTCAGTTTGGGAACTAAACTTAACTAGGGTACCCAGTCTTTCTGTTAATTCTTAGCACTGATCCCACGGTCCAACGTAAAAAATGTCTTAAAAATATTGTCTATGTAAAGTAATTTTTCTTTATAAGATTGATGCATCAATTAATACAAAAGAATATTCACTTCATCAATGGGTTAA